CTCCACCATCTCCCAAGGCAGTCTGTCTCATTGTCAGTCAGCTCTTATACAGTGGTACCTCGGTCGCTGAACGTAATCCATTCCGGAAGACTGTTCGACTTCTGAAACGTTCAGCAACCAAGGCGCAATGGGTGGTCGGCAAATTCCATTGAGAAAAATGAAGAAACGTGCCTCAGAAGCCATTCGACTACTGAGGTGCGTTCAAAAATGGAAGCATTCACTTCTGGGTTTTCAGTGTTTGGGTTCCAAATTGTTTGGCTTCTGAGACACCCGAAAACCGAGGTTCCACCGTATATAGTTAGCATGCTTCTCCTAAGTATAGGGAAATACACCTCCCTGCAATGGCCACAAATTTGTCCTTTTCTCTGCAGCGACACAGGATTAATCTCCTCCCTCTCTGTGACAGCCTTTCAGACATTTGAAAGACAGCTGGGACGTCTGCCTATCTTTACCTTTCTCTAGGCTAAACATACCCATCTCTTTCAAGTGTTCCTCACAGGCCTTGCTTTTCTTTGCCATTCTTGTCAGGACACACTCCAACGGTTCAATGTCCTTTTAAAAATGTGCTGCCCAGAACTGGATGCAGTACTCCAAAGGTGGCCTGGCCAGTGCAGAATTAGAGTGGAACAATTGTTTCTTGTGACCTGGGCACAATGGTTCCTTTCAGGCAGACTTTTCTGACTCCTCCTTTGCCCGTCTTCAGCAGCTCTGCTGTCTTATTTCTCCCTTTCTAGAGGAGAAACTGCGCCTCAGTGACCCCCAGTGGGACGATGTGCATGTGGTCACAGGGGCCCTCAAGCTGTTCTTCCGGGAGCTGCCTGAGCCACTGATTCCCTACAGCCTCTTTGATGAATTTGTGACTTGTGTCAGTAAGTGCAATTCCTCTCCTTGCCTTTTGGCTTTGGTTCCCCATAGCTAAAGGAATGACCTAAAGCAGGCATGTCCAACTTTCAAGAGAATGAGATCTACTTCCACTGTAAAAAACTGGCAGCAGTGATCTACCAAAGTTGAGCTTTTTTTAGGGAGCCCAAGTTGGGGTTTTTTTTGGGGGGGGGGGCCCTCCCGAGATCTACCACAGACCCCCTGCGATCTATCAGTAGATCATGATCTGTCTGTTGGACATCCCTGACCTAAAGGAATGACATCCCATTTCCCTCACCCCGCCCCCAGTTAGCCAGTTAGTGGCTCGCATGCATAACATAGAGCTTGGGTGAAATGCAGGTAGAGAAGCAGAGATCACATCTCTTAGGGTAAAATACCTACTGCAGGAGCACATACATCAGTTGCCAACAATTTTCTCTGCAGCTGGGGGACGAAAAATGGCTCAGAGCAAGTATATACTGCCCTTTTCTGCAATCATTCACCTAGTAACTTCCTACTTTTTTGAGTAATTGAAACCCAAGGCCTTGGTTTTTACCAACTAAGATCTGGGTTTGTAAAATCACGTTATGAGCAGTGTAATCATTGCAGAGTCATTCGCATTCTGTTGCCAAGATTAGCAGTCCTGTTTGTTTCACAAGATGAGCAAGAACCTCAAGCCATTTCCTGGTCTCTTGTGGCTCCTGATGATGCCTCTGGAAAGCTGGTGTCTCTGTAAGCAGGCCTGTTATCTCACCTCCTGCCCAATTAAGGAGTGGCTGGTTGCTTTTCCCTACACAGAGTTGTCTGAACCCAAGGAAAAAGTATCCAAGCTTGCAGGACTGATCCAGAGCCTCCCCCAACCAAACCGGGACACACTGCATTACTTACTGGAGCATCTTCGCAAGTAAGGAAGCAGGATTAATGTACCATTAATGTACCATCCAACCCTATGCATTTTCTTATTCCACTTACTGGCATGTGCGGCATTGGTTACTAATATTAGAAGGAAGCTGTTAAGTATCTTCTTAAAAAACCTTGTTTAAAATCCCATTAAAACACTGACAGGCAATCAGTGTTTTATCGGTCATCAGTGGACTCGCAATTGTGTTGCATTGTGCACACACAATCATAGGATAGCAATTGCAGAGAAGAGGTATATTGTGGAAGCAACCTGGTATAATTCCAGCTCTCTTGCTTCTGCTATCAGCTCTACTCTGCAAGGCTATACTGAGTTTGGAAAGCTGGAGTATTTGGGAGCTAGCACTACATGACACAGTGGAGAGAAATAGAAGTTCCAGCTGATTGGAATCAGAATGTCCAAGGATGTCTTTTGTAGGTCGTAAAAAGTAGGAATGTTGGGCTTCAAATCTTAAATATTCCTTAGTGTGATGTGCAGAGAAAGAAGCATGTGTAAAATGTTTTCCTCTAGCCTGGATTATTACAACAAGCCCACATACAGACTAGGGAAATGACATTCCAATTCGGGGGATGTGACTTTCAAGCTGGTTGAGCACCATCTTTTTCTTTTTAGAACTCAAATCCAAAGCATATCCACATGCCTGCTTTGGCCATGGATGTGTTAGACAGAGGCCAGTGCATTATGATGGTTTTCTCTCTCTTTCCCTCCCCGCCCTTCAGAGTGATGGAGCGCTCAGATATCAACCGGATGACGACACAGAACATTGGCATTGTCTTTGGTCCAACACTCCTGAGACACGAGCGAGATGCAACCAGCCTGGTGGAGGGCATGGTGTACCAGAACCAGGTGGTGGAGCTGCTCCTTACTGAATTCCCCAGCATCTTTGTGGCCCCAGGTGCTGAATGACATGGCTGGCACCTAAATCTCAGAGGCTGACGGTTTTATCTTGAAGGTGCACTAGATCGCAGATCATCTAGTCCTGGGGCAAAGCATTGGCTCTGAGCACCACTGACCTGGCATTTGCTATTAGACCAGTATCTCTTGGCATTTCTAGGTGGCTTGGGCTCTGCAGGGTCATCTTCCAGGATCTTGAAACTGAGTCAAATTTAGACGCTGGTGCACCGTAGGGAAAGGTGTTCTCTACCTACCCCCACAAAGAACTATTTCAGATGCCTCAAATGAAGCTGAGACTGGCAGCACTTGGACCTAGGCCCACAGGGTCCAGCACGATTCCTTGAGTACGAATGTGAAAAGAGAAGGATGTCGAAAATAGACTCTCCATTAACCCTGTCCCTCTCACATCATCATTCAGCCAAGTTCTGCAGCTCATTCTCTTGAGCCGACAGTTACGTTTTCTCCACATGACTTGATGCCTCTGATGTGCAAGGCTCCTTTGCTCTGCTTTTGCCCCCTTCTGCACCAGTTCCTCATTCTGCCCTTGCAGTAAAGTCATGCGGTAAAGCTTACATCCTCTAGGACAGGAACAAGGAACCAACGCTTGTCTTAAGAGGCTTCTGGACCAGAGTTCCTATTGTCCCTGACCGTTGGCTATGCTGCCTGGGGCTGATAGGGTTTTGGAGTCCAGCATCTTCTGAAAGGAACCAGCTTCTCCATGCCTGCTCTAGGTGCTCTTCGTGACTCATTATGTTAAGGCACATCAGTACTTATTAATTAAAAGAAAAAAAGGTAAAACTACTTTGAAACTGCCATGGTTTCCTGCAAACAACCCTGGAAACTATAGCTTAATGAAGCTGTTGAATTTTCTGTACTGGAGATCCAGTACAGGTTTTTTTGGTCCAGAGCTATGATATTCCACTCTAATCCTGTGGCTCTCTGAATCGTTTGGGTCATAGCTTATGGCAGCCTTCCCCAATCTGTCACTCAAAATATGTTTTGGACTATCGCTCCTATCAGTTTCGGTCACCATGACCAAAGCCCAGGAACAATGGGAGTTATAGTCCAACAATCTATGAAGTAAACCAGGTTGGGAAGGCTGGCTCATGGCATGCAAAGAGGTTTGCATTTAACAACTCATCTGGTAGCCCTAGTTGATCAAGAATCTCTTGTGGGCAAGTGAGCACACTGGCAGAAAAGGAATGGACCATTCCTTGCCTCCTCTGCCAACCTCAGCCGTGGAGGAAGAAGGTTGGTGGAATGGAGAAAAAGTTATCCAGCCCACACAGTAGAAGTCCTTTTTGGGGGGGGGATGAGTCTTAAAAGTTAGTAGCCAGCCTTTCCATGCCCACTATGGAGACAGTAGCTACTACCCTCATAGCAAACACATTTTTTGTTTGTTTTGTTTCTGTTTTTATACGCTTTTGTGGACTTATTTACAAGGCTGGAACATGGTTCCTGGAACTTTTCATCTTGATTTTCTCAGTGACTTGTAATAGTTGAGGAAGGGAAGCATACAATAAAAAGAATTTCTGAGTGATCCATCCCCTCTCTACTGCACACGGCAGAATCAAGCATATTGGAAACCTCAGTTTGGTGGGGGAGAAAAGCAGTTTCCAAATGGTTACAGGAAAAAAATATAGATCAGGGGTGAAGAACCTGTGGCCCTTCAGATGTTGTTAGACTCAAATTCCCAACAGCCCCAGCCGGAATTGCCAGTTGTCAGGGACAATGGGAACCAGGGGCAGCCCATCTCATTTCGCCACCCAAGGTGAAACGGGAATGTGCTGCACCTCACCTTACGCTGCCCAATTTGAAAAGGATCCATTATTGACTACCCAATCAGCTGCAGTTCTATATCACCTGCGATTCAGCTGGCTGGAAGGAGCTGTTTCAAGCAGTTGGAGCCATTCCCATCCAGAAATCTACTGAATAAGCAAAGGTTAATCAGTAGAAGATTGCCTACATTATTTTGGTCATAAGCCCACCATGGAAGCTCAGTGCATTTCCTAGATCAAGATCAACCCGTTCTCTTGGTTTTCAGTATGCTGAAGCTATAGCCCAAGTGAGAGTATGCGGTGCACAGTGGTGGCTGGCTGGGCACTTGTTACAGTCACTTACAAAGCTATCTCCCCCATTCTTGGAGCAGTTGGACGTGTTTTTAAAATATTTAAAAGTGACCAAGATGGATGCAAGGAGATAATAAGGAGGGAGAATCAGTTTCAGTTAAGAAGTTTGTATTAAAATAATAATAATTAATCTGAGACCATGGATGCTGTAATGCATGATGAGAACCAAGGTTACATTAGGGAGGAGAAACATTTGGGGCAAGAAGACCAAGGCTAAAAAGACAGGCTAGATGACTGCTAGGTGCAGTTCCTCAACTATATGAGTCTCTTTCAATGTGTATAAAAGGGACAGATTTGCTTCCCCTCCCTTAGGAAATATTTTCAATTTTCATTTTATTGTGTTTTTTCTCTTTAAAAAAAGAGAGGAAAAGATTTACAGGTAAAAAATACTCGCACACCTATATACAATCCATAAAAATACATGTCACTATGATATGCCTAGACATTTCCCCTACCACCCACCCTTTTGCTTTAATACTTTCCCCTTCCCAAGATGAAAAAATCACCTGGAAGGGACAGGCACTGGTCTGGCTTCCCAGCTAAAATACAAAAGGAAGATACAAAACAAAAGCTAAAAAGGATGAAAGGTTTCTTTGGTTTCTCAAGTTTAACTTAGGTTCTTTCCCCCCCTTTTCCCTTTTTCTTTTGCTAGGAGGAGGATGCTTGAGTGCAGGGCATTGGGATAAGTACCTGAGGGAGACTAGGGAGGGGGAGAAGGTGCTAGCTCAGTGACAGAAGCTGGTGCTCAGTGGTGGAGCATGGCTTTGCATGGGGAAGGGCCCAGGCTCCAGACCCAGCAACTCCAGGCAGGGCTGAATCAAGACTCCTGCTCCCAACCTGGGAGAGAGAGGCTGCCACTCAGCATATTGTAGACAATACTGAACCAGATAGATGTGGTAGAACTAAGCTTCTTGTGCTTCCCCTGGAATGTTTTGTTCCCGAAGCAGGGAATCCCCATCTGCTTTGCACAAAGAAGACAAGGGCTCAGGCGTGTAACAGACAATGTGTTTAGGAGAGGTGACAAAAAGCATCACTGGCCTTGGCTCTGCTCACTCTCTTTGGTCATCTTTGGTCAAGCAGGTTTTTGAAAGCCTAACAAAACCTGTTTCGAAGAGGTGACAATGGGGCAAGTGTCCCAACACCACAGGGGATGGTGACTCCTTTTAACTCTGAACACCACTCTCATGGTTGTCCATCTCAATGCTTAAACCCTCCAGAGCTTTTGCAGCACTTGTTTTGCTTAGTCAGCTGGGTCTGTTTGAACATTACCTCCAAGTCTCTTCCTCGCACCCCCCCCCCCGGCTTATTTGTAGCCTGTGAACAAAGTACACCATCTTTGTATGTAAATTCAGAACTGAAGAACCCAGCCTCTGAACTATTTGGGGAACTTGGCCTGAATAGATGGCAGGAGCTATAGCTCACCAGCTGAGCACAAGTAGCACAGATTGAGGGCTGCCCGCCCCAACCAGGTTTTTGCATGTTAAAAACAAACAACCCCCGAAGCAGCTGTGTAGCAAAGCAACTTTTCCTCCCATTGAACACTGAGATGGCAGGAGCTGCCTCTAGCCAATGTTTCTCTAAAGGGAAGGGTGTATTTGCTTTCCTGTGGAGTTGCCAGGCTGCAACCTGTAAAAAGCCTTCAGATCCCCAAATGCAGTGGGAGTCAAGGCAACCAGTGTCCCATGTGCCACATCCCTGGAACCCAGGTCATTAAAAGAGGTTGGGAAGGACAGAAGGGCCAAGGAAGGAGTAAATCAGCAGGAGCAGTTGTGGCTACCTTGCTTCCTGCCAAACTGGGAGATTCAAAAGGAGGTAAATGTTCTCCAGATATGCAGCCCAACTCAAGTGATGCAAGACACATGTGTGAACCTGCCTTTGAACTGATTTGGGTTCAAGAAGGATTTTTCTTGCGGGCTGGACTGACCTGTGATCTTTGGAAGTTTGTCGTCCCTTGTAACTTGGCTTGCTTGTCTGAGTTATGAGCATGTGAGGCACTTCAATAATGTGTGCTATGCTGTTCCTCCAGCTTTCTACACTTGTGGCTCACTATGGTCTGCTTATGTGCCTGTTGTGCACATACACTTTTTAATTTTTCAGCCCTAGGATTCAGTTCTCTGTCCAATGCCTGACATTTGAACCCTTTCATACATCAAGAGGTAATAAACTCGGGCAAGGATCCACAGCCCACCCCAGCTCCCTGATGTATGTATGCAAACGTGAGCTCATCACATGCATCTGTTTTTAAGTGTACATGTAAAACGTCATTGCCCCAGCCCCAATCTCCCTTTCTCAACTGGGAACTGCTGGTATAAATTATATGTGCATTCTCACCTGTACTCTGTCACTACTTACATGCACAGCCAGAGGTGGATTAGGACACATATGTACGCCTTTAAAAAATGTGATGTGTGGATGGAGTGGCCCTTTGGGGCAATTGGGGCAGATGCCATAATTCTGCTCTCACAGCAAGCGATAGTGGAAGCCATGTATCTTTAGGAAAGCAGAAGCCGCCAGAGGAATGTTTTTGCACATCCCCCAACATTACACTTACATCACAATGTGAGCTTTGTCATGGTGGCAACTGCAGGATGGGAGCTAATGGAGAATGTCCAGGTTGATGTGGAATTCAGGGCTCCAGGCAGCTTTACCAGATGAGAGCTGAAAGGCCTGAATGTGCCAGAAGTGTATTTGCCATGTGCAAAGAAGAGCTTGCTCTTAGTAGATGCTCTGAGCCCCACCACCAACCTCCAGAGCCTCTGTGTAGGCAAAACCACAGAGTCAATTCTTTCCTCCACTGGGAGTCCTTCCTTCCCTGTGGAATTTGCAAGAAGGAACTATGAACAGGTGACAATGTTCCTGCTTGCTCAAGATCACAGATCGCTCCTGCTAAATGCAGGCAAAGTTTTCAATTTGCCTAAAAGCCCTGTTTTTGCACATGTTCCTCTGTGGATAAATTTTTTCCAGGCCGACATGGGCCCTAGGTATGCAGCTGTGCTCAACAAACTCTAGAACCAGGCTGATAGCCTGTCAGAGCTCTCAATGCATAGGGGACTCTGCAGAAGAGGCACTTTGGGGTGATGCTTATTAAGAATACTGGTTTCATTTGGGGACTGCGGGAGACAGAGGATGGATGGGTTTCGCTCTACCAGCTGGGAGAGAGGAAGGACTCCACTTCCTTTTCCTATGGCCACCTGTCCTTCATCCAGTACCATCAGCACAATTCTCAACAAGAGACCCACCTTGTACAGGAGGTCTGAGGTTGCAACAGATGCAATTTGGTACCAAAAGGCAAGCCTGGAAGTTACTAATTGGACCCAGTCTCCCTGCAGAGCCCCCAGTCCCACTCCCCAACCTCAAGTTATTGAGTCCAGCCCAGCAAGAGGTACCCTGGCCTTGTCTCTCCTTGTGCCCATTTGGTTCCTGTTCACAGCAGGTCCCCGTCGTCTCAGCCATGATCCCAACTGTCCTAGGAAAGGGTGTTAAGGAACTGGTTCTCCCCGGCCAGTGAGTTCAGCATGGAGCTCATGTCCCCCACAGCCATGTTGGCTGGGCCGCCGGGCGGGGAAGTGGGGCTGAGGCCCTCCGCGTCGTCTAGGATAGCTGTGAAGTCCAAGTGGGTGTTCTCCAAGTCCAGAGTGTCCAGGCTGTTGGACACCTGCTCTTCTGGCAGGTAAGAGAAAGAGTCTGATTTGAGGATGTCCAGCCTGGGGGTGAAGGGCCCACCCGGATCCTCTGCCACACAGCTGGGGGGCTGGCAGTGACGTTGGTGGGCGTTCATCAACTTGTTCCCAGAAGCTTTGCCCAACGGCATGTGTAGCTGGCTGGAGAAACCTCTGGCCTCCTCAGGGCTGCGGAGAGGGGGCAAGCGCATCAGCCGGTGGGGGCCGCCCTCGCCAGGGGTCTCATAAGGGAGGCTGGCTTGGTAGCACAAGCTGCTTGGCCTGCTCAGCGGCTTGGGGCCCCCAGGCGGGTGGGGGACCATCCCTGGGCTGTAACACTGGCCTCCAGGGCTTGAAAGTGCTTTGCTCTCCATTGCTGGTGGGGGCTTGGCAGGGTAGCTGGGGTACTTGGGGCTGCCAGGGTAAGGCTGGGGCTGCTGGCACTGTCCCCCACTCTCTATGCCCATCATGGCATCACCGGCTGGCTGCTCCCCCCACATCAGCGCCTGCTGCGACTGCACATAGCTCCGAACCATCATCTCCTTGACTTGCAGCATGGGGGTCTGGGGCCTCCTGCTGGGGGGTTGCCCCATACCAAAGCACGGGGCCTGTTGGCTCTCAGGCTGGTGGTACCCCTCACCCCTGACACAGGCAGGCTGGGCTTGGCTGTACGGCAGCTGCTTCATGCCCTGGCAAGAGGCCAGAGCAGGCACAGCTGCTTGGAACTGCTGCTCAGCCTTGATGTGGGCCTGGCCAAACTGGAAAGTGCCCTGCTGGCCTTCACCCCCATGACCTTCTACCCCCATGTGCTTGGCATCTGGGACTGCGTACTGGGCAGAGTGGCACTGCCCCATGGCAGAGGAGGGTGCAGGGTTAAGCCCCACACCATCGCCATCCCAGTGCCGCACCGTTGTGTGGAAAGCCAGGCTCATCTGGCATTGGGGCTGGATATAGTCCAGTTGGTCAAAGCCGCCCTCCAGCTGTTCAGGACCCATCTGCAAGTTGCCTATCGCCCTGGGCGCACCTCGATGGGCCACGTTGCTTGGGAGCTCCATGCCCGCAGCCTGGCATGGGTAGCTCTGCTCCTGGTAACCCAGGTAAGGCTCCATCTCCAGCAGTTCCTGCTCTCCAGCTGGGCCGGCGCTCTCCATGGTAGCGTTCTCCAAGAAGACGTTCTCACTGATACTTGGCGGTCGGGGCGAGAAGAGGTGGCGCTGCAGGTTGGCATCCGAGCCCCCAATCGCCTGCCCGCTGGCTCTGCCCATGCCTCCTGGGCTCATGTTGCTGAGGCTTTTGAACCTTTGCACTCTGGGGGGCGGGTTGGCCTCACCCACCGTCTGGGAGGGGTCGCTGGCTCTCCGAGCCCCGTGGCCAAGTGCCAGGTGGGGGTGGAGGGTGCCAGAGCTGCACCTGTGGTATTCGTTGGCACTGTGTCGATGCATGAAAAGAGGCAGGGCAGAGCCTGAGTAATCTGCCATCAGGCTGGGCTGAGCAGCCCTCTCCATACTGGGTAGAGGGGTTGGAGGCGGTCCGCCTGTCGCAGCGGCGTACTTGGCTTTGAGGCGGTATTGTTGGGCTGGTGTCAGGTTGCCCAGTCCTGGAAGACCTCCGCAGTGGCTGGCCTCGCTGGAGCGTCTGGAGGTGTCAGGGGAGATGGGGTCATACACGTCAGGTGGGCCCACCCCATTAGGCCCTCCCGCAGCCGGCAGGTATGGTGACACCATGGAGGAGCGGCGGCTGACGGTGTAGGCCGAGCTGATGGTGCTGGTGGTGCTACCACGGCGCTCACCGGGCATGGATAGGGAGGGCAGGTCTCCCGATGACAGCTCCATGATGCGCCGGTGAGAGACAGCGGAGGGTGGCCCACACAGGCCAGGCATCTCTCTCGTGGAGCCTGCGAAGAAGCGGAACAGTTGACCAAAAGGACAGAGAAAACACATTTCAGAAAGCCAGGCCCAAAGCTAAGCCCATGGTTTGCAGCCGGCGTACTAGGCCCGAGGCAAGGCCTGACAGAATGGCGAAAGGGCTCCTCCTCTGCGAGACCTGGGCACCTGTCAGTCATATTTAGAGCATCGTATGTGATGTCAGCTCCAGGGCAGGTAGAAACATGGCTCAACCAGCTCTGTGACCTAATTGGGAGGGGGCAGTGCTAAATGGCTGAAGAAAGAAGAGCGGACCACAAGACCAAGGCCAAGAGTATCTGCAAGAGGCTATTTCACTGCAAGCGGTAAAATAGGAGAGCAGCCTTGCCCAGCACTGAAGCTGCTCTGCTGGCAGCCATCTTGAAGAGCAACAATGGGCCTTGTTATTCTCACTGCCTCCTGCCTATGGGAAACCGTCTATGCAGACCCTATTCTATGGGCATCCACAGGGGTTTTTCTGATCGGGGTGGGCAGGCAGCAAAGTAAAACATGACAACGGGGAGCAGGAGAGTTTCTGTCCATTTTGACTTCTAGCTCAGGTTCTACAAATGCTAGAAAAATACCCTTTAAAAAAAATGAAAGCTGGAGATCTAGAGATCAATGCTCATCCGGATTTGGAGGTGTAGATGTGTGCCTGACCCCCTGTGGAGACCCCTGCCCTCCCCTCCTCTTCCCCCCAAGACCTCCTTCCCCACGCACCTGACCCGGGGATGGACGGCAGCTTGACCCCCTTGGCGGACAGGGGCTTGCGCAGCTGCTTCAGCTTGTCAATGCGCAGGTTCTCCAGCTTGTGCAGCGCCGACAGCCCCGAGTTGCCCATGGGCTCTGACGGTTCCTCCAGCGCTGACAGGTCTTCTAAACTGCCACCCGCATTGGCATTCATCTCCACGCCACTGTCGTTGTTGTTTGCGCTGCCCAAGGGAGAGCGCTCGCTGCTGCAGGACGACTGGCCACCGGGGCTGGGCTGCGGTTTCTGGGGTGGGTGGGGGGTGGAGCACAGCCACATCGCAGGGTTACAGCAATCGTCACAACAACTCGGGGGGGGGGGGGAGGTGTTCCAAGCAGGGTGGGGGGAGAGATCTTGGCTACTTAGAATCATAGAATTGGAAGGGACCACGAGGGTCATCTAGTCCAACCCCCTGCAATGCAGGAATCTTTTGCCCAACGTGGGGCTCGAACCCACGATCCTGAGATTAAGAGTCTCATGCTCTACCACTTGAACTCACTGGGACCTGTATGGGAGTGGGGTACTTGCTTGTTTCTTTTATTACATTTCCATCCCCCCTTTCCTCCCAAAGGAGCCCAGGGTGGCAAACAGCCAGTGATTAATCAATAGAAATAATTCTAGTACAGATGCAGACTGGGAAAGATCTCAGCTGAAAAGGCTGGTTGGAAGAGGAAGGTCTTCATCGGGCACCAAAAATGCAGCAGAGATTGCACCTGTCTCTTATTCAAGGGGAGGGCATCTCATAGGGCAGGTGCCACAACACTAAAGGCCTGATTCCTGTATTGTGCAGAATGGACCTTCTGATGAAACGGTATCTGCAGGAGGCCCTCACCTGCAGAGTGCAGTGACTGTGTATACAAGGGGTGAGATTATCTTTCAAGTGTCTTGCACCTTACCTGCACAGGGCTTTATAACACCGAAACCAGCACCATAACTACTTCAACTTGCTTCTTAAACTGAATAACATGTGATGGTAAAACAATATTTTTTAAATAAAAAAAAATAGGGCTGCCAGCTTTACTCAGTAGACCATCTACTTAGTTGATTAATCACTGGCGCAAATTCCAGTTGGTGTGGGCAATGGATGAGGGTGGTAGAAAGGAAAACGGGAATAATGCTGAGATGATCAGGGTGCCAATTTCCGAAGATTTATAGTGCAGCGTTCCTTTCTCCAGGCCTGTATGCTGAAGAATGGACTGCAAGAACAGGAAGCTTCCTGGACTAAACGTTTTGGCTGAATCACAAATTCCCACCAAATTCTAATTCCTCTTTGGCTCAGTGTGGTTTGGTTTGGGAAGGTCTGTAGCTCAGCTCCCTGGCACCTGCAAGTAGGTGTGGGAGAAATCCCCACCTGAAGCCATGGAGAGCCACTGCTGGTCAGTGTGTGGGCAACACTGGGCCAGGCGGACCAACGGTCTGACTGGGTATGAGGCAGCTTCCTCATCTTTTCTGACTCATCCTTTCTGTGCTTCTTAAGAAGTAAGGAGGGAAGTGGCCCCCAGTGCTTCTTGAACTCAATAAATTCTAGCCTCATAGGCTGACCCATTAGGGCACCTGCCCCACCAACCCCAGTCTGCCTTCTGGCAACCGCCAACTACCAGACTTTCTGCTTGCAAACAGTGCAAGGGGAGGCACTGGCTGCCACCTTCCCTCTCCTCAGTCTCATAGAACACAGCAGGGAATTGGTGGGCTCTGCCTAGCACTGGCTCTGGCACCACCTACTGTTGGCCTCCTTGCCTTCTGCCCTAGCAGCCTCAATGACCACCAGCCACCACTGACCAGTGTCAAGATCCGTCCTCCGTGTGTCCTCTCCAAGCAACCGTAATATGCCTTGCACTGGAATTTAGTCTCTCTTCTCCCAACGCTGCCTGTGTAGCACAGCTTACCAAGTTAGAGTCAGGCACCATGAGTTTGCCTTCGTCTTTCCTGCCTTCGCTGTCTCGCTCCTGTTTCATATCGCTGTGGAGGACGAGTGTCCGGCTGGTGGAGATGGTGTCTCCACGGTGCTTCTTGGTGACGTGGGCATCTGGTCCGTGCACCGTCTTGACATGCTTGCGCAGAGAACTGGGGTCTGTGTATCGCTTGGTGCAGCCTGGGATCTTACAGACGTAGGGTTTCTGCCAGGACACAAACAGGTCATTATCCCTCACTGGAGGTGGTAACTTTAGGCATAGAATGCTTCTCTGACTCATTTTGCCTCATAGTAAGACAAGTGTGCTTCAAACTGGGACCCTCCAGATGTTGGACTGCAACTCCTATGAACCCTCACTATTGCCTATGCTGCTTGGGGATAATGGGAGTTGTAGTACAACAGCACCTAGAGACTTGAGGTTCGGGAAAGGCTGAAGCACTGGGTCATACCAATATTGCATGGAGGGGGAGGTTGCCATCTTTTTGACATGAGGCTCCATGGTTCACCCTAGGCAGCTAGCCATACCTCATTGGAATGTGTCCGGTTCTGGTGCTTGGCCCGGTCTGAAGCATTGGAGAAGGCCTTATTGCAGCCCTCGTGCTCACAAACGTAGGGCTTCTCACCCGTGTGGGAGCGCAAGTGGGTCTTGAGGTTCTCCAGTCGTGAGTAGGCCTTATTGCAGCCTTCAAACTGTAGGATAGCAAAGCAGTTGGTAGTTGTATGGCAAAATGGGGAACCCCCACCCCCACAAAATCACTCTTTCTCTGTGCCAGCCCAAATGTGTAGCTTCCTTTGTGCACACACCACACCCTTCTTCCAATGGGGCAGCCAGCCACACCCATTCACAGCCAGGTATACATGATGGAAGTGGTGGAAGATGGAACCTGGCTCATCGTCACAGGCACCAGGTTCTGCCCAACTTTGGGGGTGCCTGGCGCATGTCTGTGATGTCACGAGCATGACGCACATGTGTAACATCACATGGCAGGAGGAGTCTGCAAGGCCCACCACAGCCACAGGGAGTCCTGGCAAGGCCTGGTGGGTCCCCTTCACAGCCGTGGGTAGGCATGGCGAGGCCCACCACAGGACGCAGAATATTGAGGGGGCCCGGCTGCCTCCTTGAAAATTTGAGGCACCCCTGCTGAGGGGTAGGGTTGTCAGAGAATTCCATCAGAAATTGAAACTAGTGCAATCTGCAAGTTTGCCCAAGGTGAGGAATGGAAATCACACAAGTGAATAAAAGCAGTATTCACTATAGTAGTTTTTGAGTCCACACAAGTTATGCAAATCAGCAATTTCCCATTTTTTCAGACCCAGAACCCACTCTGAACCCAAACATGCATTAGAGGGGGACTCATTTCGTAATCTTTTACAATATATTTGCATGGTGGTAGTGCTCCTGTTGTGATGCACCTTGGATCAGGCCACGACTCACTAGTGGGTCCTGACTCCTGACCCACCTGTTGAAGACCAGTGATGTAAATAATTGCATTATTTTCTGCATTGTTTTTGACGTTTCCATTCCACTGAAATGCATTGAAATTAATTATGTTTGTTCTGGACATAGTAGAGAATGAAACAACACAGATGTTAGCAGAAGCTGAATAGTAGCAATACAAAAACAGTACTCATTGTGAAGAAGACAAGGCGGGAGACAGTCATAGTGTGAACCCCATCAAACTCCGTCTCTCCTCAGATCCTCCACGCAGGACAGAAACCAGCTGGCTCTTTGAGCCCACCTACTTACTGTGCACTTGTGGGGCTTCTCTCCTGTGTGGCGCCTCATGTGAACAACCAGCATGTACTGAGCTTTGAAGGGTCGTTGTTCCCGAGAGCACTCCTGCCAGTGGCACACAAACTCCTTTTTCTCCCCATGGATGTGCTCATTGTTGATATGCTGCAACGACAGGGGAGCAACGCAGAAGAGGTAAAAAGTCAGTGGAAGTCAGTGGCAAACACAATTCATCACCAGCATTTATGGTTTAGCTTCTGATCCTGCCTAATCACTGCAAGGGGACGCGGGTGGCGCTGTGGGTTAAACCACAGAGCCTAGGACTTGCTGATCAGAAGGTTGGCGGTTCAAATCCCTGTGACGGGGTGAGCTCCCGTTGCTCGGTCCCTGCTCCTGCCAACCTAGCAGTTCAAAAGCACGTCAAAGTGCAAGTAGATAAATAGGTACCACTCCGGCGGGAAGGTAAATGGCGTTTCCATGCGCTGCTCTGGTTCGCCAGAAGCAGCTTAGTCATGCTGGCCACATGACCTAGAAGCTGTACACCAGCTCCCTCGGCCAATAAAGCGAGATGAGCGCCGCAACCCCAGAGTCGGTCACGACTAGACCTAATGGTCAGGGGTCCCTTTACCCTTTACCTTTAATCACTGCAAAGCATTACAGAGTGGAACAAGGGATCGTTCCAGGATGTAGAATCATAGCTGGGGGGGGGGGAAGGGTGTCTAGCCTGGGTTTCTGACCCCGGTGAAGCTTCCAGAGGGGTGCCATTCTGACAGTAAGAGCTGTTCAACCGTGGAATGGTCTGCCTCAGGAGGTTTTTAAGCAGAGGTCGGGTGACCATCTGTCATGGATGCTTTAGCTGAGTTTTCTGCATTACCAGGGGTTGGACTAGATAATCCTTGGCATCCCTTCCAAGAAAAATAAAATTGAGAGCCCAACAAAAATAAAATTGAAAGGAATCTTGTTGAAGCTTACTCAGGAATAAATTTACATGTCAAAACTCCTTGAAAGGGTTTGCACACAACCAAGAAGAGGGGCGGGTGACAAAAAGCTTCAAAGAAAAGGACAAAATTTTTTTTTGAAAGGAAACCAGAGGGGCTTGGCTGATCTTATGGTCTTGTAATGCAGTCTTGAAATGATCCTGTGACCAAACAAATCCAATTAAAAACCTGACCTCATATAGACAATTGCTGCACATGGAAGTTCTACTTTTGACAAACAATTTGCTTTTACAGGAAGGGATGCTCACTTTCCCTTTGGTCATACAGTCATAATACGTCTTAGGATTCCTTTGAATTCAAATAATCTATTGCCTATTTTTATATCCTTTACAAATAAATGTGTTGAGGGGTGTGTGCGTGTGTGTGTGCATGTGTGTATGCAAACACACATCCGAGGGTGGGTGGGTGCCAAACTGGGTTTTTGACTCAGGTGACAGAAAGCCTAGTTTTGGCCCTGCCAGGATGTATCTTATGCAGCTAATCAGGGCAGGGGGTTGGACTGCGTAAGTCAGCCCTTCCAGTTCCCACCAAGTTCTAAGATGCCTCCCGTCCCGTCCACCCCCCCCCCCCAAGTCCTGCCCACAAGCCCACATCACTCACGTGCACCAGCTGCTCCTGGGTGTCAAATTCCTTGGAACACCCTTCCCAGTGGCAGTTGGTTTCATACACTGCCTCAGCCTCTACTTTCCCATCTTCCTTCTCCAATTCATCCCGGGGATCAAGCATGCCTAGTAAGGGATCCTGGGATGGAGGTAAGAAATGGAGCATGTTCAGAAAATCTTGGGAAGAATTCAGAGCAATGACCTAGTCTGCCCCCCACTGAACAACCCAATGAGAGAGGGGCAAAATCTGTCCATGATGCTCCACCCAGCGCACAGGCATAGCAAGGATTTTTGTTGGTGGGGGAGGCAGGCCTTTTGTTAGGGGGGAGGGCTTTTGGGGGGGGCAGAATCTCAGCTATGCATTTTTATTGATTTTTCTTGATTGGAGGGGCAGCTGCCCATCCCTGCCCCACCTCCCAGCTGTGCCCATGGACTGATGAAGTCAAGGGTTTTGCTGATGTCCGTGAATCTCTTTTGTGCCTTCTGATGGGTCACATGGCTGAGGCGCCATAAGTTGATGGCAGAGCAGGTGCAGAAGGTCCCAGATTCAGTCTGTATCATCATTGGACTAGAGATGGACCAATGATCTGACTTGTTTAAGGCAATTTGGTATATTTAATTCACAAAAAATTCTTTTCGTAGGTTGTAACTGTATCACATGGGTGACTGATGGTGTGGAAACATGATATGGGGTGGTTTAGAAGGAGGAGGATGTATATTTGTATGGGCAGATTTCCACCATAGTGGAGCTTAGAACTCTTTCTTTATTCTGCCATGCTTTTAAATAAATTACATGTATCTGTACATAACATGCTCTCTCAAAGGTTAAGGGTGGATTCCAACATGCTATTTAAAACAACATAAAACATAAGAGGAGAGTTTGGACTTTAATAAGCTGAAATATGAACAAGCCTTTAGGCTGAGTTTGCAACCCCTCTGCCTTCATGGTGGAGAGGCAAACCAGCCAGGAAGTCTGCTGTTAATTACACTTGCTTGTTTCATCTGAACCAAGAAACTATGGTTAGCAGCTTTGGAACAAGTCAGGATATTAAGACAACTTCAAAATGTAGTTTAATATCCTGGTTCATTCTGAAGCTGTTACCCATAGCTCCCCAGCCTGAACACAACATGCAACTATAACTTCCCTGTTTGTTTGCTCACTCACACAAAGGGAAGAGCAAAGGAACTGTGTGTTCAGCCAAAGAGCTTGTTCATACCTTGACTTATTAAGCCAAGATATGATCATCTCAATGTTGTCAGTAAGTTAAAATACCCTGCCACCAATGCCTCGGCTGCAGCCATCAGATATGCCTGCCCAAACCAAAAAGATCTGATGTGTCTCTGGAAACCAGCTTCTGCTAGGGCTCTCTCTGGTGAGCAACTTATGTAATGGCATCTGGTCAAAATGGAGCAGATATTGGGTTGTACCCAAAGTAGAACTGAGTAACACATTCCATCAGCACAATAACTTCTGCTGCTTGCTCACCAGGACTTTCCCCTCCTCCCCCCCTCCTCCGTGCCCCCTAAAGGTTGCCCCACACAATCCCACTGCGCATGCAGTTTGGTTTGTGGACAGACTGGCAACGAGTGAGAGACAAAGGTGTCATGAACCAGGCCTAGAGTGGGGTTGATCTATCCAGCTGTGAGACTGAAATGTTGGGAGGAGAAACAAGCAAAACGCCATGGTTTTTATGTGTAACGCTGATGGTGAGAACATCTCCCTCTCTCTCCTCCACGCCCCCACAGCCCCCCAGCTCCAAATGAGCCACTCCAGTCCTGGACACTTGACTCTGGATTAGGAGAGAGGGCGCGCTTGGTGTCTGTGTGAGAACATTGGTGTGGCCCGATGTTACCTGTGTCCCTGTCGAGGCTGGGCTGGAAATGTCACCCTCCGAGCACTCCTCCATGCACTTGGTGCTCAGGGACTCCAGAGGGCTGCCCAGGCTGGGCTCTGACTTCAGCTGTGGGAAAGAGACGGCGAGAGCTCCAGGTGATGGTGCCCTCTCCCAGTGCAGCCCCAGACCCGAAGGAGGCCCCTTCTCCCTCTGTTAACTCTACGGCCTCCCATCTTGCTTTCCCAAACGAATGTGAGAGATTAATCTAAGAGCCTACCAAGAGTGCTAAGGCACCCCGGGGTTGTTAACATTTATTTCTGAGGGTTTTTGTTTTTTTCAGGGGTGGGGGTGGGCAGGCAGGCTACGGGACTTGGTAAGCAGTGGGTACGGCGGTGTCATGTTGGGGGCTTTTGGTATTCACCTGCTTGAGCGTGACACTTTGAGAGGGGCAGGCGGGTGAACCTGATACCCACTTACCTGGCAGTGTTTCAGCATCCCACGGGGTGGTGGCATATGGTGCATCATACCTGGCCGGCCAGGTATGTGTTCATGAGATCCACAGGGAGCCATAGGTGGGTTGTGGCCAAATGACATCCCTTGAGCTTTCTGGTGGCCCATGGGGCTCTGGAACCCAAGGGAAGGACTGCCAAGGGTGACAGAAGAAAGCACAAGCTGTTTGCATGCAGAACACCTGCATAATGCACCATTTGCACAATGAGCGTTTGCATAATGGCATGTGTAACATGATGCAACAGAAGTGCATAATGCGTTACTGAGCCCAAATGCAGCTTTTTAAAAAACAAAAAGGGGAAGGAAAGTTTCTAGCCCTTATGCTTGAAAGGGCACAGGCAATGCCCTCCAGCTGTGAAACATGGAGCTGAAGAAACTTCTGACTGGGGGGCACTATTAGTGGAGAATGAGAACTAACATAAGCGGGAAGGTTTTTCTTAATCTCCGGTACGACCGTAGAACTATTTTCATTTTGTTCAGAGTGCATTTGTACATCATCCCCTTACCTGGCTTACCTTAATTTAACAGAACTACCCTCTGACTATCTATAATGGGACTTGCTTGGGCAGCTAAGGAGTGCAGAATTGAGGAGATGTAGTCAAGTTTGGGCGTGAGGATTCCCCACTCCTTATTGCAGTGCTCCTCACACACAAAAGGCTCTGGCTTTGGAGGCAGACATTGGTGTGCTTCCCCAAAGAGTAAATCCTAGAAAGTGGGGCATATATGCTTCTGCTTCAGAATGGCTAGAGTGGGGAGAAGGGGGAGTGGAAGCTCATTTGTGCCAGTTTGGGGAAAACTGAGAACTTGGGGTGTTGGGAGGACTGAGTGACAGGCAGGTGCTGCACGTCCACGGTAGGTCAAGCACATTTTAAAAAACATGTTTGACTTTTTAAAATATGAGGTTTATAATGTGTGTTGCAAAGAGCATATTTGCTCAGGAGGCACAACTGGCTAATGTATTTGGGTGTGTATGAGAGTTTCCCATACATTTTGCATACAAGTGAAGAAGGCTCTTTGTCAGAGGTCCAGCACTGAGTTTAAGTTTATAAGAGGAACAGGCTTTTATGGTGCCCAGGACAGTTCCTCAGATTTCCAAATATGTCCCTGGTCCTAAAAAAAGTTGGGGCTCCGCAATACACACAAACCTGACCTATCCCGGAAGGGAACACCTACCTGCTGGTGCCAATGGAGAGGTGCCCGTAGGAGCCACCAGCTGAAGCACAGCGGGAGTTTATGTAAGCCACCAAGGAATTGGGAGAGGTGCGGATGACAGTCTGCAGGTCAATGCTGGCATCTGAGAGAGGAGAGATGGACAGTGCTCGCTTCTTGGTCAACTTGGCTGTGCTTCGGGGCGTGGAAAAGCGAGTACCTGGGTGAGAAACAGGAAGAACACAGGGAGCTGCCTTATCCTTCGTCAGACGTTGCATCTGGGTCAGTATATTGCCAACACTGGCTGGCAGCTGCTCTCCAAGTTTTAAGACAGGGTTCCCTGCCTCCAAAGCTATCTAGAGTTTATTTATTTCTTTAAAGCATTGGGGTGCTCTAAATGAATGCTGGCAGGTCACCAAGCTGTTTGTGCATCTTCTCCCCTCCCTGGGGCAAGATGCCAGGGATTGAACCAGCACATTCTCCAATGCATTTCATCATATGAGGTTGCCTGGCCCTCTAAGACAGGGAGGGGGAACCCATGGCCCTCCAGGTGTTGCTGAACTACATCTCCCATCATCCCTGTCCACTGACCATGCTTGCTGGGGTTGGTGGGGGAGGGGCCAGGTTGGCTATCCCTGCTCTAGGAGCATCAAGAGACAACTTGATGAAGGGTTCTTCTCTTTCTGCTTCTTGTGTAAGCACATTACTTCCTGCAAAGAATCCCGGGAACCATAGCTTATCGTTCACACAGATACAGTTCTCAGCAGCCAAGAATCCTTTGTGGGAAGTCATGTGCTTTAAATGGACAGTGTATTTGCAGCCTTGGAGTGGGAAGGTAAACCAGGTGACACAGGAAGACGGAGGAGCAAAAGCAGGAGGCTTTCGTGTCAGCAGTGTGTCCCCACTGGGGGTGTGGGCCCAGGGAGGTGCCCTATATTGTTGACCACTGATGCTGACCTTGTCCAGGACAGCCTCTAGTAATTACAGGCATGTTCCAAAGTGGAGATGTATGTGCTGGGGCTTGCATGGAAGTTGTCACCACGGCGGGTCCTACAGCAAAAGAGACAAGCCACTTTGAAAACTGCGCAGGAGCTTGCCTTTTCAGCAAGAGTAGCAGCTATGGCAAAACTATCAAAGAAAACTCCAGCTGCATGCAAAATTTTGGCCTGTGCTTACTTATCTGTGCTCTCAAGTCTGTAGGCTGCAGTGTGTCCCCTTCTACCTTGCCCCCCACTCATTACTTCTCATGAATTTGCCACCACCTGTCCTTGAAACTCACCATCAGTATGAGAAGGATGTTCACTTCCAGGTGGCATCCCATAGGTGTGATGATTCCCCATGGAGTTGGCTTGGTGGTAATATGGCAAGTCATTGATTCCTGGAAAAGAACAGAGTGAGCCATTAATGGAAGCAGGGGATGTTTTGGTCCACCCTGGGATTCCTTGGAATGTCATCAGGGGCTCCTCAGTGAGAAGACCAGTACTGGCAGACACCCGAATCCTGAACAAGGCCCCTGATAATATTCCCTTCCAACATCTACCTCAAGGGGTGTGATGAGTGTGTTCTGAGACACAAGGGCATTGCCTCAGGTGCAAAGAGAAAAACGAGGACTTGCAGGGCTTGCTGGTCCTCTGCCCAAACTGAATGTTCACATGCATTCCTAGAAAACCCTCTCTACAAATCCTCTCTAGGGTTCCATACAATAGCTCCTCAGCACACATAGCAACATGGAAAAGGTTCCAGGAAGCTGGGTGGGTTGGAAAACCCTCTTGTAAAAGAACAGAAGGAGAGGCAAACAGATGGCTCAGGTGGAGTGTTGAGCAAGAGGACTGTGCTGCTCTTGGCCCATGCTGCCCCTGGCTGTTGCTGTGAGACTGACCTTCCACCATGGTGCTGGGTTGCCCTTGCCCATGGAGGGGGCGAAGGTAGCAGTGTTCTACGTAGTTATTAACTGGTGCGTTCATCGGGTTGAACATGGTTTGTCGGAGGCTGGATGCAGTCAGGGACACATCTGCTTTTTTGGTGGGTTACAGTGAGCCAGGAAGTAGCAGTGCTCCTGCTAAGGGATCCAGATCTGCAAGAGACAGAGTGTAGTCATGTGAGAAGACAAGAGACCAGCACCCAAGATCCCACAGTCACTGGTGTGGTGGCCCTAGAATTGGTCCTGTCTTGTTGCGCAGTTCAGCCAAGGACCCTAGTTTTCATCACTGACAGAGAGGGGTCACAGGTCAGTGGCAGAGCACAGACTTGGCATGTACAAAGTTCTAGGTTGAACTCCTGGCATCTCCAGGCAGGGCTGGAAGATACCTTTCTCTCTCCCCACCCACTTGAATCTCTGAAGAGCCACTATCTGTCACATCTGATCAAACTGAGTGGGACAGAACAAGAGTCTGGTTTGGTGCAAGGCAGCTTCCTATGATAACACAGGTTTAATGTACACCTTCCATGATTAGCTCCAGTAATAGTATTATATGCCCTTAAACAGATACGGAGGGCTCCTCCAGACAGCCAATTTATTATTTTTCTTGATTTGGCTTGCACAAAGTTTACATGGGGGTTAGATAATATCCAGTCTTTATTGAGTATTTGTTCTGATTTGTTTGCTTGTAGCTTACACAAGAATGAACGTTCATCCTGTATTCATCCCGATTTGCTTTTATACATCTACCATTTGTCATTCATTCAATCAATCCTGCTTGGCAGGGGGTTGGACTCGATGGCCCTTGTGGTCTCTTCCAACTCTATGATTCTATGATTCTATGATTCTATAATCCACACCTTTCAGTGTCGCTTACCCAAACTGCAAAAAGTCTTGTTTCTTTTTTAAAAGTGGATTCATTGCATCAGAGCGACAAAACACTCCACTTTAATTGAAAAAACCTAAAATTATCAGTAAGAGCCTGAATTCCTCCCACAAAATGCTGACAAATCTGGAGAGAGACAGAGGCAGTGACACCCCAGTTGTCTGATGAAAGAAGGAAAAGAGTTTTCTAGTAAAGCTGAGTGGAGTGAGGGGAGAATCAAAGGCTCATAATTAAATAGATACAAGATTAACTCCTCCCTATCTGGGGAAATAAATGAAAATGCCTTTTAAGAGCATTTGCCATTATTATTTCCTCTTTTACACCTCATCTTAACTGTGGCAATGTTATCAACACAGGACAATGAGTCCCACTCTCATTTTTAATAAAAAATATTTGTTCTTTTGACATACACATAAGCTTGCGTAAATGTTTCTGCACATTAGATACTCAATCCTTTACTATGATTTCTATTCTTGGGAATCACTTATTGAACTCAATGGGACCTGTTACAGAGAAAACATGCCTGAGATTGCACTTCCACTGTGTATGGCCATTGAGTTGTCAATGGATACAGAAGGATCCATATCCTCTCCCTACTGCCCCTCCAAGGATCCCTATAAAGTCGTACCTTGGTTTTCAAACAGCTTAGTTCTTAAACGTTTTGGCTCCCGAACGCCGCAAACCGGGAAACGACGGTTCCGGTTTGCGAACTATTTTTGGAAGCCGAACATCCGACGGGGCTTCTGATTGGCTGCAGGAACTTCCTGCAGCCAACTGGAAGCCACGCTTTGGTTTCCGAACGTTTTGGAAGTTGAAAGGATTCCGTTCGACTTCCAGGGTATGACTGTACAGAGGGTCCAACTCCATACCCCAAATATGACTTCAGGGTTGTGGGAAGACAGGGTTTGCTACCATTTAAGTCATACACTGGCCCACGATCATGTATGAGTCACCCAGACCCAATTCCAACCTTTGATCAGGAGAATGATTATAGATCAGAAAGATGGCTTCATCAGAAATGCATCTGCTATGGGAAAAAAGCCAAGAATTAAACATAAAATTATGATAGATATAAAAGAAAGAGGAGGCTTTGCTCTGCCAGACTTGCAAATGTATTACAAGGCAGCTTTTTATGCTAGTTAAAAGATTGGATTGCATTGGACAATGCAGATATCCTAGATTTAGAGGGTTGTGATTTAAAATTCAGCTGGCATGCATGTCTTTGGGAAGGCAAAAATCTGTAAGCGTTTGATGAACCTTATTCTTAGGAAGAATCTGTATAGAGTTTGGGAGGAATATAAAAATCTGCTGGAAAGAAAAACACCTTTATGGTTATATCCCATCAAAGCAATTACAATTAAGAGAGTTACTATGGATAGACTTACAGTGGTGCCTCGGGTTACATACGCTTCAGGTTACATACGCTTCAGGTTACAGACTCCGCTAACCCAGAAATAGTACCTCAGGTTAAGAACTTTGCTTCAGGATGAGAACAGAAATCGTGCTCCGGTGGCGCGGCGGCAGCGGGAGGCCCCATTAGTTAAAGTGGTGCTTCAGGTTAAGAACGGATCTCCGGAGCGAATTAAGTACTTAACCCGAGGTACCACTGTACAGGGAACTGCTGGATTTTATGGGGGGCGGGGGCGGGACTCAAACTGAAACCAATGGAAAACCTAAGGAGCCAAGTTACGGATTGGTTGCAATATCACCAGTTACATGATATGTTTAAATTAGATAGGGAGAATGAATTTTTGGACCAAAGATTACAATTTGAAAAAACAAAGATAAACTTTTGTCTAAAATGTATAATCTGTTATTAGAATGGGAAACAAAACAGGAGCTTGTTAAAGCTTCAATGACACACTGGACAATAAAGCACAAAATAGAGATCTTAACCTCTGGGAGAAACTCTGGAAAAGTGACCTGAAATTTACAGCATGCTATTCATTGAAAGAGAAGTATTTGAAAATGATTCATAGATGGTACTTAACTCCAAGTAGGTTGGCTAAGATTTATAAGACAGAATCAGATAAGTGTTGGAAGTGTAAAGAAGTGGAGGGAACATTCTTCCACATGTGATGGACATGTAAAAAGGTAAAAGGGTATTGGGAAATGATGTATAATGAATTGAAAAAAATGTTCAAAATTACTTCTCCCCCCCCCCCCAAAAAAAACCTTAGTCCTTTTTGCTGGGGATAACCCAGACTGAACTTCCCAGGTGCCAGAAAAGGTTATTTATGAATGCAACAACTGTTAGCCCACAAACAGAAAGGGAACGAGGTCCCAACTAAAGAGGGTTGGCAACTTAAGTTGACAAAATATGCACAACTTGCAGATTTAACATATAGAATAGGAGAGCAGGAAGAACATATGTTTAAAGAAGATTGAAAAACATGTATTGAATATATGGAAAATAACGATACAGCTGAAAACACTGGCAGCATTAAGATAAATTCAACAGAGTAAATAATTTTTGATGGATGTAAAAGTGGAAAATTGATTTGAATTGTTATAGTAACATATGCAGGGATTTATGATATGTAAAATGAACCATGGAAAGAAGAAGGGAAGTGACTGGATATTTTAAAGTTTGTAAAATGTTTATTTGAAATTATAAAACAGAAAATTTAATAAAAATTATTATACAGCATATATATAAAAAGAAACACCTCTGCTAAAATTCAAGAGGCTATTTAGGTGGCCCTAGAGTCCTCTAAAATTGTTTTGGATTGATAATGCTGTTTCACCACTGTGCTGAAGGGGATGTGAACAGTGGGGTTCTTTTTGCACATGTGGTAGGAATGCAACCCGGTCCAAAGATTTTGGGAAATTGTATTTGAGCAAATATCTGACATTACAGGACAACTCATTCCCCCTAACCCTGCTTTCACCTTTCCATCTATTGCAGATCACCTGGAGAGATCAGTCAAACACAAGGAACTTGCTATGGTGTGTGTGTTTCTCTCTCCCATATTTTTGCCATCACCTCTCCATGGAAAGACCACCCACAGCTCTCCATAGCATTCCATTGGGATGAGATCTCCATTTATTACTTTCACCAAAATAACATCACTCACTTCCCCTCCACCCACCTACTCAGATTTCCTTACAGCAAAGTTCAATAGGTAAATGGACACAGAACATCAGCCTTAGCTTCTCTTTCTTATTCTGTTGCAGACCAAGTAAGTGCTGTGTGCTTGAATTTTAACTGCATTACTCCAGAGTCATTTGTACTTGTGCTGTTGTTTTCTGTTATGTGCTAAGCTTGGATCCTAGAACAACAGGCAAGTAGGATCCTAGAATGCAACAACTGATTGGCTTGTAGGAGAAGACCAATCAGGCTCCAGGAGGAAGTTAATCAGCCTATTAGGCTGGTAGGATCGTGGAATGCAACAACTGATTAGCGTGCAGGAAAAGACCAATCAGGCTCCAGGAGGGAAGCCAATCAGACAGGACTCATTGTGTAAATAATGTACTGAGGTTTGTGGGGCAATTAAATCACTGTTTTACAAGCTGCAATAAAGAGCAGGAAATCACTACAGGACTCCAAGTATATTTCATTTTCTCTTTCATTGTATAAACTATAAAATACAATTTTAAAAGAAAATACTTCCAAGTGGTGGCAGATTTAAGATCTCCTTCCAACCTGGGTACAATGAAATACACGGGAAGTATGCAGGGCCATCAGCCCACAGGAAAGTGTGGCACAAGCTCAGGTCTTGAATTCTGAAGGACTCGTGTTTTATACCACAAGGATTGCTGACTTTCTTATCCCTTTAACAGCAGCCCTCTCCAGGCATAGAGAGGGACAGCTTCACCGACTTTGTGCTTGTGTGTCTTGTTCTGTGCAGGTGGCAACCCTATTCACAGCTGTGTGGATCCACAGGAACTCCCACCCATCTTGAGTGGCCACCAGGTACTGTGGCTGGCACAGTAATGCACCCTTCACTTAAGGTGGCGATGTACCCTAACTTTACAGAGGCATCCTTTGCTTTAAGATGCCCTCTATCTGAAGAGTTGTCTGGTCCAATTTCTGTTCAAAAAGCAAGGACCATAAGGAGAGGCGAGCAGGAGGGGCCTCCACGTTGCCCGTCAACATTTAGCAGCACCTGGAAAGCAGCCTGGAGGGGAACACAGGTCACTTGGTCTGGTCGAATGTGCGGTGCTTCTCTCAGAATTCTTGATACTGGGAATGCGTCTTCACTGCGCACTTTTCAGCATTTCTGTTTAGACAAGTCTGCCCAGGTATTTAGAAAGCTGGTGCATGTATTAATCTGTTTATAGTTTATTGTTGATTTTAAATTTTTCTCAGTGTTTTAAATTATTGCTGTTAAATTCTTTTTTTACTGATAATTGTATTGTTTTGCCTTTTTTTGTAAACTGCTTGGAGGGCTTTTTTGCAATCAAGCAGTGTATTAACTTTTATGAAATAAATAAATAAATAAATTATAGAAATTATTTTAAAACTTGCATCTCTTTATATAAAATAACACATGCAAATATCCTTTCTGGTGATGTATCTCCTTTGTGAGCAATTCACAAGTTGCCACCCAACACTCATGTATGCCTTTGTTTAAAAAGGGGGTTGACAAACTAAGGCCCGCGGGCTGGATCAGGCCCACCAGGGTTGTAAATCCAGCCCGCGCCCTGCACCATGAAGCCGGAACCCACCGTGAAGCTTAGACTCCTGGCGATGGCGACGGGAGGAAGAGGCTGAGTGGTGGCGGCTCTGCCACTCAATCGCTGTGCCTGGTTTACTTCAGCGGGGTTTGATTGGCAGAGACGTCCCCGCGCCGCGCTGAAGTAAACCAGGTGCGACATCTGATTGGCAGACCCACCGCCGCTCGGCCTCTTCCTCCCGTCACAAGGAGGCAAGGCAGCTCCCACCGCCAGCTCTGGCTCCTCCCGCCTCGCCACCTCCAGAAGTCCGCTTTCCCACTGGCAGAATCCGAGACCAGGGAGAAGAGTCGGTGGAAGAAGATTGGAAGAAATTTAAAGACTATCTACAGAAATACTGCAAAATTAATGAATGTTAGAATGCTGTTGGATTGAAGTTAAGTGGTTTTTAGCAGCAATGTTATAAAGGAATATGTAAAAATGGATTGTTAACAGGTGATAATCTAAAGTTATAATATATTAAGATAAAAGATTAAGATAAAATCAAAGAGGGAAAGGATTTGCTGAATTAACTAATTGAACTGGAATACAAAAAAGGGAGGTGTGAGGAGGTCAGGGAAACAAGCAAATGAAAGATAAGATATGGAAAGACTGATCTGTTTTTAACTGTTTTTACCTTGTATTTTCATTTTTTCTTTTTTTTCTTTCTTTTATCTCTTATTTTTGTAATATGTTGAAACTTTAATAAATATTTTTTTTAAAAAAAACCACAGAAGTCCGCTTTCCCTTCCCCGCCAGCTTCCACCTGCACCGCCAAGAGACCGCCAGTCTCAGCGAGTAGCCGCACCCTGCTCTGCCGTTGGATGCACAGTCGCAAAGAGCCCTAAAGACACGCTTACTCACAAGTAAGCCGCAATCATTTCAAGGCTGTTTGTTCAGTGCCTGAAGAACTGCTCAAGCCCACTGAGATGAAATGCGCTACGGATCACACCCCTGGGAAGGCAAGCGCAGTGCCTGGCCCCCTTGCCTCTTCTTCCAGCTCTTCACCCTGTGCCCCTTCTCCGGCCCGCCACAAGGGCTGAGGGACAGTGGACTGGCCTGCGGCTAAATGTTTTTGCTAACCCCTGGTTTAGGCAGTGGTGGAGCTTCATGCTCCGGCACCAGGGGGCAGAGAGCAGGCGGGGGGCGCATCCTGGGGGTGTGGCATGCCACCCAGAAGGGAGTGGCGCGCATCCTGGGGGCGGGTCGCCCTGTGCAGACGGGTGGGGGTGGGCAGCCACGCTGGAACCCTGCCAGGATCGCGCTGCTGGGGGTGGTGCGCTCCCCTAGCATTCCTCTTCCTCTGCCAGTGGGTTTAGGGGATTGCTTTTGTGGACTGTCATAGAGAATTTTGCATGTTATTAAGCCTCCATCTACACTGTGCCTTTTAAGACATGTCATACCACTTTAACAGTCATGGCTCCCCCTCCAAAATCCTGGGAACTGTAGTTTGTTACAGCTGCTGAGAGTTAACACGAGCTGCAATTCCCAGAGTGGTTTAACAATCAATCCATCTTAACAGGGAATTCTGGGAATTGTAGGCTCTATGAGAGGAAAGGGGTTAACAACTATCTGCTCCTGTAACAAACTACAGTTCCCAGGATACTTTGGAAGAAGACATGACTGTTTAAAGTAGCAAACTCGATCATCACTGCTTTAAATGTTTGCAAACCATTTGCTGTTTCTTAACAGCCAACAATATATTCTGGATTCCAGCAGAGGGAGCCAACACCATACCACGTCAAGGTGAAAGATTCATAATGCCTTGCGGTATCTTTACTCCTTGCCCCACCTCTGCTCTTTGCAAGGCAAAAAGTGACTTGAAGGGCCATCTTGAGTGGAAAAATGGTGTCTCCTCTCTATTGCTGTTCTAAAGATATCAGGAAGTACCCATAGCTCCATTTCCATTTTTCGAAAGCCCAGCAGATCCTATTATAATATGCAGTTTGGCCCCAATAGTCCAAATGGCACTTAACGTTTGAGAGAAAAATATATGACTGTAATTACATTTTTATCCCAAGGATCTCAGGCTAGCATACATGGCTAACCCCTGTCCATTTTATATTCCCTACAACCCTGCGAGGAAAGTTTTTAATTGTAATTGTTGTTAATTACCCGCCCTTCACCCTAAGTTCTATTTTAATAACACCCTAAGGTCCTAAAGGGCAGGTTGCAACATTGAAAACTGCTTAAAACAACTTACAATAAGAGAAATAAGGTGAGCACATACACCTGAAGTGTCAAAAGCCAGGGTAGAGGTGCGTCTTCAAGCATTCTCCGAAAGCTGTACAATGAAGGTGCCTATTGCACCTCTGCAGGGAAGGAGTGCCACAGATAATGCCCTCTTCCAGGGCACTGCCGCCGCCACTCTGAGCTTCTAAGATGGCCTATTTTTATTATTTTATTATTATTTATTGAACATATATACCACCCTATACCCAGAGGTCTCAGGGTGGTTCACAGAAGCTTTAAATGTTCAGTACCTGTTTTACTTACTTTAATGGGGTTCATTGCGAAGTGAGTGTGCGCAGGATAACACAGCCTTAGTGAGAAGTCTCCGCCAGTTTCTTTCACTGCAGATGCCTTCAGTTTCCACCTTTTGCTGACGAGTTCCGCCAGTGGTTTAACCAGGAATCTCTCACACACACACACAAAGGGAAATTTCAATGCTATTGCTAACTGCTCTTATGCAGTTACAACCATTTCTTGGTCCAAATGCTTCCACAAAGGGTCAGCATCCTTTGGCGATACCTGAGGAAACCATACCCAAGGCACTTCTTGGCCACGTTGGCGTCCCGCTGGCTTGCCTTGTGTCAAACAGATGCTTTCCTTCCAAGGCACACAGCAGCTTGAGAGTGTGTCTGAGGATTTACATCAAGATTTTTCATGGGGGGGGGGGGGAGTGAAGCCTTTCTCTTCACATACTGTGGGTGGGGAAGCCTCAGGCCCATGGGCCTAATGCCTATTTGTTAGGCTCTTGGGATTATCAGAAAGCGATGCCTAACTGTACAATGTGCCACAGTGCTTTTGCCTAGTTGGACTATGTCCTTGGACTGTGACAATGTCTCTTGGATGGAGGAAGAGGGGTGTGTATGTGTGTGTAAAAAAGGTAAAGGGACCCCTGACCGTTAGGTCCAGTCATGGCCGACTCTGGGGTTGTGGCGCTCATCTCACTTTATTAGCCAAGGGAGCCGGCGTACAGCTTCCGGGTCATGTGGCCAGCAGGACTAAGCCACTTCTGGCGAACCAGAGCAGCACATGGAAACACCGTTTACCTTCCCGCCTGAGTGGTACCTATTTATCTACTTGCACTCTGACGTGCTTTGAACTGCTAGGTGGGCAGGAGCAGGGACCGAGCAACGGGAGCTCACCCCGTTGCGGGGATTTGAACCGCCAACCTTCTGATCGGCAAGTCCTAGGCTCTGTGATTTAACCCACAGAGTGTGAAAAAACCTGTATTTTGTGTGGCTGGAAAGTAGCCTATTTTACAAAGACAAGCACTTGTGCCTCTGGTTCTGTCCACTCTGGCCTCACCTACCACTGGCAGGCAACACCTGCCCCCTGCCTGCCAAAAGATTGCGCATGAGAGAATCAGGCTCTCAGACTGAAGAAGGCTTCCCATCCCTCCCATTGCATTTATTTTTATTTATTTATTACATTTATATACCACCTTTTATCTTCCAAGGATCTCAAGGTGGTGTACATGGTTCCCCTCCTACCCATTTCATCGTCTGTGAGGAAGGTTAGGCTAAGAGAGGGTGACTGGGCCAAGGTCGCCACCCAGTGAACTTCATGGCTGAGCGGGGATTCAAATCCTGCTTGCCCAGGTCCTAAGTCCAACACTCTAACCCATGGGTAGGCAAACTAAGGCCCGGGGGCCAGATCCGGCCCAATCGCCTTCTCAATCTGGCCCGCGGACGGTCCGGGAATCAGCGTGTTTTTACATGAGTAGAATATATGTATTTATTTAAAATGCATCTCTGTGTTATGTGTGGGGCAAAGGAATTCATTCATTTCTCACCCCAAAATCTAGTCTGCCCTCCCCCAAGTCTAAAGTGGACCGGCCCCCTGCTGAAAATGTTTGCTGACTCCTGCTCTAACCATTATGCCACACTGGTTTTTGGTCCTTTGCAATCTCATTCCTTATCTGCCTCCCCTGCAGTTGCTACAGTATTTAATTTTTTAGAAGTAGGCACTTTAATAGCAACCACGCAATTAATGTCACATTTAGTTTGGCCTTAGCTTCTGAAACCTTTGGCAGTTGTACAGGGGTAGGCAGCTCTCCCCCCTGCCCAGACATCAGGTACAATGTTGTGACAATGAGTTGAAACAGAGATCTGCTAGCTGGTTTGGTGGGCGGGAAGGGTTTAGAAGGTCTAACATCCCCTTTCTCAAATGCCTTGCAATTTGTCTAAGCATGCAAAGTCAGCATAATTCAAAATATATTGACTCAAAATATTGCACCTAGGCAGGATAACTCCTCCAGATGCCACCCCCAAGCTCCAAGGGGAATCTACTACAGTTTGGAAATTCAATGCATTCCTACAGTCATTCGAAAGACACCAATGCATTCCAATGACTGTTCTGTGTCATTTGTTTAGTACACCTTCCTCCAGGAACAGGTTCCTCTTAAGACAGCTAGTCTCAAACTTATATTTTTCCCAGCCCACTTGAAAAATGCTCAGGTTCTCAGCACACCACTTAATAAGCTGTTTGTTGCTGTTCTAGAGATCAAAGCACATAGATAACTGAAATGAGCCCAGCGGCTGTTCTGAAGGCGCATGAGGTGAAGTTAAACAGGTGAGTGAGTGACCTCTGAGGAACCACTTTGGGTTCCATGATGGAAGAAACATCACTTAGTTCTATTTCCTCATGTTCTGATGTACAGATATTCACACATAAATGTGAGATGGGGCTAAAAAAACTCCAACCTATGCGTTTCTGGAAACTCATACTGGATAGGAAATTTCTCCCTTTCACATACAGACACGCACATGTTTATGTTTACATGCAAGTGCTCACACCACAAGATGGTTGTGGCTTTTTGGGTGTGGTTAGACACACCCTCACTAAACGCTCCCTGCAAGAAGTGTCACTCTAATCACTGGTTTAGCAACCCCAATGCTTCAGAATTCTGATTTTATAGAATGACATTAACATTATAAATGCCTAGGTGGGGGTGAAGGTGGCAATCAAGAGTTACCACAGTGGCTGGTCCAGGCCAACCTCTCTGCAGTTTAAGGTAGGCCAAGTTCTTCTGCTTCAACCGTCAGGGGCAAAATACCTTGAATGCCAGCTGCTTGGAGTCACAAGTGGGGAGAGTTGTCCTGCTGCTTATTAGTTTTGCATAGGCATCAGGATGGCCACTTTGAGTAAGGGGTGTGGAACTGAGTGGGCCATTGGTCAGATCCAGCAGCGCTCTTCTTATTTTCTCATGTCACCTGAGGAGGCCCTACTTCACATCTGGCAGCCACATCGACAAGAAACAGGGTACTTTTGATTGTCACTCTGGAGTTGGGAGCACTTTGTACCTGGCCCCATCCCTTCTGGAGGCAGGTTTAAACTTTTAACATCCCTTTGCTACACTACATTTCTGTTTGGTGTTGCTGCAGATGCTACTGCCTTTTGTTGTGGTTCAGAATGTTTTGCCTAACCCCATTATGATGCAAACTGCTTACACATCCTTTTTAAAAATATAAAGAGGTTCTATGGCCATAGGTTATGGCACACACGCAAAAGAACTAGGATTTCTGCTCCTCCACATCCCCTGTGGAGCAACCCAGTCATATCGTATATTGACCATGTTCTCTCCAGATCCCTTTCCCCAGTCCTCCCCTCCCCAAATATGGACACAGCTATTTGGGAGATCCATATTATTCCCCTGTAATGTAATAAAATTTTAACTCCAAACCAGAGGTGCCCAAAGTCAATGGGCTTGGTTCCTGAATGTACCACCTGCTCACTCTCACCACTGGTGCAACTCCACTCCTGAAATGTTCAGATTCTATATATGTATGAACAATACAGTGTGTTGTTATATATTCGTAAAATAATGAGTGGTGTTTAAAAACAAATTGGGCCAATTTGACCAATGAACATGCATGTTTTTGCCACCTATGCTTCTTGGCCAGGCAAAATCCCATTCTGTTCATTTGTACATCTTATGTCTAGCAAATGTGCACACTGATGGGGTTTTGTGCTGTACACAGTTTGGAGTCTCCCTTAACTCACAAGGACTGGGTTGCTCCACAGGGGATGGGAAGGAGGAACAGACATCCTAGTTCTTCTGCATGTGTGCTGTCCATGTGAGTTAAGGTGGGTATTCTTCATGTGGATGCCTTGCATGTTAATTGGTCAATGTACATAAACATACAGTTGCCTAGCCCATTACAACAAAGAAGTCCTAGGTCCCTGCCCCAAAGGGCTTACAATCTAAAGAAACTTTACAAGTGAGAAGAGGCAGAGGAAGGGGAAGGAAATGGAAGCTTTGTTATAACAAGTCCTGGAAACTATTGTGCCCAAGGTTTCCCAGAAAGACATCTGCACAATTTTGTCTCCATCCTTGAGTAATATGCACATGCACATCCTCCATGATCTTTAGTAAATATGCACAACAGCCAGGTTTTTTCTCTCTCTGGGGAGCTCTCATTTGAAAGAGAGAAGTTGAAACACAAGCAGTGGTTCTGGAGAGCAAGCTGCTTCAAGGCAGGGATGGATCCTCCCTCTTTTCGAAAAGAGGGAGGAAATATGTAGGTGGTTTTTAATTACACATTTTACTAGTTTAGACAGTTTAATGGTATTTCGTGTAAACCACCTCAGAGATCCTCCTGGACCAGGAGGGGGTTAGAAATTACACAATAAATGATCCTATACTTGAGTTAAACTGTCCGTTTCTTTAAAGAGGTGATAAGAAGGTGAGGCAGGACTATTAAGACCAACATCCAGTATCCTGCCCACCCATCATAGTTCAGTGCTGTAAGGGGACCAGTCTACACTTATGCATATAAAGGAATATCATACCACTTTAAACAGTCACAGCTTCCCCCAAAGAATATTGGGAACTGTAGTTTGCTTAGGGTGCTGAGAGTTGTTATCAAATTCCTATGCCCCTCATGGAGCTACAATTCCTGGAGGTGTTTAATAATCAATTCCTCTTCCCATGGAGTTCTGTGAGGGGAATTGGGGTCTCAGTTCTCAGCAGCATTAACAAACTACAGTTCAAAGGATTCTTTGAGAGAAGCCAGATGGGGTCAGAGTTGGGGACTGCTGGCCCTCCAGATGTTAAACTCTAACTCCCATCATCCCTGACCATTGGCCATGCTGACTAGAGCTGATGGGAGTTAGAGAAATATGTGGAAGGCCACAGGTTTCGCACACCTTGTAAACTGCCTTGTGTACAAGGCTCTTCCTTCTCACACACTTAAGCAACAGTTATGTGCCAACCTGTGCAAAAGTACCACTGAAATTACTCCATCCAGGTGCACAAAATAAGTGGGAATACAGCAGTCTGTTGACTCATATAGACATGTCCACATGTGGACACATGACATGCCACAGTGCAGATGCATGGACACAGACTTAAAACACAAAACTGGTGAGGTCAGCCATGGGTCAGCCATGTATACTTGAAACCTGCCTCACAAGGAAACACATATTCCACCTCCCTCCAGATCACTGGAGGAACTGGGGTTTTTTGGGGGGGGTCAATTAATAGGGGAGGATATGTCATGCCTGAGTGCCTTCTGCTGATGGTATTCTCCTAGAAAATCACTGGGTTTATTTTTTTAAAAAAGAAATTAATTTTTCCACAATGAATCATTAGTCACTCCCAGATAGTTACCAGTGTTATAAGAGGCTGTTAAATGGCAATTTCCATAATATCTATAGCTGTATTTTTTTATTTAAAAAAAACCAGTAAAATCCTTGCTACGCTAGGCATTTAATTTCTAAAATGAGAGATGCTGCGTCTCACGCCTGTACAGAAGATGCAAAAATCTCCAACAGTGGCTGAGTGTGGTAGTGCTGCTGTGGTCACACACCTTCTGCACATGCTCAAAGGGACACTTTCTTTTTAAAACAAAACAAGACAACAACATTTCCATCTTCTAAGACTGAGTGCCAGCAGACAGGTTTCCGGGTTAAACTCTGACTCATATAAACCAGATTTTAATAGGAACGGGATGCTAGACTAGCTGGGCCATTGGCCTGATCCAGCCTGGCTCTTATTCTGATATGTTCTTAAAGTGCTGGAGCATGAAAGAGAGAGAGAGAGACCTGCTGTGCGGTAATTCCATTAACAGTGTTTAGGTTAAGCGGCAAGTGTCACCATGATCACACTTTTCTCCTAGTGGTGCAGCAGTTAAAACAAAAACAACTGAAGGTAGCCCTGTTTAGGGAAGTTTTTAATGTTTTTTGCTGTATTGTTTTTAATATTCAGTTAGAAGCCGCCCACAGTGGCTGGGGAAACCCAGCCAGATGGACGGGGTATAAATAATAATTAATAATAATAATAATAATAATTACAGTGGTATCTCGGGTTAATAACTTACCGGTAATTCGTTCTGGAGGTCCGTTCTTAACCTGAAACTGTTCTTAACTTGAGGTACCACTTTAGCTAATGGGGCCTTGTGCCGCCGCCGAGAGACTTCTGTTCTCATCTTGAAGCAAAGTTCTTAACCCGAGGTAATATTTCTGGGTTAGCGGAGTCTGTAACCTGAAGCATCTGTAACCCGAGGTACCACTGTATTATTAGCAGGGTGCAGTATCTTTTCAAGTTGGATGGGAGACAGCATGCTGAAATTCCTGCATTGCAGGCACAGGAGCCAACTCCTAGGGGCCGAAGGGGCTTTGGCCCACATCATGGGCGTAGCCAAGGGGGGGCAGATCAAGTAAAACAATAGAAATACTCAACTAATTGACCAATCACGTTGGTTTGGCCGCCCCCCCCCAAAGTCCTGCCTCCTTAACAAAAAATCCTGGCTATGCTCATGGACCCCCTAATAAAATATTACAGGTAGTGAAGCCCCCCCCCCCCCAGTTGATGGGTAAAGGTAAAGGTACCCCTGATCATTAGGTCCAGTTGTGACTGACTCTGGGGTTGCGGCGCTCATCTCGCTTTATTGGCCGAGGGAGCCGCCATACAGCTTCCGGGTCATGTGGCCAGCATGACTAAGCCGCTTCTGGCGAACCAGAGCAGCGCACGGAAACGCCATTTACCTTCCCACCGGAGTGGTACCTATTTATCTACTTGCACTTTGACGTGCTTTCAAACTGCTAGGTTGGCAGGAGCAGGGACCGAGCAACGGGAGCTCACCCCGCCGCAGGGATTCAAACCGCCGACCTTCTGATCGGCAAGTCCTAGGCTCTGTGGTTTAACCCACAGCGCCACCCGCGTCCCCTAGCTGATGGGTATTGCTGATGGGTATTGCTGATTGGTATTGCCATTCAAATAGTATGCAGGCATCGTGCCGTGTGATTGATTATGTGGGGTGGGGCTTACCTGGGCCCCCAATATTTTATTCAAGTTGTCACCCCTGATGCAGGGGGTTGGACTAGATGACCCTTGGGGTCCCTTCCAACTCTATGCTTCTTCTGCAGAGAGGAAAGTGGGGCGAGTGAGAGATTTTGAGTGCCAAAAATGGCAGAAAGGGGCCGGATTGAGCGGTGCCTCTTTCTCATCTCCACCTTCAGCTCCCAATTTCAGTTAATCCCGGAGGAAGAACCGCGGACTTGCCCGTCGAAGGGGCGCGCTGAACCCAGGAGCTGCGGGCTGCGCTGCGCACTCAGCCGCCGCCCGGTGGAAGGAGAGAAGGCGCGGAGAAAACTCTGCTCCCCGTCCACTGGATCCGCGCTCCGGCCTTCCCCGCCAGCCGAGGCCCTTCCCCGCGAGGTGGGTGTTCTCGGCGCATTTGTTATGACTTGGGAGCCGATAATGGCAGATCTTATAGACAGCTCTGCTCCTCCCGCCGCGCGGCGGCTTCGCTGGAGAGAGAGGAGGAGAAGCGCGCCCGCTCCGCGCCAATTTCCAAAAGGCTCCCTTGGCATGCGGGAGGGAGAGGAGGCAGGAAGGGGGAAGGGGATGCCCGGGGAGCGCGGATCGTTCCCCCGGCAAGAAGCCGACGCGCTGGACACACGCCTGTTGCGCAAACGCACCAGAAGGCGAGAAGAGGTTTTGCAAAAGGCAGGACCACCGCGGAGACGACCTCCACTTCACTCCCAGGTCCCTAGCTCCGGGTCTCTAGCTCCCACCCTCTCTCAAGTATTATGTGGGTGTCGGGCTATTTTGCGCCTGGGGCAAGTACCCCCAGTCCCAACAAAAATGGGACTTTGGTTTTCAAAATAGATGTCTTGTCTTGCAGAAAAAATGAAAAGCGCGAAACTTCAAACTGCTAGGTTTGTTTTCATTTGCAAGTTTAAGTAATACTGCAGTCTTTGATCATCTTTCTCAAATGCAAGAGAAAACTAATCTGTATACAGTGGTACCTCGGGTTAAGAACTTAATTCGTTCTGGAGGTCCATTCTTAACCTGAAACTGTTCTTATCCTGAGGTACCACTTTAGCTAATGGGGCTTCCTGCTGCTGCCTCCACCACGCAGCATCCTGATCTCACCCTGAGGTGAAGTTCTTAACCCGAGGTAATATTTCTGGGTTAGCGGAGTCTGTAACCTCAAGCATCTGTAACGTGAAGCATCTGTAACCCGAGGTACCACTGTACTGTAAAACTGCCCCTCAAAGGTCAGTACTGGGCCGCTCCCAGCGGCGTAGCGTGGGTTGTCAGCACCCGGGGCAAGGCAAGTAATTTGCGCCCCCTAACCCGGGGCAAGGCAAGTAATTTGCGCCCCCTAACCCCTAACCTGCCGCCGCTGCCAGCTTCTTCTTGCTGCTGCCTGGTCTGGTCTGGTGTGGTTCTCTCTCGCGCTCAGCGCTGCGCTGGGCGGCCGCTGCACTGTCCCTCCCCCAGATAGTCCCTCGCTCTCTCTCCGCACCGCACGCCTGGCACCCACCCCCTCCACAGTGGGCGGCGACCCAGCGGCTCGGATCGGATTCGCACAGCCAGCACTGTAGTGAGAGAGAGTGAGTGAGCCAGGTAGGGGCAGAGAGCTGCGAGTGCGAGCGCGCCCCCCCCCCAGATGTTGCGCCCGGTGCGGCCGGCCCCCATGCACCCACCACGCTACGCCACTGGCCGCTCCGAGGTCTGTGCCCTCAGAGGCTGCCTAGTTGGCCTAATGACAGAACCGGCCCTGGACTTCTTAGAACTTCAGAACTGTATTCTTTGAACCAGCCCTGGGACATGTACAAAACAGAGTGCCTTTGCCTTTGAACATGTGCAGTGTGGTTTGATGAACCACCAGGCAATCTGCCCCACAGCCAGATGACTGAAAAGGTGGAAAGGCTTTCGGGGCAAAAGAAGGCTGGGTGTTGGTGACTAAAAATCCTTTCGTTATACCAAACAACTACACCAAAAAAATATCAACCATATGTATGAAGTGCTTTTGAGAGCTCTAAAGTGTTTCACACATATTCCAACAACCCTGTAAGGCAGGTCAGTGTTATCCCCATATTGCAAATGGGAGCCTGAGAGACTTAGGCCACCTGGTGAATTCATGGCAGTGGTGAGATTCTAACTAGGAACTTCCTCAACTGGGGCTCAGGTTTATATCCACTCATAGAGTAGACCTACTGAATTAACGGACACAGTCTTTCAATGGGTAGTTTACAGTTTTAGTCCTGCTCAGAGTAGACCCATTTGTGTTAATGGACATGACTAATAAGTTCATTGATTTCAATAGGTTGTATTCAATGAATAGTAGAATAGACATATTGAAATTAATAAGCCTAAATTAGCTATGCCCAGTAACAGCAGTGGACTGACCATGAATGCAACCCAGTGGGTCTACTCTGAGTAGGACAAAGGCTGGCTACAAATGTCAGTCTCTTAGCCACTTTGAGGAAGGACAATAATGTTTGCCCCATCTGCACTTTACATTTAATGCAGTATCATACCACTTTAAACAGTCATCTCTCCCCCCCCCCCCCAAAAAAAAATAGAATCCTGGAATCTGTAGTTCACTGAGGGTGCCAAGAGGTGTTAGGGGGTCCTATTCCTGTTGTGTTTTTATACTGTAATCTGCCCTGTGATCCTTAGATGAAGGGCGGTATATAAATTTAATAAAATATTCCTCTCATTGCTACAGTTCCTGGAGTGGTTTAAACAGCTGAACCATCCTCCCATGGAACTCTGGAATCTGTAACTCTACAAGGAATGGGGGGGGGGGGAGTGTCTCCTGATGACTGTCAGCTGCCTTAACAAACTACACTTCCCAGGATTCTTTGGGCGAAGCCATGACTACTTAAAGTGGTATGATACTGCTTTAAATGTATGACACAGACGGGGCCAAGTAGCACAGCAGCTGCACTGCATGCAGAAGGTCTCAGTTTCAGTGCCTGGCATCTTCAGTTAAAACACAGATCAGACACCAGGTGATGGGAAAGGCCTTTTTCTGCCTGGAGTCCCAGACAGCCACTGCCAGTCAAAGCTGACAGTCCTGGACTAGATGCAATAATAGTCTGATCACCTGGTTTAAACTAGCTTTCAGTATTTTATTTTAACCACACCAACTCTACCCACCCAAGGTAAAACATACACAGCCCAGGATCCCTTGATATGTCACAGAGGGGTTCTAGAGGATGACTCTTGAATTTGTCCCTACTTTGCAAATCACAGAGCTCTAAGCCACAGCTTCTGTAGTCTGACCAATGGGAAAAGCAAAGGAGTATAGTTCCTAACTTTACAAAATTTCAAATACATTTTTGGACCACATTCTTGGTGACAAAAAGTATTTAATGCTTGTAGTCATAGCCTGTTGCATACAACACATAAAAAAGGCAAAATGTCTGCAACACAGAGATAAATGTGAGCAGCTACGCTTCCCAATTCTTAGATTTTGAAAATCCTTAATATTAACTTTTGAAGGCTCCTATTTACATAGCTTGCTCAGATTAGTGAATTACTCTTAAAGTCGACTAACATTTTATTCAAAAACCCCTCATGCTGGTTTTCTTTGCGTCCATTCGGTGTGTGATTGCCAGGACAGGGGGCGCTTATGCACGCTTTGCCAATATGTGGGGGCTGAGAACAGAACGCAGCGCAAAATGGTCAAATGTAATGCAAAATTTTAAGACGTGCACTCTGAGAGTAAATCTGAGAGTAACTATGCCACTATATCAGGGATGGGGAACCTCAAGTCTGGGGGCCAAATGCCAGGACCCTCTAGGCTCTTAGGCCACACCTCTCCCTGGACCTGGACCAACAGAACTGCCCTGATGCCTCTTTCTTGCCAGAACTGAGAGGTACTCATGTGGGGCAAGTGCAGACACCTCTGACTTGTGAGGTTGCAATATATCCTACTGTGCAAAGGTAAGAATCACACCTGTTGCTCCACCCACTTTTGGCTCTGGCTTCCCCCACCACTTGCATGTGGCCCCGAGAAAGTTGCCCATGGATGAATGGGGTCCTTGGGCTGTAAAAAGTTCTTCAACTCTGGACTATATCATTTATTGACTCTTCAGGGCATCAGGCCACAAAGTAGGATAACTATTATGCATTCTCAGAATAAAGCCATGGGGGGTTGCAGGAAGGACAGGACAGATAAGGTGGAAGGGCCTGTGCTTAATTTCTAAAAAGCCTGGCTAGGGCTCATGCCTACCCTCTATCCTGAAGAACAAACCTTGGTCTTAATTTGGAGTGCGTGACAACTGGCAAAGAAGGGAGGAGTTGGTGTTAAATGGCTGTGGTGAAAAAGAAAGGATTGAGCTATAAAACCAATAAACCCAGCCAAAGATTTCCCCTTGCCTTCTACTCCATGGATAGGCAAACTAAGGCCCAGGGGCTGGATCCGGCCCAATCGCCTTCTCAATCCGGCCCGTGGACGGTCCGGGAATCAGCGTGTTTTTACATGAGTAGAATCTGTCCTTTTATTTAAAATGCATCTCTGGGTTATTTGTGGGGCATAGGAATTCGTTCATCCCCCCCAAAAAAATATAGTCCGGCCCCCCGCAAGGTCTGAGAGACAGTGGACCGGCCCCCTGCTGAAAAAGTTTGCTGACCCCTGTTCTACTCCATGTCAGACCCTAGCCCTAGAAACCACTCTAACCACTTAGCTAAGATGACAAAAGAAGCCCTTGCATTATTTTGAAGATCAATTTGTTATTTAGAGAACGTGGCTAAAAATATGTAAGACACACAGACACCCACCCACCCCAGTTCTTACTTCTTTCCGCCAGACCCTGTTGAGATCTGATAAAGAGGTAACAGGGTTTCCCTGCCTCTGGTTCTGATTTCATCCACAGCAAGACTGTATTGTGGATAACCTCTCCACTTCTGGGGCCATCAAAGGCAGACAGGCTGGCTCAAGTGTAGAGCTGAGGCTGAGGTTGGCCAGTGAGAAGGAAGGTATCATTTGTAGCCCAACTAACTGCAGGCCTTGATCGTCCTCTCGCCCTCACAGGACCATAAATGTCACCGGAGGGCTCTCTCTTGCTCCCTAGATCCAACGCTGGCCAGGAACACAATTTTTTCTCTCTGCCGACTCTTTACACACACACCCCAGCCCTTTTTCTGCCCATTGGGCTGCAGAGGAAGGGACAAAGTGTTTTTGCCAGCAGTCTGAAGTGACTGCTTATAGTGGTCTTTCCTTTCACGACTCCATCTCTTTTGACTTCTCTGCTCTCCCCTGCCCCACCTACATGAACTTGTGTGGAGGGCTGTACACAGCTTCTTGGCACAGGTTGCCCACCCCTGGTTCCACACAATGTGTATATACAATAGAACACAAAACTTCACAAGTCTGAAGTGCAGTGTCATCCACAAAGGCATATGGCACAATAAACGTGTTCATCTTTATAACGTATTGCAACACTCTGTGTTGCTTTGTCAATAAATGTGTGCAAGCTGTTCCTTGATCCTGTGCTCTGGGCAGAACATGGAGATGGGGAAGCTGGTCTCAATCAAAGGGCAAGTGAAAACATGGTCTGTGTTCCCAGGGGTCCACCCCAAGATGTCACAGAACGCAGAGGCATGCCTGGGGAGGTTGGTAGTGCATGCAGCAGCAAGAGCTAAAATGCTCGTACCACAGTTAACTTCCCAGCAGCAGCAGTTGGAGACTTTTTTCCTACATGGCAACAAGCTCAGGTTCAGGGCTCATCCACACTTCTTGTCCTGCTGCCTTCCCCAGGGAAAGCCACTCTTTAGCTCTTAACTGGAGCAAAGGGTGAGATGGGTTTTCTCCAGATTGACATTTGCTCTGATTTAGAGCTAAAGAGCAGTTTTCCCTGAGAAAGGAGTGGGGCAAGGGAAAAACCGCTCTGACCCATGCCTAGAAAGTGTGGGTCAAGCAAAAGTGTGGACAGGTCCTCAGATGACATACATATCCAAGGCTTTGTTGCTGGGTTGTTGTTTTTTAAGAACCTTGGTTCTGTATTCAAGGGATGGGCAAAGAGTGGAGATGCGAGTGGTACACCTTGTGACCAGGCATCCCTTTGCATGTGCATTATTAAGATGAAACCTGTGGAGGATCCCAAACATTCTTAAATTAACTTGAATGGGTGGCTGCTATGCAGACTGGGCTGCCATTTTAATACAGCGCCATACCAGTGCCAGCCAGGAAGTTGTGAATACCTTACCATTGGTGGCAATTACCAGAATATAAAGTATGCCATCCTTAGCACCTTCAACATCAGTAGGGAGACACAGGGTGTCTCCAGGCTGTCAGGTGCTTTGTACCACATGCTGGAACTTTAGGTTTGCACAATTAAAGTGGAGTAAAAAACTTTGTCAGCCTAGCACAACAGAAAAAAGAGAATTAAATTCCCACCCCCACTCCCAGTTTGGAAATTGATGGGAAAATGCATTGAAAAGTGTGGGATGAACAAATGGCTAATAAACACACCAGAAGCAAATCAGACTGAATGCGAGAGAAATGATCATTTGGCCCTGTATACCTGAAGAAGTGTCTCCACCCCCATCATTCAGCTTGGACCTACTGGCGGTTCCCTTACTGAGAGAAGTGAGGTTACAGGGAACCAGGCAGAGAGCCTTCTCGGTAGTGGCGCCCTCCCTGTGGAATGTCCTCCCATTAGATGTCAAGGAAATAAACAACTATCTGACTTTTAGATGACATCTGAAGGCAGCCCAGTTCAGGGATGTTTTATTGTTTGATGTCGTATTGTGTTTTAATTTGTTGGAAGCCACCCAGAGTGGCTGGCGTAACCCAGTCAGATGGGTAGCATATAAAATAATAATAATAATAATAATAATAATAATACCGCCCAACAAACAAATCAGAATGAATATCTAGATATCTTCCAACCTCTGCATCCAGGATTGGTTTTAATATCCAAGACTTTACAGATCAGTTTCATGATCTCAGAACTGTGCCATAATTTGGCCAATGTTGAGAATACAATTTTTATTAATGTTGCTGTTCCATTCTGAGGCCAATAGGTTGGTGGAAGGGTTTCACTGCACCTTGAAACATGCTAAGATAATCTGTGAGCACTGCACCTCGGTGGTGGCCTACTTGCCCAACCATCCCTGGTCCATCAGGGCTCCCTGTATGAGGTACTACACAAGGCTTGTTCAAATGCCACACTGAACATAGGTACATGTACAAGTGTTTTTCTTCTGAAACAGTGTACACTTGTTGATTTGTACAGCTCAGCGACTGTGCACACTCACTGAATGTTACATGTGTACAAGTGTATAGCTATTTTTTGTAGACAGGTTGGGATGAGCAAACTGCCCCTGTGAGATTTGGTGCTAGAAGTTAGGGATAAACTGGTCCAGTTGCCTTTTCTGCTGCTCTTGTTGCAGGCAACCAGAACAGAGCTGAAGTTCTTTATAGACAATAATTTGACATGCGGATGAGGCCCTGTGAGTTCAGTGCTGGGCAGCAAGTTCCTCTTCAAGCAGTTAACAACATTTGATCCCCGGGTGAGAAACGATAACGGAAACATGGGAAGCTACCTCATACCAAGTCAGACCATTGATCCGTCTAGCTCAGTATTGTCCACACTGACTGGTAGTGGCTCTCCAGGGTTTCAGACAAGCAATCTTTCCCAGACCTCCCCAGAAACTGGGGATTGAGCCTGGGACTTCTGCATGCAACATAGATGCTCCACCACATAGCCACAGCCTGTCTCCTTACAGAAATTACAGCAGACTTTAAGTAACCAGGTGCCTGCCCTGCATTCTGATCCCCTTTCATGGCCGAGGCAGAGTACAGCAGTACAAGGCAGCTGTAGACCCAGGTTCAAACTTCCCACTTCTGCAATTGACTTTACTCAGTGCAGGCAGAAAACTGATGATGATCTCATTTCCTTGAATCCTCATTTCATAGACTTGCTGGGTGGCCCTGGGCAAGTCATGATGGTTGCCAATTTTCCCCCCTGGCAGGATTCCCAAGCCTTTAGCAGCTGCATGACAACACAAAGTTATGCATTTTGTACAGCAGCTAAAGGCACAGGAGCTCTACCAGAAAAAAAATCATAAGAGGAAAAACTTTGGCAACCCTACATATCACAATTTACCTCATCCTCAGCTGCCTACCTGTAAAAGACATGGCCTGGGATAGTGGGATAGCTGTGCTGTGAATATAATGACAGTGATGACCAATGCTGCATTTTAAAGACACATGTAAACATCTATATCTATGCCCAAGAGGTCCACACCATGTTGGTGTGGCATTATTTATGATCACCACCAATCTACTCCACAGCATTGTCTGGCATGCCCAGAGGTCTTGGGAGAGAGGACAGATCTTTTCTTATTTGTCTGGGGCACAAAGGTAAGAAACAGTGTGTGCCACCTCTGCAGCTCTGAAGAGATTCCTACTGCTTCTTACTTTCTCAAACTCCAGTGGGATCTTTGGGGCAGTGGTTCTCTTGTTCACCAGTAGGCAAGGGGCATTTGCCCCTGTGCAATTGGCAGGTGGATTTGTGGATGCCTGTCTGTTATTAATTTCTAATGTTCTCTCTCTGTCACACCCAAGTTAACAAAAAGATAAAAAGAATGCAACCAAATAAACAATGAGGGGGCAGGGAGGAAAAAGGTTGATATTCTCTGAATTCCTCCAGCAGTGACGCCTGGGATAGCTCAGTCAGTAGAGCAGAGCTTTCCACACTGTGAGTCGCGACACGTCAGTGTGTCAGCTGCAGTGTGTAGGCGTGTCGTGCGAATGCTCCCTGCGCTCCTCCCGGGGCTGGAAAGGGGTTAGTTTAAGGCTACCAGATTTTTTTCAAAGAATCTGGGGACACTTTTTTTTTTTGAAAAGAGAGAAAAAAAGTTATTAAAAAAATTATTATTTTTTAAAAAAATTAACAAGTAATCTCTTCTGTGGTCTCCTGTCACGTGGCCTTCCTCTGGGCCCCAGCCTGCTCTCTTGGAGTGCTAGCTGCCATGGAGTAGGCTTGGGTCGGGCCTGGGCTCGGCCACGTGTCCTTGCCCTCCCGATGCTCTCCTACCTCTCCTCCTCAGCAGAGACAAAGGTGGCAGCGGCAGCACAGCAAGGTCGGGGCTCCCCTCTTTCCTCTTTTTTCTCCTTCCTTTTCCTCTTTCTTCCTTCTTCTCCTCTCCTCCCTCTACCTGTGTCGGCTCTGGGGTTTTCATGGCCCCAGAGCGCCGCTGGGCAGTCGGCCGGGCGCTCTCGCACTCGGCTCTATTTGGGTCGTGGTGGGGGTGTGTGTGTGTCCCCGGTTCCCCCTCGGAAGTGGCAGCGGCAGCCTCAGCAACCCAGAGCCAGCCTGGTAGCACAATTGGCTCTGGCTGGCTTCAAGAGCTGCTCACTGCTGTGACGCCTGCCATTTTGCCTCGCCAGAATTCCCCATATGATGTGTCTTGAGCCGTTGAACCAATCACACAACATTCATTCCCTATTAATAAATCTACAACACTTAAAATATAAATCCGGGGACATAAAATGAAATCCGGGGACATTCTGGGGATAGATTTTGTCCGGGGACAGATTTCTAAATCTGGGGACTGTCCCCGGGAAACGGGGACGTCTGGTAACCATAGGTTAGTTTAACCTCCAGTTTACTAGTAAAATGGAATTACTGTGTCACAAAATGACACAGTAAAAGTCTGTCACCACAATGAAAAGTTTGGAAAGCTCTGTGGTAGAGCATGAGATTCTGAACTAACGATCTCAGGGTCTTTAGTTTGAGCCCCACATTGGACAATGGAGTCCTGCATTGCAGGGAGTTGGGGCCCTTGTAGTTCTTTCCAACTCTACCAGACCCTCCCAGTGTCCCTATTTTCCAGGGACAGTCCTTGATTTACAGAAGCTGTACCTGTTTCTGATTTGATCCCTGAATGTCCTGCTTTTTCTAGGTAAAGGTAAAGGGACCCCTGACCATTAGGTCCAGTGGTGGCCGACTCTGGGGTTGCGGCGCTCATCTCACTTTATTGGCTGAGGGAGCCGGCGTACAGCTTCCGGGTCAGGTGGCCAGCATGACTGAGCCGCTTCTGGCAAACCAGAGCAGCGCATAGAAACGCCATTTACCTTCCTGCCAGAGTGGTACCTATTTATCTACTTGCACTTTGACGTGCTTTCGAACTGCTAGGTTGGCAGGAGCAGGGACCAAGCAATGGGAGCTCACCCCGTCACAGGGATTCGAACCGCTGACCTTCTGATTGGCAAGCCCTAGGCTCTGTGATTTACACCACAGCGCCACCTGCATCCCACTGCTTTTTCTAAGGACGTCCCTATTTTCATTGGAGAAATGTTGGAGTTTATAAAGTCATGGGACTCCTGAGCCAAGGAGGAAAGTAACGATACAGGTTTTAGAAGACATCTGAAGGCAGCCCTGTGTAGGGAAGTTTTTAATTTATTTTATATATATATATATGTTGAAAGCCGCCCAGAGTGCCAGGTGCAACCCAGTCAGATGGGCGGGGTATAAATAATAAAACTGTTGTTGTTTTGTTATTATTGAATAGGATGTCCCTATTTTGATGTTGGAGGGTATCCTCTACAACTCGTTAATTCTGTAAGGTTGCCCAGGTCATCAGAACTTTCACACAAACATGTTCTTTTTCTTTTCTTTTAATCATTTTTATGGCTTGTTTTTTTAACAATGGCGGTGTGGGTTAAACGGTGGGTTAAACGGTGTTTCCGTGCGCTGCTCTGGTTCGCCAGAAGCGGCTTAGTCATGCTTTGTTTGTTTGTTTGTTTGTTTTTAAAAAATAAAATTGGACTTCAACCAGACAGCGTTTCAGATTTTACATTGACTTCTTCACATTTTACAATAATTTATAGACTGATAATACTGAAAGTTTCCAAGTGGCATGCTTCATGAATGCCAGAGACTGTCAAAGATGGTGTATGAACAGCATTCTAAAGGCAAAGTGAAGTATTGGGGGGGGGGGGTAGACAGATAGATAGATGATAGATAGGCAGACAGGCTTAGGGAATTGTTTCAAGGAGTTGTTGTGAGGGGGCTGTTGCTGTTATTAATATTAATCTTTATTTTATACCTTTTTATGATTTATGTGGAAATGGTTTGATTTGGTTGCGTACTCTTTGATGCTTTTCATTTACTGTTTAGGACTACTTTTGTTATGTTTGTAGTGATGCATTTATTTTTCACGTTGTAAGCTGCCTTGAACTATGGAGAGGCAGCATACAAATAAAATTATCTGTGTGTGTGTAAGGTAAAGCCCACAGAATCCTGACAGTTCTTCTAAGGGAGAGCTCTCCTCTGCAGAACCGGACAAATGGCCACCTGACTGAGTCTGATTTGAAGCAGGCCTGTCTGCGGCGGAGGAGGCAAATCTGCCGGGGCTCTGGCGGCAATTAGAGCCGTGTTGTGTCAGGGAAGGGGTGGGCGGTGGGGGAACTTGGGGGGAGAGAAAGGTGAGGTGGGGAAATGAGAACAAGCTGACTAAGAAGGATGAAATGGGGGGGGGTCTGCCTGTGTGTGGCATTTTGGGAGTGTCTCCCTCCCCCCTCCTCCCAGTCGTTCCTTGTAAAGGGAATGAGACAGAGAATAAAGCTCTCTCCACCTCCCACCCACCCAACTAAAAAGGGAGAGGAGAGCGAGACAGAGCCCCTCACCCCGCTGGGAGAAAAGGGTTTCATTGCTGGTACTGAGGGCAGCGGCCTTCCGCTTGAGTTCCCCCTTTCAGGGCTCATCTCTGCCCATTGTTGGGATGTCACCAAGGAAGAATATGCGGCTGGGGGTTGGAAGGACAAGGGGAGAGGCGAGGTGGAGGGCAAGGCAGGCAACAAGAGGTGGCTTAGGGTGGGTGCTGCAAGGGATGGGGGGGAAGGAGGGTGGCCGGGAGCACAGCTGCAGCGCTGCAAGGCCATTTTTAGGAGCTGGGGCAGTGGGGGAATGGTCCCTTGCCCCAGAGAGTGTTGCATGGCCAGAGCTTCTCTCTGTTTGGCATAATCTCTCTCTCTGTTTATGTGTGCATCCATCTAAAGCTGCCTTTCTCAACCTGGTGCCCTCCAGATGTTTGGGAATGCAACTCCCATCAGTCCCATGTGCTGCTTGGGGGCTGATAGGATCATGGAATCATAGAACTGTTGAGTTGGAAAGGAGCAAAAGGGTTGCCATATGCCCTCTTTTTCCGGACATGTCCTCTTTTTCATGGGTATGTAAAGTCAGAGTCTTCATAGCAATCCATAGTTAAAAATAGAAATCGGCAAATGTGTCCTCTTTTTTGCTCTTCAAAATATGGCAACCCTGATATTTCTAGTCCAACCCTGTGCAATGCAGGAGCTGTAGTCCTGAACATCTGAAGGGCACTAGGCTGATGTAGGCAATATAAGATACTGCCCACAGTTACCTCCATCCATGCAGGTTTAATGGTTGGGGCTTCTCACACACTGGCTGAATATATTATTTTTTAAAAGGTCATAAATTGAAGAAATCACTCCCTTTCCCAGAATCTTATGCTTAATGATAGCATGATATACATAAGACTCCTGATGGATTAGCCAAGAGTCTCTATAGTCCAGCATGCCATCTCCAACAAGGGGCCAGCAAAATGTCTCTTGGAAGACTAGAAAGGTGGGCAGGAAGAAGAAGCCTTCTCCATATTTCCCCCCTCTTAGCCAGGTACACTTCCTCTCAACATGGAAGGTCCATTTAGCTGCCATCGTTAATAGCGGTCAACAAAGTTACCCAATCTGAGCTAGCTGCCATCACCACACCTTGTAGCAGTAAATTTCATAAGTTAATTATGCATCATATGAATATATACTTCCTTTTGTTTATCCTGAACCAACTGCAAATCATTTTCACTGGGTGACCCAAAGTCCCATCAGCCCTGACCATTGGCCAGGATGGCTGGGGCTGATGCAGTCCAACATGGGCTGTGCACACACCTGGGAAATGCAGTTTTTCCTTCACAGATCTACAATTCCCAGCACCCTTAACAAACCACAATTTTTTTTGAGCCAGTGTGACCCCACCTAGAGCAGGCCACACACCACTCATCCTGTCAGAGGAGCCACCCACTAACAGCATCTTGTCTTGTCTGGATTAAGCATCTGTTTATTGGCCTTCATCTAGTTCATTATCACAACCAAGAATGCATTCAGGGCATCCACTGCCTTACCTGCAGAATATGAGAAAGGAGTAGAGTTGTGGGCCCTCAGTGTATGGATGACAATGTACTCTAAACCACTCAGTGGCTTCATGCAGATGTTAAACACCATGGGGAACAGAACCAACTCCTGTGGGACCCCATGCCTGAGTACCCATCGAGCCAAGCAATGCTCCCCAAGAACCGCCTTGTGGAGCTGGCTATCTAAGTAGGAGCAGAACTACTGCAATGCAGCGCCCCAGTACCCCCGACGGTTGTCTCAGGAGGATGCCAAAGCTGATGGCATCAAAAGCTGCTGACAAACTGAGGAGGCTCAACAGAATCACATTCCCCTGTCCCTCATCCAACACAGGCATGGCAATCAAGGCTGTTTCCACACCCAAACCAGGCCTGAATCTCAACTGAAACATCATCTAGAAAATCTGACTTCTAGATCTGGCTGGCAACCATGCATAATGCTAAGCCAGGGATCATGGTTTGTTTCCCCTGCATGCCTTCAGAAAAATGCAAACAGCCCAGATGGACATACCGTATTTTTCGCCCTATAAGGTGCACTGGCCCATAGGACGCACCTCGTGTTTTTTTTTTTGGGGGGGGGGGGGAATGAATAATAAAAAATTATCTCCCCCCCCAGCCCACAGAACAGGCTGCCGCCTCAAGTCTTGCGCACCCGGTGGGAGGTCCCACCGGGTGCGCGAGGCTTGCGGACAGCAGCCCGAAGCACGGGGGTGCTCTGCAGCCCGCCCCGTGCTTCGGGCTGCTGGCTGCCGCCCCAAGCCTCGCGCGCCCGGCGGCATAGCTTCCTGAAGCGTGGAAAGTGAGAGGGGTCGGTGCGCACCAACGCCTCTCGCTCTCCAGGCTTCAGCAAAAGCCTGCATTCGCCCCATAGCACGCACACACATTTCCCCTTCATTTTTGGAGGGGAAAAAGTGCGTCCCATAGGGCGAAAAATACGGTATTCACCATGACCTCTGAAGTGGGCCACTAAATTTATGTTTTGTGGTTTTCCACCAGAATAGTGATTCAAGAAGTGTTTCCTGGACTAGCCATAGTTAATTCATGTGGAGGGTTGATGGATTGATTTTGTCTTGCAATGTGCATCACTTTGTACTTACTTAGAATTAAATCCCACCTGTTGTCCAGTCCATAGATAATGATACCCTTTTGGAGTTCCTTCAGAGTTTGCTTGCAATTGCACCATTCGGATGAACTGGTGTCATCATGGAAATCTTTAACGTAGTTTTAGCTGAAAGCTGCTTTCTGTGAGCTGGATTCTCATTCTCTCTCTCTCTCTCTCTCCCCCCCCCCCCCCGCAGTGGCAAAATACCTGCTCTGAGTTCAGAACTGACATGTGCACAGCGGAGTGGGACACCCACCCACTGTTAACTCTTACATTTGAATCATTTGTTTCATAAAATTTATATACTGCTTGATTGGGAGAAATCTCAAAGTGGTTTACAAAAAGGTTTTTAAAAATCAGGGGGGAAATTCAATACATTAAAACATACAAGAAGTTAAAATACTGAAGAGAGATTCACACCAACATTTCTAAGCATCTGGATTAGGCTTGTCTAAGGAAGAATGTTTTTAGCAGGCACTGAAAAGAATACAGTGAAAGTGCCTGCTTGATATCAATGGGCAGGGAGTTCCAAAGCGTATGTGCTGCTACACTAAATGATGGAGCTTTTACAAACGCCTTTTGCCCATGCTCTAGATACCAAATGTCTCCAAATCACTTCATGAAGGTTCCTTCCAGCCTAAGACATTTCACACCACAATAAATTTGTGAAGCTTGAAGGTCCTACAAGGACCCTTTGTTATTTAAACCACAGAATTAGCATTAGGATGTAATTAGGTTGCCTTTATTTTACTGTGCTGACAATATAGCTGTGCGCCTTTGAAACTTCACCCCCATCTACCCATCTTCTTTCTTCACGTGCCCAACTTGTTGTTACATATCAGATCATAAAGAAAGAGAAAGATCAGATCCCTTTAGGGTAGCGATCCTCGTGACTTCTGCATGGCTTATGGCTTATGATAATATCTGTGGCTCCACCCACCATTCTGGAATGCGGTCCTCAAAAGAATACGAACCTCAAGCTGAACAAAGGTTCCCCACTCCTGCTTTGGCAAGTTTGAAAGCAAACTCCTGCCTTGATATGCCTAGCTGAATCAATGGGTTCTTCTTTGCAGTCCAGCAGCTGAAGCTCTGTGCATGCTTTGTGGCATTTAAAAATATAATTAAATCCAAGTAAATGGCTATATGGAAAGATGTATTCAGCCCCCTTCCCCATTCCTTCTTTGTCAAACAGCAAGCCAGCAGAAATATTTCAGCTGCTCAAAAAGGACTCCGTGCTGACCCAACTCCTGTACACCCAGAAGAGGTCATGCAGTGAGCATCACACTTTCTCATGGCACATGTTAAGTAAAGCTTGGGGGAGGCCCAAAGATAAGGCAGAGTTTGAAGGCTCAGCAGAATGGTTTCCAGAGGGGAGCTATGTTCACCTGCCGCAGCAAAAACTGAACTGGTTAAGGGAACCTAAGCATCCTTAGTTGTCAGCCAACACACCTCCTCTACATCTACAAAACAATTTCTATCTCCCTGGTGATTAAGTCCATAATGATATTGCAAACTGAAAAAGCCTCTTCCCTCTTGCCATTGCCCTTGGGCAGGGCTGGGTTATGCTGTGCGCTGAGACGCTCTCCGTTCCCCAGGTTTGGCTCTAGGATGTCCTGAAGGCTTCAGGCACAGCCCAAGAGCCCGGCTCAGCACTCATGCCTTTGCATCCATTGTGAGCAAGAGAACTTCCCATAGACAGCAAATTCAGGGAGGCACTGAAGATCTGGGCTATGTAATGGGTGCAAAAGTCATGAACTGGCACACTTCTCCCCTGGAATCAAGAGATCAGCTTGCAAATCATGAGATGCTGGTTCTGACCAGCTAAGAGCCAAAGGGGTCCCTATGGGCAGAAAGCTGGATGTGAGGAAAGGTGAACACTAAAATGGCGCCCTCCCTCACCCCGCCTGGGAAAGATGCACAGCAGGAACAAGAGGGGAAGAAAGATGGACAGTAGATATAATAATAATAATAATAATAATAATAATAATAATTTGCATACCCACAGGTCTCAGGGGCTCCTGAGGATCTTGCCACCTGAGGTGGTCACCTCACCTTGCCTCATGAGTGAGCCGGCCTTGCTTATTTATACTCTCCCCATTTGACCATTTTTTAATTAGCTGCAGAAATATCCATGTGACACAGAACCAGCACATGGTGAAGACTTCTCTACCAGTACAGGTAAATTAACATCAAATCCAGGGAGCTTGTGTTATTACGAACTGCTGCTACTGTGTATGGTCACTGTCAGGGCTTTTCGCCCAGCCGGAACTCACTGTAACTCAGTTCCGGCACCTCTCAGGTGGGCACCATTGCCATTCTAATAAAATGAATGAGATGTTCATGGTGAGTTCTGGCACCTCTTTTTCTAGAAAAATAGCACTGGCTCACTGTGCTTATTTTGTACACAGAACTTTGCACAAAAATCTCACAGACCTCATTCTGCATTTCATGGCCTTTTGGGCTCACTGCTTTCAATTCTAATGAATGCATATGAGTGTTTCTGCCAACTATACGCATCTGGTGATGAACTCTAGTGCATGGGTCTCTCGGGACTGGTGGAGGGGTGGGGGTTTGGGTTTGGTTTTTTTCGTAGGTTTATTCGGCAACATTCTGCAATAATAAGCTTTAGTGGTGGATTTAAACTGAACCATCCACACCTCTTTCTGCTCTGTTAGTTGTTTTGTGATGGTTCCCCAGTGTTAATGCACTGTTGCCATCTGGAGAGGCGCTACTGCACTATAGTGCAACAAAAGTGCAACCCTCCCACTCCCCCCAAAACACAAATTTGTGAAATGAAAAGCTACAGGATTTCAGCCAATTGTTATGGAACATGCCCTGACTGGAAACAAAACAGCATGTATACTGAAAAACCTCTGCAGGCACAAATGCTATTGAAAACAGGATTGAAAATTGCCACCCCGATATCATCACGAGTGCAAAGAATCACAAATGCACAATAAAAAGGATGTCTGGAGGGACCCCATAAACATTTATGATTCAATAAATATGTTAGTTTTTAAGGTGTCACTACTGTTTAATTCTTTGTTGATGTTTTGCTAATCCGGCTTTTCCTCTAAACTAAGTCATACAGGTCACCGAATTCAGGTGTTCTAGTTCTTAACACAGAATATAAACAGTCCTGGAGGATGGGAAACCAGGCTATGCCTGTGCACATGCTGGATAAACAGACATTACCACAATCAGATTCAAATAAGAGGAGGAGAAGGGCAATAAGCAGAATGAAGGGAATTAGGTAATTGAAATCAAAACAGCATTTTGAGATGTTATGGGACGCCGGGGTAAAATTAGCAGCTGATTTACAAGTCATTGATTTTAGCACTAAATTAAGCAATCGTTTTGGAAGTGGAGCACGAAGCAAGCCATGCTAGGTGCTGTCTGCACAAGCTGCTATTTTACAAGCTTAGGAGAAATTGACTGGTGGAGACAAACCATAATTTAGGACCAATTAGAGAGGTAGGCAATTGGCTGCAGCACAGGATCCATTGCCAACCTACACTAGTCCTGAGCACAAGCATGGCAAATTCCAGTGGACACTTAGCTTGAGATCTGTGTCACACCAATGGATGTCCTTCCCAGTCCTCTTGTTTGACACACAAACACTCCTCCTTCTCACCACTCCACTCGCCTGCTCCCTTCCCTATTCAACAAATGCCAGCTAATTCCTGAACAAACTCAACTATTTACCCTCACACACCCGCCTGCCACAAACCCCCTCTGTACAGGCAGCATGGCCCACAAGTGGTTTGAAGTGCCGTGTTGACAAGTCTTGCCGCCTGCCTGATCCAGGGGGAGGGAGGGAGGGCAGGGGGAGAAGACACAAAATCGCAAATGAGTGCCCAAGGCATAAGGACATGGAAATGGGAACTTGACACCATCTGCTTCTGCTGTTGCAATTAAGATAAATTGCCATCACCCCATACTGTATATTACCAGGAACACCCATTAACCAAATGTGGATTCTCATGCAGCCAAAATGGCAACATCCTTGCAGAAGTTGGAAGCTATCAGCCATGGGCTTGGGTTGGGGGAACTTCATGGTTTGCAAATATACACATACATCACGTGACAAATGATACAGGAGCCTCCTTTACAGCAGTGTCTCTCTGCTGCTTACTTAAATCTGGCTGAAAGGCTCAATAGGGAGTCTAATTTTCTGCACCCATGTATCACCCATGGTGAAGTGTGGGAAAAGTACAACTCCATCTCCAAATCAGTATATTTAAAATTTTGCCCAGAGGCAAAACAAGAACATGAGCATTGAAGTAATGAAGGAAAGAAATGTGCATAGGAAAAGTCATGTTTAAAAATAAATTACTTGACCCGGGCAGCGATTTATAGATTAACCTATAATTTCATGCAAAATGGGACATTAGGTATGAAAACAAATTTCTTGAGAGATGGGCACTTTGTATTTCCTTTTGAAATGAAACATTTGGAGAAAGAACATACACATTTTTTTTAATTTTAATGTGAAGCTTCTTTCTCTTGCTACAGGATACTGTGAGAATATCTTTACCGCGGGGGGTGGGGGTCTTGTTGTCTGGGCAGCCCAGGACCCCCAAACACACTGCCCAGGTCTGCACCCTGGGAAGGTGACTTGGGTGCTCCTAACACAGCAGTTTGACTTCACCCCCAGAGGCGCACTCCATGGTCTCTCGAGACAGACAGATGCCAACAACAACCTTTACTGCCTGTTAAGTTAATTCGCTCTCATACTGTATATATACTAACTAAATAAATAAATAACTTTGTGATTGCCCCTTTGTACACACCTGTTTGAGCACAGTTACTAGCACCAGTCTTGTCTCCAAACTGTTCAGCTGTTTTACCCTCCAAGTCTGACTTCCCATTGCATGAGAAACAGTCTGATTGCCTCAAGAAAAGAAAGGTAAGAATTTGGGGTAATGTTTTTTTGGGGGGGTGGCGGGGGGGAGGGATTGTCACTGTTATTGATATTAATTTTTGCATCTTCATTTTAGATCCTATGACTGACATGGAAATTGTTCAAAATGTACTTTTTGATATTTTAATATTTATGACTACTTTTGTTATGTTTGTAATTATGTATTGTATTTCTTTTTACATGTTGTAAAAAGGCAGAACACAAATAAAATGATTGACTGAATTTGCATCACTTTATATTAGTTTATCAGTGTAAGGATGTTCATGTTATCACCAACCTTGTCAACTGTCACTGTAATTATTTTGGTTTTTTTTTACAAAACTATCACTGATTTGAGGATTATCCACACCTCCACTTTCCCCTGGGGAAACCTAATATTTCGCACTGAATCGAAAAAAATGGCAATTGGGTTTTCCACAAATGCCTTTTGTTCTGATTTATCACCATAGAGTGGGTTTTCAGAGGGAAAGAAGTGAGGCAAAGGCAAAATCACTCAGACCCACAGCTAGAAAGCGCAGGACAAGCAGAAAACCCCTTGGACCTATGCTTTCTAGGCATGGGACAAGTGGAAGTGTGGACCAGGGGTCAGCAACCTTTTTCAGCCGTGGGCCGGTCCACCGTCCCTCCAACCATGTGGTGGGCCGGACTATATTGGGGGGGGGGGGAATGTACGAATTCCTATGCCCCACAAATAACCCAGAGATGCATTTTAAATAAAAGGACACACTCTACTCATGTAAAAACACACTGATTCCCGGACCGTCCGCGGGCCGGATTGAGAAGGCGATTGAGCCGCATCCGGCCCACGGGCCTTAGGTTGCCTACCCCTGGTGTGGACGAACTCTTATTTTTGCGTGCACACACACACTTCTGACCTCACTCCTCTGCATTTCCCATCTCCAACCACAGGCGTATTTATGCCTGCCAGTTTGGGGGTATACTTCATGCATTCAGTGAAGTGGACTCCGGCCAATGAAAGCTTATGCCACAATATGATAGTCTTTAAGGTGCCACAAGAGTCTGTTGTTGCCTTGATTATACAGGGATAATTCAGATCACAACAATGAAAGCTAAGCTGGGTGGGGTGATGCTCACTACACTTCTTCTTTTCCTGGCACTACCTTCACAATTAACTGATTTTTTTTAAAAAAAATAATTTTTATTAGTTTTCAATTACTACAATCCAATAATAGTCTCATTATAACAATGCCAAATTATAGAGCAATTAATGATACAAATCATTGAAATGCCAAATTATACAATTTAGGTGGCCCTCTGCGTGCCAGAATTAATGGTTTATTTATTTTGTTTCTGTGTTCCAAGATCTTATAAATTTCAATTACAGCTCCAGTCAAAATACCAATCCCTTATATCGCAACTGCAGTTTTAACGACTTCCATTCATATTGACACATTAAATTATTTCTACACCTACAGATGGAGCATTGAAACTCCTTCCTGTGTGTGGCAATTATTCTGTCCGTAATGTTTCTTCCTGTCCTCAAAATATATTACAGTGCCTATCTTTTGCCAGTTGTTGCTGTTCTCCATCACGCCTCGGGCGGCGCTAGTGTCCCGTTCTCCATTGCTCAGTCCCTGGTTCGCTGTTTTGCAACTCCAATTAACTGAAATTAATTTGCTGTAATAGTGCTGTTCGACTTCAGGCTCTGGCCTTGATCAGCAGTTTTGAATTTTGACTCAGAGTTGATTCATACAACCAAATCTACATGCTAAGTCATGGGTTAAGTGGATTACCGGGAGGTCAACATGGTCCCCAAAATGTTTCGGATACATATTAAAGGACTGAGCTGGACAGGTGCAGAATTGTTATGTTCCTTGAGGGAGAGATATTCAGGGGTGCGGGTTTTTTGCATATTAAACTGTTGTACAAGAATACGTCATACAGATTTTAACTTTGAGCCTGTAAACTTCAGGGATTTTATATACTATGTATATTGAGCGCCTGGGAAGATGGACATGCACACAAACGGGAGTGTATACATTTATGGCAAGATGCATCATGCAGTTGGCACAAAGGATGCTTTGGGTACGTTCCAAGAATGCTACATAAAGATTGAATGACTACAAACTATCCCGCTGATGAGGTTCTGCATGCAAAATGCTCACTGAAAGTCTCACACCAGGCAAATCCTCAGTGTGTTGCATGCTCTCACATAAACAATGCAAATTGTGAGCACATCAGGCATATCTATGTCACTGGTTACTCTATGTGCTGGTTGGAGAAAGGAGTTCTTTCATTTTGCAGAGACTTCACTGAAACCTCTGGCTTCTGTAATGTTCTCATTTTATGCTTCTGTGACAAGTTTTTCAATATTGAAGCACTACAGGAAACCACCCAGTCAGATGAAATTGGGGTGGGGGATGTAGAGATGTCAGAAAGCCACACAGCGTAAAATGCAAACTTTGGAATCTGGGATTGCAGAATTGAGAGGACTTGGGGACCCATGACAGTCTCCATGCAGGAAAGAACACGCACACTGCTCCAATGTGGGATTTCAACATACATCTTCAAAAGTAGGGGTACAAACTATCTTTCCCCACCCCCAAACATACTGAAGTCATATAATGCAGAAAAATCATTATATTTAAACTATTATTCTGCACGCCCCAAAAAGTGAAGATTCTGCCCCTTCCATTAGGAGAAAATGTTTTCTTTCTCCTCACCCCATCACATACTTTTGCCCTTACCATCTCATCATCTGCTCTTGCATAACTCAGCCCTCCTGGATCTATGAATGAACTCTGAACCAATTACTATCTACTCTTGCTATATCCTTTTAATTCCACACTTAGTGTCACAGTCAAGGAGATCTATGAAACGGCCTTGATTTGCACAATTTACACAAGTCACAGAATTCAGCTTTTCATGGCACATGATTTTGTGTGTGTACACACACACACACACACACACACACACACTTACTGTCTTAATATGCTGTCTGAGCTCTAGTGCATTTCTGGTTACCCTAAACCTAGCTAATTTGCATTATATTGAACTAGAGCTGAATGGGATTTTGCCCATGATGATGATGATGATAATATATATATACAGAGAGAGAGAGAGAGGAAAAACATTGTCAAAAATCAATCTACCGTATTTTTCGCTCTATAACACGCACCCGACCATAACACGCACATAGTTTTTAGAGGAGGAAAATCCGTAGGCATGCCACCCGTAGGCATTTCCTCCATAACACGCACAGACATTTCCCCTTACTTTCTAGGAGGAAAAAAGTGAGTGTTATGGTGCAAAAAATACGGTATATATCTGTTAAGTTGTGGATGAACATATCAGATGACACAGCAATTTTTCAAACAGCTCTTGTTTATTCACAGGCCAGAACAGAACTGAACTGAAGGGTTCAGCCAGCCTGCTTATATAGAGCTCCACTAGAACGCAACAGTAACCATTTTCTGTAACTATCCAATCACTGAACGTCACTTTCGATCCCTTATTTGCATATGTGGACCTGACGTATCTACAGTATCCTCCTGCTGGCCCAGGGTGAGAACTTCAGTACATAACAATATCAGATACTGTCAAAAACTGACCACCGCTGCAAAATCTTTGGGTGTCAAACCTCTGATTCTAAAAATAAAAAATTCACCACACATTTGCCAGTTTAGAATATATACCCACCACTGCAGAGGAGAATGTGGTGGTGGGAACATATATCACCAGGAATGTTCACTGTGCATTCCATATTGCAGGAAACTGGCACCAGAATGGCAGGACACAGAGGCTGACTTCACTGCCATTGCACTTTGGTGCACCTAGTGCCTTACTTTTTGCTGAATGGCCGTGTTATTTGTAAAAAGACCACACAGCAAGGTTGCCACAGCTGCATCAGCAAGAGTAGAAAGATGAGCATGAGACCCCTCCCAAGCATAGCTGTCAAGTGTCCCTTATTTGAAGGGACAGTCCCTTATTCCAGCGCCATGTCCCGGTGCTGTCCCTTATTGATGGATGTACCTTAAATGTCCCTTAAATGATTTCCCTTAAATTTCAAAGGAAGCAGCTCCTCTCCCTCCCTGCCGCCCAGGGAGGAGGGAGGCTCCAACTGTGTTGCTTGGCTGTGTTGCTCACCCAATAAGAAGTCTAAGAACGACTGGGGCGTGGAGCTTGCATGCCTTGTGTGTAGCTAGTTAATGCAAGCTGAGGGGTTTTTTGAATGCTGGACGCCATTTTGTTGCACGTGCTGCTGCAAACTTTGCAGTGCAAAGCCAGGCCGGGGAGATCTTAAGTTGAGGCTGCATAGGCCTTATGGTGCATGTGATTCAGATTCTATTCAGTTGAACCTCTGGTTACAAAGTTGGTTGGACAGTGTTCTTGAAGCTACCAGTATGACCAGACTGCAGGAGGACAGGAAGACTGGAGTGCCTGGAACAGGTGAGGCTGCAGGTCCCTTATTTTGGCTGCTGGTCCCTTATTTTCAAGGCTGCTGGTCCCTTATTTTCAAATCTGTAAGTTGACAGCTATGCTCCCAAGGCACTTCAGGATAGTCCCTGCCCTGCCTTGAGACCTGGATGGCAGGAGCTCTCAGGGTCATGGGAGAGTGTGGACAGAAAGCAGGACCAGCTTACATGTCTCCATAAGCTATCAGTAGGATGGGTGTTGCAAGGAACGCACTCGACCTGGGAAAGAGACCAGCAGCATTTCTCACAGTGACCAGCAGCTGGACAACAGCAAGCACTAAGCATCAGGTCTGGGTGACGGGGGCCCAAAACAAAGCACCTTCTTCCCCCAATGTCCCCCTCATGAGACACTAGTTAAAAAGTCTGCAACCCAGACCTGCGCGTACTCAGGATTCTATGACCTAAATGTACAGGAACCCTGAATTGCATGGGGTGCAGAAGAAGAAGAACCAGAGCTCTGACTGTGTTATGTGCTGTTCTATATGCTGTTCATGCAGAACATTGAACCTGGGTGGGATCTGACGCAAGCTGAATGCACATAGCAGAAGATCACTTCAATTTCAAAAAAAGCTAACATTTGGGGCTTTAAGAATATCAAATTCCCCACCTGCCCCATGAAGTGACAACAGTAATTAGAATAGCAATAAATCCTAATCAGGTATAAGGAGCACCCCCCTCCGCCCCGGGCTTCTGTGTCAGGAGACTTCACCCCTCCATCCTTTTTTCCATTCCACCCACAGAACTGGCCAGAGGAAAGGGCAGGGTCATGGGAGAGTTGTTCTGGAGTACATCAGAATTTCATTAGTTTTGAAGGGCTGGGTTTTGTTTTTTTGTTTTTTATCCCAGAACAAACCGAGGAGGTGAGGCTGCAAGCACAGCACCCAACATACATAATTCATAAACACATCAAAATATGTGAATCCCATATTTGCACATGCATGAACTAGCACATAACCATGCTATGCCTTTCAGCAGCACCATACAGATACAACATTTTCTCACTATTTATCCCAATTGGTGTAGTGGATCTGTATACTTCAAATCTGCCTATTTAGCTGGTAGGAAGCCAGTTTCTGTATCTACTTTGACATTCTTTAAAATCCTTTGAGTTGTTTAACAAAAATGGAAAAGAGAAAATGACTCTCTCTCTCTTGATACAAAAATGCATTTCCTAAGAGACATTGGAAGTCCAGATTATAGACGCAATTTTTTCCAAAAGTCTTGAATGGGGAGTGTCAGCTGCTAAAGCCAATGGAAGTGTGTTGCTCCACTTAATTTTTTCACTCAGCAATAATAACAATAGAAAAGTTAAAATTCTGTATCCATCCAATGCAAATTCTGCACCAAGAAAAGCTAAATTCTGCAAGATGTCTAAATTGTGTAATCCAAGCAAATGTTGCATACATTTATTATGCAATTTGTGCCATTTTCATAATTTATTCTAGCTTTGTTAATCACAGAGGAGAGTGAGCAGCTATGCAAGGCATTGAAAGGCCATCTTCACACACTGAAAATATCACTCAGCCCCCACTTTGGTCTATGAGATTTCAGAAAAGGTTGCCCACAGAATTTCAAATTCAAATATACCATTGGCTAGATACTTGCTTTTTTAAAAAGAAAGTGGAATTCCTCACACAATTCTACTATTTCATGGAAAATTACAATATAATCAGTACTCTGCTCATAGCACTATACCCCACTATAAAGCTGAGCCACCTTAACTCTTGCTGTAAAAAAAAAGCGCCTCCCTTCATTTTAAAAACATTGGATGACACGCATCTTGCTCTCTTCAGTTACACAGATGCCACAGCAGAACATCCAATGGTCATCCAAACCATGTGACATGCTGCAACACTGTGGGAAAATGTTAACAGGGAGAAATGCTATAGGGCACAAAAAACCCTCTACCTCTTAACTTGGAGGTCAAAGAAAGATGTGGATGTTCTTTTCACTGGCATTGTCAAGCTAGCCTCCTTAACCAGCATCAGTGAGGGTCTTTCCAAGATTAGGTCTAGGGCAGATATAGGGAATATCACCCAAGGCTGAATGTGGCCTCCGAGGCCTCTCTACCTGGCCCCCAAGACTCTCCCCAGCCTCCATCCCCCCGGCCCTGCTTTGCATTCTCTTAAGAGTGCTTTTGCCTGGCTGGAATGTGTCCCTGAATGCTCACAGCACCTCTTGCTTGCCTGGAGGATGAGGGCAGACCCTCCCACGGTCCCTATTTTCCAGGGACATCCTGGATCTACAGAAGCCGTCCCAGTTTCTGATTTGATCCCAGAATGTCCCACTTTTACTTAGGACTTCCCTATTTTCATCAGAGAAAAGTTGGCGGGTATGGAGTTATCCAACCACTGAGCCATCTGAAGGCAGCCCTGTATAGGGAAGTATTTTTAATGTTCCATGTTTCACCACGTTTTTATATTATTAAATAAGACATCTCTATTTTCATCAGATAAATGTTGGCAAATATGAGAGGGGTATGTTGAACGTGTATAGAACCTAGCCTGCTGTACACACATAAAAATTACATATGTTGCTCCTCCCCTCCAGGAATTTGGCCTTAGAAAAGGTTCCCCATCCCTCGTCTAGGCCATAATACAAGTCAGAATCCAGAAGACAGAGCTCCAGCTTCAGCACCATAAGGAAAGTAGCAGGACCCAGTTGGGCGTTCAGGTCAGAGATTCTAACAGTAAAACAAACTTAGTGAACATATGAAAAAAGAGCCAGTCTGCCAAAGCAAGCAAGCAATCTGAGCAGCTGGTAGCAGAAGCATGCACGGAGTGCACTAATCTCAGCCTGGCCCCATATTTTTGGGTTACGAGTAGGTGTTTCCTAGTGAAGTCTGTGGTTTTTTTAGCTGGCCACGACATCTCTCTTTTTTTTAGAAATCAATTTCTGCCATGCCCCAGGAGCACCCAGAGTACCCACTCTTCCCCAGCTGATCTGTTGGCCTGAGCCTGCAAATCCCTGCTTGCTCACATTTGGGAGTAACGCCAACTGAATTCAGTGGGGCTTCCTTCTGGATCAAAAGCTACAGGATTCTCTCTGTGTGTCTCACTAAATTCATTCGAACACATTTCCAAGTAAACACACATAAGATCACGTTGTTAGTTTTATGCACCTGGGAAACTCTTTCTGTTGGAAGTCAGTGGGAATTACTTTCCCAGAAATCGAGCACTGAGCTGGCCTGTTAGTGCCCAGTGGGGCTAACTCTCACATTAGGGTGCATCAGTTATACTCTTGCAAGCACTGGCGGAGGAACGGGGGTGCAGAGGGAGCGGACCGCCCCCGGCACCACTATTCCGGTAGGGTGCCATCGCGGCAGGCCCCCCGGACATGCGCCGCGCCCCCCGCGCCCCAGACGCCACACCCCCACAGGCAGCGCGCCACGCCCCCACAACGTGAGCCACGCCCTCGCGTGTGGCATGCCACGCCCCCGGTGGGCACCAGCCGTGGCCCCGCCTGCTCTCCGCCCCCGGGAGCGGAGCATGCAGCTTCGCCACTGCTTGCAAGAAGCATTATTTCGGGTTTGTTGGCATGGGTTTTTACTACCCATCCAGAGGCACAAGTGTAGGATTAGCACTGTCTATTTAACGCTCTAGAGTTAGCACCAACTGTCAAAATATTCAGGGCTTTGATGTCCCTAAAGCTCAGCCAATTTAATCAGTGGGGTGAAGGCCAAATTTCAGATCCCCACGCGCTGGGTGATTTTGGGCCAGGTCCAACCTCAGCATTAACCTACCTTCATAGGGTTGTTGGACCGTCCGTGGGCCGGATTGAGAAGGCGATTGGGCCGCATCTGGCCCCCGGGCCTTAGGTTGCCTACCCCTGCTCTAACACATCGGGTTTCATCCTTTCCTTACACACACTGCTTTTCTCTCCAAGGTATCTGCACACTCTTCACACTGACCTCTCTGTGCCTTTTCTTGTGATCCTTATCCTGTTCATTATCCCAGCCTATCCTGCAAGGCAGGGTAGGGTTATACATGCATAATATAATCCCCACTTATATGGATGGGAAACTGAGACTCAAAATGCTTGCATAAGAAAAGGGTTGCTAAATAAATAAAGAAAAACCAGGAGGAGGCTTGAGTAATCCTTCCTGCCCCAGCCTCTCACACAGCACATTAAAGGGTACTCAAATAGGGCCTTGCTAAATCACACCAAAGCTTCCATCCCCGCAGTGCGTCTCTCCAACGGCAGCCATCCAGATGCCCCAGAAGGTGGGGGTGGGGAGAAGACATTATGGCCACGGCCATGCCCAGCATCTGGGAATCAGATGTTCTACATGCTTCTGAAAATGAATGTTCTATTATTAGCTGTTATTGCTCATACCTAGGGATCCATGAGGATTTTGTTCAGCCTGCATTTTTAAGCAAAACAACCAGATTCACACTTCACAGAATAGTACACAGATCAGGAAGCAGTTTATCCTTTCGTTTTTTTCACTTCTCTGCAGTTTGTGATGCTATTCTTGGATCAACACGCATATAAAAGGACATTTTAGGTTAAAGCACATACAGAAATGATGTGCTTTGTGAGAAAAAAACACATTGAGAATAATGCGAATATTCTTAAAAATAAATCAGATTGATGTGGAAACAGGAAAGAACACACATAAACACATGAAAAACGACAGAAATGAGAAAAAGACTGACTCTTCATCCCAAATGATACCCACTGATAAATCTACATCTTTCCCTATTATTATTATTATTATTTTATTATTATTATTATTATTATTATTCCCCCCATCTGACTCGGTTCCCCCAGCCACTCTGGGTGGTTTCCAACAAATTAAAACACAATACAAGACCAAACATTAAAAACTTCCCAGAACGGAAATTTATCCAAATTTATCCAACCCCATCTAAGCCAATGATCTGCCATATACATTTTCACACAGCTGCTACATAACTTAAGGAATTCAGTGCTAATCAGTTTTATTGGATGACCTTGAAGTTTGAGAGATAGGAGAGTTAATTTCTCCATAGTGTTCATAATTTCATTTTTTAAAAGATTTTTTAAAAAACCCTCTCAACTTTTAAAGACTTCTAGGGAAAATGATAAATCTCACTGATAAGCTGCCCTTTTCTGAACCTTCTTCAGCTCCAATATATTATATTTTAGGTAAGATGTCACAACTAAATGACAGTATTCATAGTAAGGCTTAAGCATAGATTTATATATAGATTTCTGTAATGGCATTATGATTTTTGTGTTTTCATTATCAATCCTGTTTTCTTCTGAGTAATTTCTAACACCAACTTTGTCCTTGTGTGTGCGTGTGTGCCATATAATACTAAGATGAAACTTTCAGTGAGCTGTTTATAGCTGTTTATTCACACACACACACACACACAGTGTAACCTTGCCTGGTTACAGACAATTTAGATGCTTTTAGTAGCCCATTCAAGCATTCAATACCTATGGTGGGCTAATCAGATTGCATGGGCTAAACATGTGTGATCAGACCAATCTGAATTAGGCCTTTGCATGAACATCTGTATGCACATAACCCCCTTCTGATAGACACCGACACAACTTGGTTATCGCTTCACACATTTGGTACTCTTATGTACCACTTGCCTGTATGGGGCTAGTATATATCAGCATACTATAGACAACTATTTGTAGCAAGTGTCACGCCTTTTGACCTTTCTGGTGAGGCAAAAGGAACCCTGTACACACTCAAATACATCTGTAGTCTTAGCTCAAATTAAGCCATTTTAGGACAAGATGAAGTAAAGGCCCATCTGCTCACATGACCCTGCCCAGCTACTGAGATCAGCCTTAGAGGCTCTGTTCCATGTTTTTCTGCCATCAAAAGTATTCCATCAGATACCTGGAGACAGAGCCTTTTCACTTGTGGCACCCTGTTTTTGGAACTCCTCAAAGAGGTTTACTTGATGCCAACTTTAGTCTCCTTTGGCATCAGAAGAAAGTTTTTAATTTCCCGTTTTCCAGTTCCTGATGCTAAGTTCTTTCTTTGTTTTATGTTGGATTCTGAATTGCCTGCTGTGATCTAGTAATTGGAAGGATTTTATTCTAATTTATGTATATTTTGTAACTGTAATCCATTCTGAGCTACATGTGATGCTAAATTGGCCACAACACACCTTTATATAGCTGGTCCAGCAAACAAATGTATGTGTCATGGTGTGGGCCAGGGGCAAAACTAGACTTTCTTTCACCTGGGTCAAAGACCAAGTTTGGCACCCACCACGCACATTTTCACACACACAAAGACACTGGCAGGGAGCCTCAATGACCCCCTTCTGGGCAAAAAACTGGCTAACCCCCCTCTGTAACCACGGCACTGGTGTGGGCACACATTGACACATTTGCCATGGTTGTGCAGCCACCTGTTAGAGATGTTTTAGGTGTCAGATACCTACCTTAGAGCGGGGAATTGCACTAGATCAGTAGCAGCCAATGAAGTGCCCTGCAAGTTTTTTTGAACTACAATTCCAAAAGGGTGCTAGGAATTGTAGCTTTATGAGGGGCAAACTGCAGTTCCTGGGATTCTTTGGGGGGGAGCGGTGTGCTTTAAATGTATGGTGTACTTTAAAGGTTGGACTCCAGCTGGCCAATGGTCAGATATTATGGGAGCTGTAGTCTACAACATCTTGAAGGGCACCATGAAACAGATAATCTAGTGAAGATTTTCAACCTTTTTGTGTCCATGGCTCCCTTGACCAACTATATTCTTGCTGTGGCTCCCCTGTGGGGAAACGCACTCTGAGCCTCAGAAGCCCAGTTATGTCACCTCTTGCCTGCAGAGTTGGCAGCCCTTCACCCCTTTTTGAACACCCCCCTTGTAGAGTGTTTCCTCAGCCTCCTCTCCTTTCTCTTCTCCCTGGGAGTGCTCCAGGCAGCTCCACCACCACCCCGGTCTCTGAACCACCCCTCTGCCCCCAAAAGAGGTCTTCTTCACCCCCACCACCAGGGGACTGGGAAGAGGATATCCCCAGCCTTAGTGGCCCAACAGAGACTGGCCAAAGGTGAATGTGAAGCCAGCACCTTACTTACTTTGGGAAGTAGCAGGTGCCACTGGGCCTGCATGGCAGAAAAGCTCCCCTTTGGCACTGGACACTCATCTCCCAGGCAGGCACTGCACACAGCAAGCACAAGGCAGGCCAGCACGGTGCCTGCCTGCCTGGCCTCCCACTTGTCTGTCTATTCCCAACAGCAAGGGCTGGAGGACTCAGCTCCCGGCAACCAGCACCCCCTGGCCAAGCCCCAGAGTCACCATTCGCCTGAGGAGCTTGTAGCCAGAGCTGCTGCAACAAACAGCTGTGCAAGACTTTGGGAGGCAGAGATGCAAGAGAGCAGCAGAGGAGGGCCTGTGGCACTCCCGGCCATCATTCAAGCACACTGTTTGAAAACCACTGTTCTAGTGGGCTAATTCCACAGGAGTGGTTCAGCAGCTCAGCAGGTAGAAAAAGCCTCTTGTTTCTTTCACCATCTGTAAAAGAGTTGTGTGGATCGGCCCTGAGTTGGCAACCCTCTGCAAGGCCTCCTTCAGCTTGTCCTGTATAAACCTTGCCCAGCTAGCACAGAGGTTTTCAAGATGTGAGAAGGAAACAGGGATATTCATAACTGGCTGCTTTCTTCAATACAGTTTGGCTTCCTTTAAACTGGCACTGCTGCAAGGGCTTGGCAGGGGGGAGAGCAGTCAAACATTGTTTTGTTGCTGCTGCAATAACCCCATACAATTTCCATAGGGAGGGAGCACTCCGACAGTGTCTCAGCACTTACGCTGCTTCCTTGGAGCAGCTGCAGAGATCCAACATACCTGCTGCACTAATGGCACAGAGCTGTGCTTTTTGATATGCTCCTCAGCCAACACCTCTCCCCTGCACACACACGCAGACACACCTTTTATCATAGCTTGAAGCCACGCAAGAACTGCCTGAGAGTTTGAGCCTATCTCGCCTCTTATTAGGGGCTCAGGAGATTCACCTCTGGAGCATGTTATGGCAATTCCCTGGGGAGCAGGGGAACGCACAGTGTGCCTGTGTGTGTGTACATGCATGCAGGCGTAAGAGCTGAATGCAGCCAATGGGGAGGGAACGCCTGTTCCTGTGAGGAGTCACCCTCCTCCCCTCCCTCTGCACAGCCGCCTCTGGCCCACCCAAGTAGCAGCCGATGGGCATAAATTTGAGAACTGAGTACTAGGCTGGATTGAAGGAAACCTTTCCCTCTCAGCCTCCACGCCTGCCAAGAAACTCAAACCGAAACACATTCCCTCTTGGCTCGCCTGCCAAGAAACCACGGCGCAAGGCCAGCAGTGCTGAGGCTCCTCCACATAAACACAACTTGAGGGGGGTGGCAGGGCTACCCCCCCTCTCCCCTCCATTACCAATATAAGGGGAAGAAACTTTAATGCTTTGCTCTGGATTGCTTACGCACACCAAATACACACATCTGGCTCCCTAGAGGGAAGAATACTCATTCCCACCCCGGTCCTCAGGGTTCTGCCTCCTTCAGGGTTTTGTTAAGAAACACATATATACTTTATGTATAAATATCCTGTCCGGCTAAAAGGTGGAGGAATCAGAGGCAATTGTAGGATGGCCCCCAAGCCCAGAGATCCCCTGAAAACAAAAGCAAAGCCCCTGCAAAAATTACTGTGAGCTGTGGAGGTTGGAGTTTCTCTGAGGCCTCCTATAAGGAACACTCAAAAGCAATGTAACTAAATTTGGAATACAGCATGCATAAACGAGAAAATATATGGCTCAGGAAACAAGATAACTCAGACCCCCAAAATTTCTACTGTAGAAATAGAAGCTTATGGCAGAGACAGAGAGCGATTCAGCCTAGAAGCCCACCCCTCTCAGATTAAGTCCACTAGGTAAAATGACACATTTCACAGCTGGGAGACACATCCTGAATTGAATGTGACGGTGAGTGGGACTTGCTCAACCCGATATTCATGCTGAGAGGGAGCGCATAGGATAGCTATGAGCCTGTATACTAATTTAATGTTATATTGACTGCTATTGCTTTATTTTGTATTTCTCAAAGCCCACTCTGGAATCACTCATCCGCTGAAGAGCAGGGAAAGTGGTGAGGGAGGGAGTCAACCTATTTCCTTAGGCCTGCCTTCAGAAAGCTGCCTTCTCTTCAATAACTGACTTCCTATTTCAGGACTTCTGTTCATACAGAGTAGAAAGCTTACTATAAACCAAATGTGTGTATGTGTGCACACACATTTTAACTGTGAGCCAGAAACCTCTTCAGTCAGTCCTAGGGTGGTCAGATGCAAACTAGGATGAGGGTTCCTGCACCTTCAGTAGATGTGTAGAGAAAGGACGTTAAGCAGGTGTTGCTTGCAGGACAGATTGCACCTGTGAAATTCCCTCTTCTGCAAAACAGGTGCAGGTACCCAGTTCTCTTTTGCATCTGGCCACTTAATTAGCCTTGCCATCAGATTTAAAAATGTTTGGTTTGAAGAAAAGGCTCTTCCCTCCACTGTCATATGTCAGCAGCTATTCCCACCAGGTTCTAGGAGAGGGGGAGGAATGGGAATTCAGGGCCTCTCCATCCTCTCCACTGCAAGACCAGCTTATTTCCATTCCAGCTGCTTGTTACAGAAACTCTGCAACTAAGAAACTGCCCAGGAGTTTGCTTCCCCCCCCTCCTCCCTCCCAATCCCTTTTTCCTTTTGGTTGTGTCTCTTAAACTATAAGCCTGTGGACTATAAACCTGTCTTTTCCCTTGATATTTTTAAGCCACTCTAGGAACCCTTTTCAGCTGAAGAACAATATTTTTTTTAAAAATGCTTTAAATAAACAACCATTCCACACCCCACCCCACCCCCAAAACACAATCTTAACCTTATAGGGTGTTGTTTTACGTGTGGTTTGTTTCTCAAGCAACTTGTGAAAAACTGAAATTGTTGTGTAAAAAAATAAGTGCCTAGTTTTCCAACAGTTCCACACTTGTGCATGTCATCTAAACAATTTGACTAGCAAGTTCTGATAATGATGATGTGGTTGCAAAAGCCTTTCTGATCTTATTACTCATGTTCCCTGAACATGGCAATTCTGTGTCCTTGAGAGCAAAAAGTCCACTTGTAAGCTTCATGGCAAGCTTACCTCCAGAGATGCATTTTAAATAAAAGGACACATTCTATTCAAGTAAAAACACGCCGATTCCTGGACTGTCGCAGGCCAGATTGAGAAGGCAATTGGGCCTTAGTTTGCCTACCCCGGGCCTTAGTTTGCCTACCCATGCTTAAAACCCTTGCAAGGGACCCATACATCTGAAGTGCCACCAACAGATGACCTTTACATGCGTGAAGACGCCTGCATATTAACACCATCTTCTGAGGCCTTTCACAGGTACCTCCACCATCATAGGTTAGGTAGAGTTGTAATCACAATTATTCAGTTCCCACTGCAAACCAGATTTATTATCAAAATTTACAGACTTCCAGCTGTTTGCAATGAGCAAATCAAACAAAAGCAATTGAAATAGCTCAACACAACAGATGCTTCAAGTGGTTTCCCCAAATTCAGCTGAAAATGCAACTTATACTGGCTTCTCCAGTAAAGATGTACATCTTGGAGTTCTGGCATAGAAACTTTCTGTGTTTACAACGTGTCTTTCTGTGCTCACTGAAATCTCAGTGTCTGCCGCCATCAAATCTTGATTAATTGCATCAGGTGTGCTTGAGACAACACCTGGTGTATTTGTGCTGTTGTGAGGGATTCTGTTGAGGGGGTTGAATAATGGTGAGAATAGTGAGACTGGAGAAGCCAGTGTAAGTTGCAATTTCAGCTGAATTTGGGGGAAGCACTTGAAACAAGCGTTGTGTTAAAGTATTTAAATTGCTTTTGTTTGATTTGCTCATTGCAAACAGCTGGAAGTCTGTAAATTTTGATAATAAATCTGGTTTGCAATGGGGCTTGAAAAATTTTGATTCTGACTGTATATGGTGACCAGAGAGCGGGCGACTTCACAGTTGTGGCACCTCTCTGCCCTTCTGGAATTCTCTCTCCTGGAAGGCCTGCTTAATCTGATGGCTTTTTGGTGCCAGGCAACAATCTTCTTATTTACCAAGGCTTTTAAATTAAAAAGCCTCGGCAAAGCTAATTAATTAATTTAATTGAACCATTTTGAACTCTGTTTAAATGTTTTATTTCTCTTTCTTAATAATTGGTGTCACATTATGTTTTTAAATTTCCTTTTGAACTGCGTATTGGTGTTATCGTGTTAATGACTGTTGTATATGAGGGTAAGCTGTCGTGGGGAGTGGGAGTGCTGAAGGGGGGGTCACATTGTTGGCATCCATCTGTCTTGTGAGATAATGGAGGAGTGCGCATTTGGGGGTGAAATCAAACCATTGGAGAGTCACAGCACCTGCTGTGGCTGTAGCATACCTTACACTAATCAGCTTGAGCTTATAACTTATAACTGCTGCCTCCCGCGTTGTTTTTGCTGCATTTGCTGCACCAAAGTGACCTCCCCAGGGTGCAAGCCTAGGCAGTGTGTATGAAGGTCCTAGGTTGCCCAGACGACAAGACCCCCCACTCTCCACCTCCAAAGGAAAGCAGAGCAACGCAGTTGGCTCCAGCTTGGCTGCAGGAGTTGCCGGAAGGAGGCAGACAAAGCGCCACCCAACCATCTTAGGCACTCCACTCGGGATTTGTGTAGGGTTTACGCCTTAGCCTTTTCCTTTCCTGAAGATGTCCTGCAAGGCAGCAGGTAAGAGCAGGGAACAAATGCATCTTCTACTTGTTTTAATGAATGTCTTTTTATTGTTGGTTTTATGCTGTTCATCACCATGGCATTTCCCCCCTTAATGTTGGTGGTACCGAAATAAATCTCTTCAAAAATATGTATAATTACTAATGCTACCTGGGCCCTTAATGTTTGCCCAGAAATAAATTTGAAAGAGAGGCAGAATAGCTTGAACTTTAGCTTCCTCACTGCTGCTTAATCCTTCATATTCGTTTTTGGGTGTAGAGCATATGCAATATTTCCCCTCATCCAACATAATTAGGGGCAAATAGTGGGTGGGATGCAGTCACTCATTTGCCTACATCATTCCATTTGAATTTAAATAACTATTAGCCTCTGGAATGTAAAAAAGAAACTACACAGGTAAAACAAATCAGAGAGAAAAGAGAGAGCAGTAAGAAAAACCCAGGGCCAGGGATAGCAATATTAGGAGTGGGAAGGTCCGTTCTGTTTCCGGAACATGATTAGCACCATCCTTAACCTAGGCCAATTTAGCCTCTGTAGGGTTAACTGCATGTGCCTGCACACACACACACACACACACACACACACACACACAGAAGGAATGTGATGTAATGGCTGGATTAGCAAGTGCCGCTGAGATCCCAGGCTTGATAAAAAGGCAGCTCAGAACTGTGTGTGGCAAAATCCACCATCCCACCACCACTAGTCCCCAGCTTGTATCTGTGTGTGAGCAGACAAGCACAAGACTTCTTCCAGTAATGAGAACAGGGTTAATCCAGGCTGCATGTGTATGAGGACAGATACAAATAGATATTTGTGTACAAGAAGTTGGGATAATTGGGTGGATGTTTATATGGGCAAACAGATTTATTGATTACTAGGTTAGAGAAACCTATTTGTTTATGATTTGTATTCATTCATTCATTCATTCATTGCATTTATATCCCACCTTTCCTTCAAGGAGTCATTCGGGGTTCTCTTAGAATAACAGAACTGTAGAGCTGGAAGGGACCACGAGTATCATCTAGTCCTACCCCCTGCAGGGCAGGAATCTTTCGCCCAACGTGGGGCTTGAACCCACGACCCTGCGATTAAAGAGTCTCATGCTCTACCAACTGACCTGTCCCACTTCTTCCTCCCTATTTTATCCTCACAACAATTCTGAGAGGTAGGTTAGGTTGAGAGACCATGACTGGCCCAAGGGAATCAGTGAGTTTCATAGCTGAGCACAGATTTGAACCCTGGCCTCCCAGCAGTGGCGGAGCTTCAAGCTCCAGTGGGGGTGGCGGAGAGCAGGCAGGGGCATGGCTGGCATGTGTCCTGGGGGCGTGGTGCGTGTCCTGGGGGTATGGCGCACCGCCTGCAGGGGCGTGGCACCCAGCGCAAGGGGGGAGCCGCGATGGCACTCCACTGGGATCATGCCATCAGGGGCAGTGCGCTCCCCCCACACCCCTGTTCCTCCGCCAGTGCCTCCCAGGTCCTAGTCCAGCACTCTAGAAAGGTCCTCCAGCCTCTTCCAACTCATAAATGCGAATGGACTAGGGCAAGGTGGGAGTTGTCCATCGTTGAAACAGATTGTCAGGGAAAGTTGAGCTGGTGTGTTTGGGAAGGAAAAAGTTGTGGATCAAGTGGATTTGAGAGCAGGAGTCCAGAGGAGGGGAGGGAGTGGGGAGATACAGAGGAATCCCCACTTACGGAGGGGGGCGGTTGTTCAAGGAACACGCCCAAGTGGATATTCCTCCACCCTGTTCTGACCCTGCCTCCTTTTGGCACTGTTTTTGGCATTTGTGTCAGCAGGAGCGCGTATGCTGGCTGTGCACAAGTGGGGAAATGTCTGTGTTCTCTGATATTTTATGTTACTCTGAAAAGCAGTATACTTCAGGCAACATTGGTTCCATGGCAGAGGGAACTGGCAATGATGAACCAGTACAGATTGCGCGGTTCAGAGGTCTAGCTTCTTACAATAAGATGACAGTATGCTGTGGATAAGGGGGAAATGTGCCTTTCCTTGAGGCAGTCCCTGCTGCAGCCTCAGCGTCAAAGTGGACCATTAAAAACCACCTTCCGGTGGGAGTTTTAGTCCAACAATATCTGGAGGACCACAGGTCCCTTGCTCCTCTCACATGTCAAGTTTAAATTCACTTTGAGCTCCTCTCTGATAATATCTGGTGGACAAGAGGCCCCTGTGTTGCAAAGGAGCATTCTGACAAAGTAGGTGTGATATTCACATTACAAACCAATTTTTGGGAGAAGCAGTTTTAAGCCTCATGTTTGAAAGCTGAATTCACATCCTTAATGTCGACAATAAAATACAATGTGCACATTATTGCTTATAAATTTTTTCTTAGTCATTTAAAACTAAAAAAGTATAAATTCATAGCAGCAAAGCCATTTGGTTAACTAACTGGATACATTTGATTTCAGAGACTCTCAAATTCAGGCCCTGTAAGGCTGTGGATGAACAAAGCTAGCTAAGGTCTGGATGGACTCGATACAAATTGTAGAAGGTGTTCTGGGACGGGTAACATGTTGCCTTTGCAGCAGCTAAACTTTACAGGGTTGGAGCCTGAGAAAGTACTCATACCACCTTTTCTTCTTGAGCACAAATTTGCGTTGAGTTTCGCCTGCTATTTACTTTGGTGTGGCAATAAGGCCTTTAGCATGAACTGAAAAGACCACCTTCATTAGAACCTGGAAAATGACTGGAAACTTGAAAGGGCCAAGGCCTGGAGACTTGTGGTCGCCATAGGTGTCTGTCAAAGCTTTCCACCACCAAAAATGATGGAGAAAAGCTAACCTGTGAAGAGTTAACAGCAAAAGAAAGCAGGTGACCTGGTCCTGGATTGCAGCATGAATTCTAACATGAGATTACTACAGGGGTGGATAGGAAAGGATAGCTAAAGGATTCAATAACAGTGGACCATTTCACACTAGCTTTCTTCCGCTGGCATATACCCTTTCATCGATTCCTGACAATCTAGAAGACATTCCTCCAAAACCACTGCAATCTGGACTCCTTCAGACAACCTACTTATTGAGCATTCATCCTGATTTCCTTGCACAAAGCTTAGGCAGATGTTAGATTATATTTGGTCTTCGGTGAGCATTCATTCTGATTTGTGGGGAGGTTGTACAATAATGAGCATTCTTTCTGAATTCACCTGGATTTGCTTGCAGGGGGTTTAAACATCTTCCCATTAAGAATTTGTTTTATCCCCTGTCACTTAGTCTGTTTGTTTGTTTGTTTGTTTGTTTTCTTTCTTTCTTTGAATTGGTTATGCTGGGGTGTCAGAGCACTTTAACCCACTTCAGTTGTGCAAACCTAACGTCCCAGAATGTACTTGAATCCCTCCTGCAAAATACTGGCAGTCTGGACGTGCCCTCTCATGTTTTCCTTTGCTGTCATCCCATAGTATGTTTCGTTTTGTTTTTTAATTGCCGGCTCCTGTTAAATTGGCAGCACAATCCTTTCAGGTACAAATTCATTTGGACATTTCAAGCAGTTATCTATCAATCATTCTTGGCTCCTGAGTGTGCTCCTTGGAATTAGAACTTGGGGGGGGGGGGGGTCGGGTCTATTTATCTATCATAGGTAAGAGCTCGCCTGCTCTTTCACAGCCATCAAATGGGAACCTACTGGTTAGCACCAGGGTGAGATGGGAGCCTAGCAGAGCCATAAACTGCTGTCAGCCCGTCATGGAGACATGGCCCTTCCTGATCTCCAGAAAGGGATGGGGGATGACAGGCAGCTCTAGAAAGTTTTTTTGAACCATGAGGACCTCAGTCTCCATTCTTCAAAGCTGCTTATTCCCAAGACCAGCATGAATTCGCCAAGCGCAGCACATAGCTCTGCCCAACACCCTATGGAGCCTGGTGTCCTAGCCAACTACTCCCTGTAGAACAGCGGCCCTAGGCCATGGGGCAAGCCCGCTTCCCAAGCCTGCCAGCATGGCACTCCCAGGGCATGGCCTTCGTGCAGGCAAAACGCCCAACCCCTGCTGGTAGACCAGCTGGCCTCACCCCATTATGCAAATCTCAACATTTTTATTGTGTTACACTGCTTTTAGCTGTTTTTAGCAGTTTTAATATGTTTTAAATACATTTATATCTTACTTTTAATTGCATTTTTATTACAGGAATGTTTGCCACCCTGGGCTTCTTTGTGGGGAGGGTGTGGGACATAAATTTGACAGATAAATATATAAGCACAGTACCCTGTTGGAAGGGTGAGGATAAATCCCAGTAGTCCCAGCTTAATTAACACTGCAGTTACCTAAACTGGGATGAGCTCTGGGTGATCTCAGTCATGATTAACTCATATACCTGCATGTATTGTGTGTGTGCTGGGAGCCTGAATCTGCAGTTCTTTCAAATTCTGGGACAGACCGGTCTTGGCCATGATAACAACTAGCAAGGGGAAGAGCAATGTAAACCCAACACAATTACACTCTGCCGGTAGTCAAGCCAACAGTGGGCCCGAAGCCTAGGATTTTAGGAACCAGGTGATCATAAGGAGCCAGTCCTATAGCACTGTCTGCTATAAAGCTCCAAGATAGAGGAATCTTATCTAGTTGAGATTCTTGCATCGCAGGGGGTTGGGCTAGATGACTCTCAGAGTCCCTTCCAACTCTACAGTTCTAAGATCTGATGCAAAGTCATTACTGACAGGGCCAAACTAGATGTGAGTTTGATGTGTTATTGCATTTAACTTGCAAGTTTTAAAAAACTCGAATAGCCACCTTGGCTTAGCATGATAGGGACCACAGCAACTGGGGGAGGGAGGGGGATTAACCCTTTCACCCTCACTGCAATCCTGACTTACCAACCAGACAGTTGTTCTCTCTGCTTGAGGTACCTCTCAAGCTGGGGTGCATGTACTTGGACGCAACATCTGACATGGCTGTTAGTGCCAAGCTTTGGTTTCCAGATCAGACCAGCATTTGTGAGCAGCTGAATCTGATGAAATATACAAGACGCCTCAAGAACAAATGTAAGAGCCTGCATGGTCCAATTCCATAAGGAAAGCTTTTCCAGTGGAGATGGCTGTAAAACATTGCCACAGTGGAAAAAATGGTCATGTGAACACACAACTTTGCACAACAATTACAACTCCCTATTCTTGCCTTCTGGTATCCTGTGAAAGTGGCCTTCTTTTGAGGAAGGAGGCCCTAAGTTCCCGTTTTGCAGTATCCCCTTCACATTACTCTGGGCCTAGCAAGGGACAAGGCCTCATTTCCAAATACTGTAACTCTCAACATCTCTGATTCTCACAATTAGGAAAATAAAATTTCTCTCTCTCTCTCTCTCTCTCTCTCTCTCTCTCTCTGTGTGTGTGTGTGTGTGTGTGTAGTTCCCAGCTCTCAGCTCTCCGCTCTCCTAAACAGACCAAATTCCACACTCCATGTGTGAGCCAGGCTGGGTCTCCCTCTGACCTGAATGAAGGTTTTGTGTTCCCCCACCATGACAGGAAAGAATCCCCTTTGCTCACCTCCATGTGTGCCCAACCCCTTCTGTCTGGCCCACCACCCTCATTCAGTCCCTGCTCCCCTGATGTTGCTAATCCCCCATCCCAGACAGCTGCCTCAAAGCCCATTGTTTCAGGTTCATGGGCTTTGAAAAGGCCAGGATTCCCTGAGCTGGTCTGGACGGCAGCACTGGATTCAAGGTGGTCCTGCGGCCATACCACCAGGGGCTGCGGACATGGGAAAAGGGACGGCAAGCATCTAGGCTCCCCAGTCCTCACTCCCACACCCAATCTGCTGCACCCTCTTAAATACCAACTGCTAATTAGTACCGGTTTTAAAAGCAAGATGAAAGCACCGGTGAGGGGCACAGAACACTCCCATTATCTTCCTGCATCCTCCCCATATTGGGAGGTTTCTCACTCCCGTATAGGAGCCTAACTGAGATACCCCGAATCCTGCTTTGAACATGATTCAGGCAAACCACTCAAAAGACAGAGCTGGCATCATCACAATTCACCTTGTTCACAGTATCTGTTCTCAAAATGGATGGATGCAGATTCCTGGCAGGAACCCAGTCGGTGCTTAATGCTGCAGCTTATTAGGTCAGCTGATTCTGTAGTATTATGGGTAGAATATCAGACAAAGACCAAGGAGACTAGGGGTCAAATTCCCACTCAGACATGAAACTCGCTTGTTGACCTTGGACCAGTCACTGTTTCTCAACCTCAGTTGCTGTGATGATAAAATAGGGAGGACATTAGTAGGTGCATGTCACCTCAAACTCATTGGAAGAAAGACAGGATATAGATGACAAAGTTAAAAATCAATGAGATATTTGGCTGGCATAATGCTCTCAATTTCATTTGGGGACTGGGGCTGCAATCCTAAACATACTTACTAGTTAGCAAGTTTCCCACTGGTGGCTTTTGCCCACTGGGACTCATGGGGCAGAGTGCAGGAAGGGCAACAGTATGTGGGGCCACAGCCAATGACAGGTGGAGCCAACCAATTCCAGTTTTGTCCCCATTCTCCTCCCTACTGAATTCTACAAAGACAAACCCTGAGACTGAGGAAGAGGAAGCTGATAACCAGTGCCACCCCCTGGAATGTTTGTCAGTAAGAAGGCAGGCAGATCGGGGCTGGCTAAGGGCAGAGGAAAGTTGGTGGGGCAGTGCCCCATTTGCCCTACTGGATCAGCTTCCATTGAATAAACATGTCCACTAGGATTGCACAATGGCTCTCAAAATGTTAGCAGCTACTGAACTGCAAAATGCTTGCTTGCTTGCTGGTAGAAATTACTGCTCCCGCACAAATTGCCACGTATCCATGATGCCTCTCAACAGAACCAATTGCAAATCCTCATTCTGAAGTTGGACTGTGAGAAGAAGCATCATTTCCCTTGCTTAATGTACTGTGCCCTCAGCAAGAGCTGAAATATGTGTATACATTGATTTGGGAAAGTGTGAATGCAAAACAGCCTGCAGGGATCCCCCCACCCCAAGTTCAATAGAAGTTGGAAAGGAGATTGTGACCAAAATGAATGGAGTTAGGACAAGACCAAGTGCAGTGATTTAGATCCCTGCCAGCGGGCATGCTGAAGAACAATGCCACATCTGGAATAAGTGGTGCTTTAGATGCCCAGGACTGAAAGGGACAAATGTGGAAAACGTACCACCTGCCTGCTCTATTCTGGGCTCTTTTCTGGCCACATTGATATTATGGGAATCTGAAGCCTTATTTCTAACCAGCAAGCCAAGCATTTCCTGGAACCAGGAAAGGCAGCCATTGCCTTGATAGGTGGTCCTGGGGCCACAGTTCGGGAGGAGATTGCCCTGGACTGTTGGTATGTTTGCTTTGGCACTTGCCACAAAACCGTACACATTTCCCCTATAAAGTGACTGTAGGAATTTGTATGCTGTATGGAATGTGTGTGTGTGTGTGCATGTAAAAATATGTGTGGGATTAATAAATCAGTCTGCTTCAAATTCACCTGCTGGTCCTCCCCCCTTCCCCCCCGCTACCACTAAACAGGAGTAAAGCAACAGGAGCATATTAACACACATTTACAAGGTCTCACCAACAATGTTTCATTTTAGGTCCTGCAAGATTTAAGTAGTTTAATCGATACTTTAATCAACCCAAGAGAGTTATTGCCTCTGTGCCTCACTTGTGATCTTATTGGAGGCATCTAGATCAGTGTTTCCCAACTGGGGGCCTCCAGGATATTCCAAGGAGGCCCCAGGTGAAAATCGCGTAAATGGGGGGCCACAGCACGAGGGTAGGGGGCCACAGAGGGAAGTGAGAAGTGAATTGCATTTTTTTGGAGCAGTCCTGGTTTGTTTCCAGCGGGAGAGGGTGATTGCTGAGGCTCCCATTTTGACCCGTACAGCCCGCGATCCAGAACCCCCAGGTCAGGTAAGTGTGGTGGTGGGGTGGCAATGGGTAGGGCTGGGTGAGCCAGACCTGCTTGTTGCTGTCACCAGGGCTGGACCCGTTGGCAGCCTGGGTCTGACTCTGCAAGGCACGGGGTTAAATACACCCCAGCGCCTAGCCAAGCAGGGTCGTCTGGTGCTGCTGACTTGCATCTAGTAAACAACTGTCTACTCAGAAGAAAGCTTCACTGAGATCAGTGGGGCTTACTCCCAGGTAAGGGTGTGCGAGGCTATAGCAGTGGTTTTCAACCAGGGTGCTTGTGTAGCGGTTTGCTGCAGCAGCCCTGGCTACAAATGATGCCTCGGGCTGGCCAGCGGGTGCCGGTTGCCAGGAGCAGAGGCAGCCTCGGAGTAAGCAGGCAAGTGGGCGAGGGAGCCCAGCCAGTCCACCAGCCCTTGCTGTTGGGGATGGACAGACAAGTGGGAGGCCAGGCTGGCAGCGCACTGGCATTTCTTGTGCTTGCTGTGTGCAATGCCTGCCTGGGAGATGAGTGTTTGGTGCTGAAGGGGAGCCGTTTTGCCACGCAGGCCTGGCAGTGCCCAAAGTAAGGTGCTGGCCTCACATTTGGTCAGTCTCCATTGGGCCACTAGGGCTGGGGGCATCCTCTTCACAGGCCTCTGTGGGGCAGTGTAAGGAGGCATCTCTCTCTGGGGGCAGCTCACAGACCGGGGTGACTGCAGCTGCTGCCTGGAGGACTCCCAAAGGACTGCCAAGGAGAGGGGAGAGGAGAGGAGAGGAGGCTGAGGGAACACTCCACAAGGGACAGTGTTCAAAAAGGGCTGAGGGGCTGCCAGCAAGGGACATAACTGGGCTCCTGAGCCCCACAGGGGAGCCACAAAAAGACTGTAATTGGTCAAGGGAGCCATGGACTCAAAAAGGTTCAAAACCTCTGGGCTATAATGTTTTATCTTTTTGCACCAGGCAGTGGCGGAGTAAGCTGCATGGGCACTCGGAGAGTCAGCCATGAAGTGCACCGGGGGGGGGGGGTGATCGTCTGCGGCTGCAGCGAAGGCGGCTCGATCTTCTGCTCACACGCGCGGCTGTGGGGTGATCCTCCCTTTTTGTCACCCCCCTCAGAGATGGCACCTGGGGCAGTCTGCCCCCGTCCCCCCTTCCTACACCCCTGGCACCAGGTCAGTGAGGACCACTTGCTTTTTAAAATTCTCCCTGTGCACCTTTTGGACTGTATCTGTAGATTTCCTCCTCTGTATTCAAATAACTGGGGTCAAGTAAGTGTTGTTTACTTTTTATAATACATGGAAGATGAATCTCCCTCAGGAGGTTCTGGACTCTCCATCCTTAGGGGTTTCTAAGCAGAGCTTGGATGGCCACCAGTTATGGATGCTTTAGCTAAGATTTCTACATTGCAGGGGGTTGGACTAGATGACCCCTGGGGTCCCTTGCAGTTCCATGATTCTATGTTTTTCTGCTTCAGCGATATGTAATTATGGTCCTATCATTTTATGTAATTGTATTTACAAACAAAACATTTAAAAAGGTACTTTTCTACTGGTAGGATGGGGGAGGGCAGGAGCATAGCCAGGATTTTTGTTAGGGGGGCAGACTTTTATTCCGGGGGCAAAGCCTCAGTTTTGTATTGATTTTTACTTATTGAGTGGCAGCTGCCCCCCTGGCCCCCCCTTGGCTATGCTTATGGGGGGGCACAGGAAGGAAACAAGGTTGGAAATGGGCCATGGTCGAAAAAAGGTTGGGAAACACTGATCTAGATGACCATAGAGTGAAAGAAGATGCTGGATTAAATAGACCATTGGCTTGATCCAACAGATATGTTCTTATATCAATATTTAGTTCATTGGTCAATGTACAACATTTTTAATCTGTGAGGCTGAGAGCCATGAAATACATATTTATTTTTTCCTTACAATTTATTAAAAATATTTTTTCAGTCTATTGTGGTTGCGGTGCAGTGTTTTAATAGGGAAAATGAAAAAAGAAAACATTGAAAGGTGGTCCCTTCCAAAAAGAAAGGTTGCTTTTTTTCTTTTGAAGTTCAAGTTGTTTCACATTACTTCCACTAGAAGTTCAGTAATATGTAAATAAAATTAATTAGTTTAGTGGAAATTTATTAATATATTAAAATTAGTTTGTTGATAGCTCTAAACATTATATCCTACAGTTTTACCTGTTTGCAATGAACTGGGCCTATTTCCCCTATTTGGGTACCAGTTGCTGAAGTATATTGAATTTGAGCCTAAATACTCAATTGCTGCCTCCAGATACAACTCTTTGGAATGAATTAAACCAAACCCAGTGGTCTGTCTATGGTATAAACCACAATTCAAGTCCACCTCGGCCAAAAGAAGAGAACTCACCCTAAAACTTATATATAGATGATACCTAGCACCTTGGAAGCTAGCACAGATACACCCAGGAACTTCATCTAAATGCCGGAGAGGCTGCACTGCAATAGGCCCATACCTCCACATGTGGTGGGAATACCCCAAAATCCAATCCTTCTGGATATCAGTGCTGCAGAAAATTTTCAAAATAACAAAACAGGTAATAGAAGCAACTGCAGAACTTGCCCTATTAAATATCTTCCAGGACAACAACACACATGCACACTAAGTCACTTACTTTCAGCTTTCAGCTAGAAAAATAATAACTAGACACTGGAAGGACCTATCAGGAGTGAACCTAGACCACTGGTACCAAAAGGTATGGGAAACCACCCTTCTAGAAAAGTTAACTAAGAAACTCAAACTAGCACGGGGATAGGCTACAGAGGATGCCTTCACCCCAGTGTGGTTCCCCTTTAGTACATACGCAGCACAACAGGACAAGGACCTATCTCCCCCAACAGCATACAAATCAATATGGCTAACCTGACCCAGCAACCTAGCCTGCCTCCCTCACACAAATAAGCCACGCTGCAATCAACTAAATACAACCAACCAAGCTTGGGAACCCCTAACCTCTCGCAATATCAATAAAAATAAATAAATACACAAAGGACCTACCCATGTGATGCTGACACAAACCCCCTACATTAAGAATAGGCAATAGAATGAAAGAACAATATCCCTATCTCTCGCTGTTCCCCTTCCCCCAACTGAATGATATGTATGACAAAAGTGTCTCTCACCAAACATAAATGAACTGTGAAAAACACTATGAATTGAAAATGGAGACAATAGATGTACCGTTCCCTGTTTATCTGTTTGCTTTGTAACATAAGAATAAGAATAATAAAGTTACTAGCCTGCCACAAACATGAAAAGTTTTACTGCTCTGTCAAGGTGGATATGCTAGGTTCAGAGGAGGGATAGAGCGCTTCATCCTCAAGATAGCCAACCCATTCACTACAGTGCATGCAATTCCTTCTTGCCCATGGCTAGCAGACAAATATTTACATACAAGGCTGTTTTATCTAGTACAAATTAGAAGGGAGCCTGCCCACCACCATTTGTGACAGTCCCCTTACCCACTGTTTATAGAAGGCTACAAAGTGGTCCATGATCTGGATAACATTTGTTGATATTAAGGATGAGGCTCCTGGTTTTGATTAATGTCCCCTTATACATTTCCTCTCATTATTCAGTTACTGCCTTTAGTACAGTTGGAACAACTTATGGGGAAAATCACCTGTGGATGTCACAAGTGCTTTCTGTATCTGAGCAGGGCCAACAATTCCACCAGGAAAACTAAGGCAATTAATTGCCACAGGCAGCAGGAGGGCAGCAAATCAGTACCCTCTGGGCCCACTGGCCCACTCACCTGCTAGCCCACCTGGCCAATGTGAGTGAGGAAGTCCTTCTTCAGAACCAGGTATTTGAGCAGCAGCAGGAGCAGCACTGTGGCAAGGCAACATTATACGGTTGCCATACGTCTGGGAAATCCTGGACATGTTCTCTTTTGGGGGGGGCTACATACCCATCCGGTGGGATTTTTACAATGTTAAGCAAAGGTCTGGGTTGGGGGAGGGGGTTAAAAAAATATGTGTGAGCGGGCAGCTCAAGTTCTGGTGTGGGCTCTGGCACGGGTGTGGGCAGCACGGGCTGTTTCAGGCTCTGGTGCAGGTGGCTCAGGCTTGGAAGTGGCCGGGGGGGTGGAGAGGAAACTTTTTCGGTCCAGATTTTTACCTCTGGAAATATGGCAACCCTATGGTGCCACAGCATGTTAAGGAAAGAAGCAGCAACTCAGTTGCACAGGCATGGAGCAGTAGCTGGTTATTCAAAATGTTGGTGTGCAGTTGTTAGGCCTGTAAATTTTCACCTCTCCACACAGGTGGCCCTACTGTTTGGTAGACTGTAGTGGCAGGTACAGTTGTACCTTGGAAGTCAAACAGAATCTGTTCCAGAAGTCCGTTCGACTTCCAAAACATTCAAAAACCAAATCACAGCTTCTGATTGGCTGCTGGAAGCTCCTGCAGCCAATCAGTAGCTGCTGAAGCCCCGCCGGACGTTTGGGTTCCAAAAGAACGTTCACAAACCGGGACAATCACTTCTGGGTTTGCCACATTCGGGAGCCAAAATGTCCGAGTTCCAGGGCGCTCGACAACCAAGGTATGACTGCACTGAGGTTCTTTCACAGCTTAGTGAATCATCAGTTGTTTGTCCCTGAGTTTTGTGTTGTTTTAACACAAAAGGGAGGAGCGGTGCAATTTGTTTTTTCCTCCCGGGGTGCTAATATGTCCTGATCCTCCATCTTGGCTCCTACACCAGCCATGAAACTTTAATTTTTAAAGAATTATTAAAAAATAATAATAGAAAGCTATAGAATAAACCTATTATGGGTTAAGTACACCATACCAGTTAATTGTAGTTTGGCATCTGTTATATTGTATAATTTAAACCAATTATGTTAATAACATGCCACTAAAATTTGCAGATTAGCTTCAGCCCTCTGGCTCATGGTGCATTTTGAATGTGGAGCTGAGCAGTGAAAAAGCTGCCTATCGCTGCCCACTTCACTGGGCTACCTGCCTCTTGCACCTGCGCCTTACCTCTGAACACTGCTCCTCCTCCAAGGAGCTCAGATTGCCTTCTCCTTGCCAGGGCCAGGCTTAATTAGCTTCAGCAGCAGAACTGAATCATGTGCCTTTAGACTATTCTCTGGGCAACCAAAGCCATTATTCAAGAGCCAGAAGAGGTGCAGCCGGCTCCAAATGATTTTGCTTACTGAATAAGGAGTAACACACATTACTTTTGCAATAATGAAAATTCAGCTATAAGAATGCCCTATTTACCCCACACATAATGATTAGGTGTTGACAGATGAACCCTGCTTAAACATTTTCAATAGAAAGAGTTGACAAAGGATGGATTGCACATAAGTTTGCACCTGTCATGCTGAACTGTTGAGTTGAGTGTTCAGTGATAGGGTTTTTTTTGGGGGGGGGCAATTTTCTTTAAAACAAAGTTTTTACTCAGCTGGGTGGACTGCTGGGTGTGGCTTGCACAAGATATTTTTAGGGCTTCCTGATACAAATTTCAGTAATAATTAATTGACTAACAATTGAACTTGTTAGTTTCTTGTTACACAGAAAGGTTGCATGCACAAATCAGCTAGTCCAAAGGTAATACAGGGTTGGCGGAAGGTATTTTATCACCCTGGGCTCCCCTCAGCCATCCCAACTCAGCAGCTTTTATGCCAGACACAACACTGGCTAAAGGAGCAACAACAAGTTTCCTGGGAATACTCTAAGTCTGCCAATAGCCATCCTTCATCTCTTTCCTACTCATGAACCACAAAAATCTCCATTAATTAAATACAGAAATTTCAACAGTTCAACAAAACACTGAAGTCTCATTCCACAACATTCAAAATGCAAGATGACCAAATTTGAAGGGTAAGTGCTTAGGCTGCAAATTAAGAAAATTGTCATGATCCCATGTCCTGCTTCATCCACCCAGCAATTGCTCAATTTTCAGGCAACATGGTGATAATTCAATGGTATAGCGATCTTCATAACCACCTCAACATAATTAAGAAGTGTTCATTAAACAATGAGCATTTTGTCTCCAATTGCCTTCTAAGGTTTTTATAATGATCTTCCTAGGACACCATATACAAAATGCAAATTTTGAAAGATAGCTGTGTTTACGTATTAGTTTAAGAAGTGTGAATTTGGTGGGTCTTTCTTTTAAAAAAGCAAACAAATTTCTCCCCTAACCCTCCCCAAAACATGGTGTTCTCTCATATAGTTTGATAGTCACAAAGACCATTCCACACCAACATGCACTGGAAAAAAAGAGTGGAAGATGTTTGGAGAATCTTATGCACAAATAATCCACGTATCTCCTAGGGTGGCTGCTTCCACATCACCAAAAAAAGGGGACAAAAGCACTTGACAATTTGCATAAAAATGTGCACATGCTAATTTATATGTATACATGCAAATTTAGAAATACTGTAATTGCTATAATTTAAATAGCAGTACATTACATCTCATCATAGCAGAGAAAACTAAGACCCAGTGACCTCTGTGCTTCCTCCATCTGCTGCCCAGGTGCTGCTCACTGTTGATGGGCAACTCAAAGGCCTCTGCTCTCTCCCTATTTGATCTTTAAACCAGACTTGGTCCTGGACTGTCTGCCTTTCAAATAGTGGCCTCCTTCAAAACATTTTTCCATGCCTGGTGGACTTGCGAAAATCTAAGGTATATTGGGGTACAATTCACGAAGAACTTTAAAAAATGCTAAAACCAGAGGCACTTCTGTTAGGTCTACTGGGGAAAAATATACCCCAGAAAAAGAAAGGAATTTTCCTATACGCTGCAGCAACTGCCAGGATCGTGTTTGCCAGCAAATGGAAGAACGAGACAATGCCTACAAAAGACAACTGGCTACATAAATTAAGTGAATTTATGGAAATGGCAAAGCTAACAGCATACGTAAGAATGCAGTCAAATCAAAAACTTAGACAAGAATGGCAATGCTTCAAAGAATATATGGATAAACACTATTCAAAAAAGAATATGCTGATATGTTTAGATTAAAAGAGTAAAGTAGAAATCATTAATAAGTCATGTTATAAAGAGATTAAAATACAAAAGCCAAAAGACTGCAATGTTTTGTACCAAATTGAAAATATATGGAAGTCAAGGTGTGGTGGAGGGAAGCGGTGGAGAGTGGTGATGGGTTGTCACGGGGGGGGGGGGGGATAAATGGTGTTTGTGTAAATAGTAGTCTATTTCTGTTTGTTTACGTATTTTTCTTTTTTCTGCCTCATCAAAATTCAATAAAGAAAATTTATACACAAATAGTAGCCTCCTTCAAATAGGGCATCCCTGTGATAGCCAGTCCTGATATAGGTTTGTCCTCTCAGCAGGACATGTGGCATGACTATCCTAGTAAGTATTTGGCCAATTAGGACACACTTCAACATCAGCCCCCACTCTGACTCCTTTTTTATCACTAGAATGGGTAACAGCACATTTCCCCTATTTCCCTGGTGAGGAGTCACGCTAGCAGGAACATCGCTGCCCTCCAAACTTCTTAAATTCCTAGGGGGAAAGACAGTGAGGCGGGGGAGAAGTGTGGGAAAGCTCTTCATTCCTAATGACCTTCAAAGGCCACTGGTTTGGTTTGTTTTTGGAAATTATTTTCTAAGTTAAAGGGAATGCTAGAATGCTGGTGAGGAGGATAATTTCCTGTTCTGCTCTCTCGGATGACAGAGGAGAAAGTGGTGGCACGATTCAGGTAATGCCCGTGCACAGACATTTTGTCTTCAAAGTATGCCTCTCTCTGAGGACCTTACTTAAATGGGTTGTCAGTCATGGGTTTACACAGGTGTGTTTAACTGGGCCACTTTTTGACCTTTTACTTTTCTCAGGCCATTTAAAATATTGCATTTTGAACATATTTACCTCTGCATTTCACTGTAGTTTCTTAGCCCTTTGAGATGATGAGATGCTTGCTGAAGATGTGCTAGTCACTGATTGGATGGGGTTGCCTGTTGCTTTAAGTAACTTCTTGTGCTGTTATTAACTGGGTTCATTGGAACTGTGATTTTAATTGTTTCTTAATCTGTTTGTTGCCCACAGAACAATGGGCATCAGATAAATGTAGCAGTAGTAATAATAATCATAATCATAATAATAGTCATCACTGCCGACATGCCTGCAAGTTGTTTGCGACAGGCCCAGCTCTGCCAGCAGCACGACACAAGCATCTATGTCTTGTGCAAAAAGACAGCGGGTAACTCTCTAGCAGTGACAGTGGCTCTGGGACCCAGTATTTTTAATGGACTTGTACAAGGCTGTGTTGGTTCTAGCAGGACTTGCCACTGAACGAAATTCATCTATGGAATGATATGGTTCAGGACCTGGAAAGCAATTGTAACCGATTGACATCGCTTGTAGGGTTAAAAGAAGTTTTGTAAGCAGTAATATATAAATTATTGTGAAAAGAATTAAGAATAGGTATTAAGATTTGAATTTACAGCAATAACCATAGTAACAAAATGCATAAATAGAAAAGATTTTAGAAAACCATCAGTTGAGGTTGAAGGAAGTCTTAGGCTGTGATAGCCAAAGATTTTGAAATGATGTTTAAAAGAATGATATGCTGGGAAATATGTGTAAAAACCCCCAAAAAATTATTATTATTATTTTTAAAAGATATGGTGCAGGACCACCACATGCTCACTTAATTCCTGGTTTACTCTATGCCCAGCACTGCTTGCCTTGCAGATACATGCAAACTGGGTGCATGGGACAGGTAATGCAGGTATTGATATCCCAGGTATGTATAACGGAGCTTCCTGCAAACAAAACCATGGGGCAAGGAATGTCCAAGTTTTGTGTGGAAGCAAGTAGTACTCCACCAGCACCACACCTTGATGAGGGATAATTCTCTGAGATAGCTCAGTCAGTGGAGCATGAGACTCTTAATCTCAGGGTTGTGGGTTCGAGCCCCACAGCGGGCGAAAGATTCCTGCATTGCAGGGGGTTGTACTAGATCACCCTCCTGGTCCTTTCCAACTCTACAGTTTCTATTATTCTAATTCCTCCTTTTGGCCTCTTTTTAATATACTCCTGGAAATCAGGAGACCCTGGCAGTAGGTTGATGTCAGCTGTAGCTGCAGTTCTTGCCAGTTACCAGTCATTTTTCCAACAGCTCCCATCAAATGCAACAAATGGGCAAACAACCATCTGATTTGGAATCACCCATCAAACACAACAAATAGAGAGGAGAAAGGGAGGGTGAATTATAAAGACAACCCAATGTATGAAAAAGAATGAAGAATAAAATCCACTGGCCCAACATAGGGCTCCATGCTATTTTTATTTATTTAATTTATAAAAGTGATTTTTATCCCATTCTTCAGCACAAGTGCTATTTGGGCAGACTGACAGATCTCAAGGTTATCCCTCACTCCTTTTATCCTCATAATAACCCTATAAGTTAGGTTGGGTTGAGGGAGATAACAACTAGCCCAGGGTCGTCGTAAGCTACATGGCTGGGCGAGGATTTGAACCTGGGTCTCCCCAGGTCTAGTCTGACACTCCACCACCCTGGCTCTTTCCCACATGCTAGGTCCAACTTTCCAGTTTGCAGACACGGAAATAACAAGACATTTCCAGAGCAGAATCTTCTGAGACAGACTCAGCCTTGGGGAACCTGTCAGTAAGGCATCACCGTCGTGTTGCGAAGCCCCAGAAAAATACACCCGAGGGAGGGACCTCCAGGACAGTAGCTGTGTTAATCTGTAGCAGCAGTGCTTTTTTCCTGGGGGGATGCAGGGGGACGCATTCCCCTAAACATTTTGTGAATCTAAGTTTGGCCTCATTGAGGGGCAGTATTTCATGATGAGTAGGAAAATGAGAGCGCCCCAAACATATTTTTAGGGGGGGAAAGCACTGTGTAGCAGCATAAAGATTTGAGTACTATGGGCTACTTGTATATGATTTTCCTACGCCAAATTCATTTACATGTGTGCATGTGGAATAGACAGTCAGGTGGGCTGAGCTCCTGCTGCTTTATTTTGTGGACAGTCTAAGGGAATCAGCCATGGCATGATAAGTCTAGGGAATAAGCCATGGCTTAATGACATGCATGAAATGACTGAGAAGATGGTAGGTGGATGCAGAAGTTACTAGTAAACATTTTTTGGCAAGCTTCATTAGTCATTTGTGGCATGTTGACACCACAGAAGACAAAAAGTGTGGACTGTTTTCTAGTTCATACAAATTTTCTGGCCTAGTGTTTTGAAGGCAGTGTTTGCTACAGGTGACCAGGCCAATAGCAGTTTACAAGCCTGGTGTGTACAGTGGAGAAGAAAAACCAGTATCCCTGGCTATTGTAAATCGCACTGAAAAGAACTGAGATAACTGAGCCAGTCTCCATCCTCGTCAGTGCCCATCTTGGCTAGTCTGCTGCAAAGACCTGCCTCTTCTATGTGGAAGAGTGGAAAAGGTGGCATTCAGGGAAAACAAGGAGATGCTGTTAAAGGCTCTTTTCAAATGAGAAATTAACAATGCTAAGTATTTAAAGTTATTGCATATTCATTACTAGTGTGTTGTCAAAGCTTCCTGTGGCTTTAGTTATTGGTTATTGGTTTTGTTCTTACGGTACTGTACTATGTTTTTATATCAATGTTTTTAAACATGTTGTCAGTCACTCAGATAATAAGCCACTAAAAAGTCTATTATTATTGTTACTGTTATTATTAACAAGTCTTATTAATCGTTCAGAATGCTGATCATCATAGCTCAGCAATTCTTCACGCAGTTCAAGCAGGTCCTCACTTGCAGATGGGCTTGCCAGGAGGAGACGGAGCCCAGCTGCTCCAGAGGAGGCTCATGCCGCCTAGTTGGGGATGAAGCCCAGAAGGGCGGAGACTGGTGGGCTCTGAGGGGCAGGAGGCAGAGTCCGTGCCATCTAGCAAGCAAGGGGTGGATCCCTCATGATAAAATGTTTAGCTTTTAGCTGTTCATTTAGACTGTGTGAATTTTTCATAACTATAGTATTATCATCATCACCATTATCATTACTTTTATTAGTTTTTTAAAATATTGCTAAATGTTTCTGGCATTTTTTCAGAAAGGTGGGGGTAAAATTATTTAAACAAGCAAACATGGGCCTAGTAGCAAGAGCTAGTAGCAAAGATTTCAAGGCAACCAATCTCATTCACAGTTATAGCATCTATAGAAAATACATATTTGGGATGTTTCAAAGAAGCAGGGGAGCCAATTCCAAGTACAAGTCATTTTATTACAGTCAATTATCAGTATCAAGACAAAAACACCACGTACAAACTCTAAAAGTTCAAAACAGGATAAAATGTTATAAAATCGCATATACATAAAAAAGCAGTTCTGGGTGGTCATTTATCTGTCAGAAAGGAAACCCTTCTAGTATTTGTGCTGCCAAAGCCCTTCTGATCTAGAAGTGTCCATCGGTTGATATATTATATATTATACTATTTCTGAGTGCTAATTGTTATATGTCATATTTTGATTGTTGCTGCACAAAATTTGGCCACCTTGTATGTTATACCAGGATTTTTATCAAGGAGCGACTGAGTGGCAAGAAACTGATCAGAGCATCCAGTATATTTCTGGATCGTTGGCAGAAGAAGGTTAAAGCGTAAATCTCTATAAAAGAAGCACGTGTTTGGCCAGAGTCACAGGGACAGCATCTCTCCAATATGAGAGAACAGCAGAGGGGAGACCACAGCATTGAGCCAGGATGAAGGCCCTACAATGTTCAGCCAGTTCCAGACTGCTTAGATATGGGCGTCATGCATGACATTGTAACATCACGCACCACCATGATGTCAACCTGCCTGTCTCCCTCCCAAGTTGGTGCACTGCAAAGAAGTCCATTGAAAGGGAACAAGGGGCAAAAGGGAGTTTTAAACATTAGAATGGGCAAGTTCAGTCAGCTGAGCACAAGACTCTTAATCTCAGGGTTGTGGGTTAGAGCCCCACGTTGGGCAAAAGATTCACGTCTTGAAGGAGATTGGATTAAATGACCCTCGAAGTCCCTCCTAACTCTACGATTCTATGATTTTAAGAGAGCTGAAGGTAAGCCCTGCAAAAGACAGCCTGCCTGGCCTGCCTCCTGAGGTTTCGCCCTTTTCTGGAGGACTCAGTCTCGGAGGAGGAGGAGGAGGAGGAGGCTACAACTCCAAAACTTCAGGTCAGTCCGAGAGATCTGTCAATCTTAATTGCAGGTAGCAGGGTGAGGCCGCTGTGCCTTGCCTAAGGCCACCCAGTGAGTTCAGAACTGAGTTGTGATGTGATCAGGAGGCTTCTGAGCGAAAGAATTGTGATCTTCACCACTAAGCAGTGCCATTTCCTAGTTACTCAAGTTGCAGGTGCAAGAGCTGGGACATACTAGTAGCATATCCAGAGTTTCTCAAACCTCGTAGACAGCAAATCTTCATAACACATCCCTTCTGCCCGACTTTTGGAGCTGGTGGATATTACAACTGGATCCCCTATGAGAAGGAGCCCTTGGCTTCCCAAACAGGCACCTGGGCTGCATCAATCATGAGAGGTCAGGTGAATCTTGGCTCAACGCATACAGGAAAACGGGACTAGGAGACACGATAAAGCAGAATCTTTCCCACCTAACCCCCTTAGGTAGGTACTGCCTGCCACATACTTTAAAAGCTATGGCACTAGACCATCCTCGCAGGCTTTACTGGAGTCCATCTGCCTCAAAGACCAAAGTGAACATTATACACTCTGGCTACAGGTAACATTAGGGACGCGGGTGGTGCTGTGGGTTAAACCACAGAGCCTAGGGCTTGCCAATCAGAAGGTTGGCGGTTCAAATCCCCGTGACGGGGTGAGCGCCCATTGCTCAGTCCCTGCTCCTGCCAACCTAGCAGTTCAAAAGCACATCAAAGTGCATGTAGATAAATAGGTACTGCTCCGGCGGGAAGGTAAACGGTGTTTCCGTGTGCTGCTCTGGTTCGCCAGAAGCGGCTTAGTCATGCTGGCCACATGACCCGGAAGCTGTACGCCGGCTCCCTCGGCCAATAAAGTGAGATGAGCGCCGCAACCCCAGAGTCCCAGAGTCAGCCACGACTGGACCTAATGGTCAGGGGTCCCTTTACCTTTACCTTACAGGTAACATTAGTGCACTTGCTGCTCCTGCATTCCACAGCATCCGCAGTACAGTAAGCCTCTGAATTCTAGCTGCTGTGGAGCATGAGCAGGAGAGTGTCTTGTTTGTGGGGTTCCCAGAGGCATTTGGTTGGCCACTGTGGGAACAGGATGCTGGACCTCTGGTCCAATCCAGGAGGGTGCTTTGTATGTTCCCAGCAGCGGCAATATGCAGTGAAGGAGTGGAAGACCCTCAGTGTTGTTTTTCCTTGAACTCAAAACCTTGGGTTCCGCATTTGTGAGGCAAAGAGAGGCCTGGAATCCTGGCAGAAGTGGAAATAGTGGAATATGTGGCAGGTGTAGGACTTTCCTGTTTTCATTGGAGAAATGTTGGAGGGTATGCATTTCAGGGGGAAACCAGTGCTCAGAAGAATGATTAGACATCCCCTCTTGCTCCCTCTGCTTATCCCCTGCAAATTACCCCCTCTCAGAGAAGACTCAGAGCTGCAGTTGCCAACTCTCTGGGTCCAAACCTGTTTCAGGGTTGTAGACTGTTAGGCCTAGTTTTCACAAACAGCAGACTTCTTGTGTTCTGCTTGAACCATTCTAGGCTACAGGATGGGGTTCATATGCAATTCTGATTCTCCCTGCCCCGCCCCAAGTATAGAAACTAGGGGTTAGGGAGAAGGGTTCTATCAGTTTTATCTGTGTTCGGGTTTTTAAAAATCATTATTCTGCGACAAAGTAAACGCAGTCAACTTCAGCCTGCAGGGCACAGTCCTGACACAGGTTGCCACTTCATCGGCTGTTTGTGAGAACAAGGCTTCATGGTCTCCAGATGTAGAAGTTCATCTAAGGATGAGGAACCAGAGAATGAGGGAGACGGCGTGCTTTACTCAGGGCCCTATTGTTATGTTTCTTTGTTGTCCTATCATCACCATTTATTATTCATAAAAGCACTTAATATATCCCAGGCGTCACACAGGAATAAGATGAACAGAGCCTTACCTACAGACTCATAATCTAAAGCTGGGGTGGTAGATCACCAGGTGATTTGGCAAGGATTTCTGGCTCCCAATTGATTAGCCAACAACAAAATAAATCACGCACAGCCTACACACACTCACACACACATTACACTGCTGAATAAAGAAAGCTGGCATACGGTAAAAATCACAGGAGCTTATTTTTGTGTGGACTCAGTTTGTGAACTCAGTTTAGTTTTGGCACTCAGAACAAATACATGGGCTCAGAATCCTTTACTTTTAAGTGCATGTCTTTTGTAGCTGGCTCCAGTTGGTGGATCTAGGAGTCCTAGTAAAAAAACAAAGTAGACCCTGCAAGCCTATTGTCTGCTCACCACAGCGCTAAAGGATATGAGACAAAAAGAGAAGTGACCTGGGGCTTATCCATGCTTCTTCTTGTCCCACTGATTTTCCCTGGGGAAAACTGCTCTTTAGTGCTCAGTCAGAGCAAATGGCAATTTGGGTTTCCTCCGGATTGATGTTTGTTCTGTTTTAGGGCTTATCTACACTTACCTTTTGCCCTGCTATTTGCAGGCACAGCTCCAAACTTTGCTCTGTGTCTGAGCATTTGCTTGTTTTGGGTTTTTGCCCTGGAGCTTTGCCCACAGAAACCCACTCCTTAGCGCACAATAGGAGCAAATGGCAGTTCGGGTTGCCCACAGGTTGCCATTTGCTCCAATTGAGCTTTAAAGAGCAGAGTTTTGTGGGGAAAGCTCCAGGGCAAAAGACAAAAAAAACCCCAGCTCTCAAACACAGAGCTTTAAAGCATGGACCTTGCCTGGGAAAAGGGGAGGAAAGGTAAGTGTAGATAAGCGCTTGGAGCCAGAGAGCAGATTTTCCCTGGGAAAAGAGCGGATCAAGGGAAATACCGCTTGGACCCGTTTCTAGGCATGGGACAAGCAGGTGTGGATGAGCCCTTGGAGTGAAATGAAGAATAAAAAGGTTGTTTAAGGTATTACCCTTCAAGTAGTGAAGTAGTGCAGATTGTATTCCAACCTTGAGTGAGTCACACACCAGTGGCATTGGTGTCCTTTCGGATCAAAAGGCGCAACTTCCAGACATGCTTTAGCACTGGAGCCTTTCCCTTGAGAAAATTAAGCACTTGGGATTCTTCCAATCTTGCCTGGACATGTGAGCGTGTGATTTTGCGAAATTTCACATGTGTGTATAAATGAGGGGTGTGAACCAATTGAAAGGGAGAGTTCCAGGGCCACTGGGCACAGCTGCATACTGTTCACTTGTCTTGACTGCAGCCCCCTCTACCTCCCCATCCTGTCAGATCTAGGAGGGAAGCACTGGTCCATATTCTATCCTTTACAGGACAGGCCTTCTCTGCAGTGTATCCACATTATGGAATGTTGTGGCTTTCTTACTAACTGAGGGCTTGCCTCGCTCCATTGCTGCTGGCCTTTTGGCTTCATGAGAAGGCATTTTCTCGGGGCTGCCATATCTATCTATCTATCTATCTATCTATCTATCTATAATACCTAAACTTTTCTAGCCACTGTAAAAATATATACATTTAATGGCACAGTCCTCACTTGCAGGCTTACACTTGGGAAAGCAGACAGGGAGAAACCATGAAAACAGGCAGGCACAGACACTAATACCTCATCGGTTACACATGACATAAAAATATTTTTTTATTAAATATAACAATGATTCTAAATTGCTTTATCTATTATGCTTTCTTGAAAAAATAGTCTGCTGGCTATCACTATAATCTTTTACTGTACTCAGAAAAATGTGGCTAAAAGTTACCTAAAATAAATGGATTACAGGTATGTAGTCGGGCTACAAATCAGGAAAGCAGATTTTTGGGTCCAACGTGTTAATACAACATACTTTGAGAGGTATGCTGTTGTGGGAATTGCTGTTAAATTTTTAAAGTTTCACATCCACACACAGCAATAAAGTTCACTGGATGACCTTGAGTAGTCCTTCTGTCACAGTCTAGCCTACCTTACAGGGTTGTTGTGGAAATGAAACAGGTGGGGGAAAGAACAAGCTATTCCATGTTAAGCTCCCCGGAGCAGTGGTTTTCAAACTTTTTTCTCTGGGCCACACTTTGAGAACAAAAATTTGCTTGCACCACATTGGAAACGCATTGGAAAACAGAAACAACTACTAACAACACTTGATAGAATCATAGAATCTTAGAGTTGGAAGGGACCCAGGGGTCATCTAGTCCAACTCCCTTCAGTGCTGGAATCTCAGCTAAAGCCAGACCAACTGCTGAATTATCTGCTCTAGGACCTTCCCTGGTATCAATGTCAAATACACCAATCGGTATTTACCTGGGTCTTCTCCCCCCCTTTGAAGATGGAGACAACATTTGCCTGCCTCCAGTCTGCAGGGACCTCACCTGTTCTCCAAGAATTCTCAAAGGTCATAGACAAAGGCTCTGAAATTACAAATATTCCCTCCCCACTTGCCATCCTCTCCTGCCACACCAGTGTGATGTGTCACACCCTTTGAGAACCACTGCCTTGGAGGAACGGTGAGATGAAAGATTCCCATGTTCCCCATAGCAAGGCAATATATGGGTTACTGGATAATAGCAAGTACTGCATCTTCAGTAAAGCAGCAATAAGCTTTGTTTACTGATATCACAGGTAACAAACCCATTTCCAGAGATCAGTGATGGCATGGTCTGCTAGGTGCATTGCTGAGCAAGGTATAGCTTCACTGGAGATTCCACACTAAGCCCTTTGCCTCGTAACATCATGTGGAAATGGTCACATATGCCAGCCACAAAGTATGCTTCTGATGTACAAAATGCCTTTGTGTACACAAGATGAAGGGTCTTTCACAACAGCACATTCATATTATGGATGATGAATAAGGAATAAATAATAATTCACAGTCACTTGCTGATTTAGATCTAGCACTGAATGCTTTTGATGAGGGATGGGGAAATTGTGGTCCTCCAGAAATTGTGGCCCAGAACTCTCATCAATCCTGACTACTGGCCATGGGAGCTGAGGGCAGTTGATGGAAGGCAGAGTCTGAGGCCTCATCCACGCTTTCTAAGCACAGGTCTGTGCTTTGCTGGTCAGGATCCGACCACTTTTTTGGAGGGGAGGCCACAGTTTCCCCCAGGAAAACCCGTTCTTTGGCGCTAAATTGGAACATCTGGCAATTAGGGTTTTCTGCAGGTTGCCGTTTGCTCCGATTCAGTGGTTTTCACAGGAAAAGCAGTGAGGCCAAAAGAAAAAAAAAGTGCTCAGACATGGAGCTCAGATCTGTGCCTAGAAATGTGGCAAAAAAGCAAGTCTGGGTGAGCCCTGACAACATTTGAAGGCTCCTGATTTCCTCATCCCTGCTCTAGTGAAAAGATCAATAATGGAAGGGAAACTTCCTAACAGCAGCTTGTCTGTCTCTGCTGGTACTCCTTTGCTCTGTGGATATTTTAATCTGGAAAAGGTTCCCTGAAGGAAAGTTTGAAAACCACAACATTATTTGATTGTGAACTTGATTGTGAGTTTCAAAGGGAACCTAAAGTTTTGTCAAAGTGCAGTTTGAAAAGCACTAGTTTACTGCAGGCACGTCCAACAGGTAGATCGTGATCTACTGGTAGATCACTGGACGCCTGCAGTAGATCACTGGCTCCCCTAAAAAAAAAATCAACATTTCCCCCCTGCACCTTAAAAAAACCTGAACCCCCAAAAAGGGGGTAGATCACTGCCAGTTTTTAGTTTTTAACTCTTTTGAGTAGATCGCAGTCCCTTGGGAGTTGGCACCTCTGGTTTACTGCATGCCCTCAGACACAACTCTGAATTTTAAATTATCTTTGAGCCTCTCACACTGTATTTATATCAACAGCTGGCTGTTTAAAATGTGGGAGACAAACCTCAGGAAAGGCATTTGTACTGTAATACATATATGCATTCTGGCCAGTATGGGTTTCACACTCAGGTTACAAACACAATTAAATCAAGAGCCACTTTAAGTCTCTTCTGTGAAAATGCTCATAGTGGGTACCAAAAGATTTCTCTCAGTTTTTAGGCTTACAAGAGCCATCACACTAATCCATGCCTTTTATTCGGGATTAATTAATCCATTGTGTTTTCTTAACACCACAGACAAGAATAACCATTCCACTCTTTAAATGTTATTGGGAAGACTAAAAGAAAGCCATTCTTTTAACTCCTAATAAAGAAAAAAAATGTTTGTTACTTAAAGTTTGTATTATCACCGATCATTCTGATGATGAGTGGCTATCCTCCTCAATGTTTCAATCACTGTTTCGCACATTCAGGGTGATTAATGACTGGCAGAAGAGTAGACATTTTCCCTCCACTCCTGAATAAAGTTTCAAAAAGATGGAGTGGTAATTCAAGCTCAGTTACATGTTGCCAGAACACAGCAACTTATATGTTAAGTTATGCAAGTTTAACTTGCATTTTTACTTGCCTTGGGCTCATAGAGGCGGAAATAAATAATTAGCAAAATTGCAAAAAAATTAATAAAATAGAAGTAATTAGCACTAAAAAGTTGAACTTTCATGAGGATCTTAAAACAACAACAACAACCTCTTTTCCCCTCCAGATTGCTGCAGAAAGGTGGAGAATAGAATTCAAGACTGGAAAAATGAAAAACTGAGAAAACCAAAACTGACAGAACCATCCATCCCTATTGGAGAACATGCGGCTTCCTGCGTATATAAAAGAGTGGGGTGGAAAAGCAAAAAATAGCAGTGTGTGTATGTTTCAGGCTTCCATTGCACACAAATAGTGTAAGATAGCCAGCTGACCTGCACTGGCTTCATCTCTACTTTCCAGCTGCGCTCATAACACACAAACACGCACACATCTCCGCCCACCTTCTCCAAGGCCTTCCCCAAGCCAACTGGCAAACACCAGCAGACCCAAGCACACAAATAAACAAACATGCCCTGGGCACAGAGTGGGCTCTGTAAGCTGCCCCATGCAAAGGCCAGGGGAAGAAGAAGAGGAGGGGCCCTGAATGGAACTATCAGGGCCCACATTAGCCCTGAAAACACACGAGCTTGGCATCCATTGCTATGGCTGCCAGGCCTTGGCTTGGAAATCAGACAGACTACGGTGCTCTCTCTCTACAGAGATCAAAGCAGAGGAGCTTCCCATACAGGGAAGAGTGAGGGCGGCTGGGCTGTTTTGAAACAACTGGGATTTTTCTTATTACGAAGTCCTTTCTACTACTTCCACCCTTCTCCTTGCGCCGGGGCCTCAGATGTCAATACGTTAAAGCAAGGGTAGTTAATCTCTGGCCTTCCAGATGTTGTTGAACAGCAGCTCCTATCCCGCCCCCAACCACTGGCCATGCTGGCTGGGGTGGGTGGGAGTTGTAGTCCAACATTTGGACGCAGCAAAGGTTAGTTCCCCCCACATTAAGGAATACAGGACAGGAGCAGTTAATGGACAAGCAGCCTATATTGTGGTAAAATCACAGCTTTCCTGTCCTTATTAAAATATATTTCCTTTCTACAACTGGATGCAGAACAAAAAACTTGCAGCAATCCTGGTCAAGCCCCATAAATTAAACGTGTCCAATATCCTAATGCAGAGGGTGGCTATCCTGATGCCCCACCACCAAGAAGTTCTGCACTCTAGCTCCTATCAACCCCAGCCAGCATGGCCAAATGGTCAGAGATGATGGAAGTTGTAGTCTAGCAACATCTGGAAGGTGATGGTTCGCCACCTGTGTCCTCAGGCCTCAAATGATAACCCATTCCCTAATACAGACTAGCCAGCTCTTCCCAATTCCTTTTCTTGTTTTGTAACTCTTCCTTCCATGCCTTTTCCAAGATTGTAGATTCTCCCCCAGTAAGATGAGAATCCTGCCCTAATCCTTTTTCATTTGTGTATGTTTGCTTACAAGTATGAATGTTTAAAAATGTCTTTTTGAGGCTGAAATAAGACCAAACACTCACTTCACATTCTAGTCCATGGGCAGTCAATGTGGTGGCTTCCAGGTATTGTTGGGAGTACCATTCCCAGCATCCTTTACCACTGGCCTTGGTGGCTGGGACTGGCAAGTCCAACAATATCTGGAAACCGCCACATTGGCTAACCCTACTCAACAGGCCCCTGTTGCTGCTGGAAAGAATGGAGGGACTCTAAGGCCTTCATCAGCTTCTCCATGGCTGCCATGCGCGCAGGGAGGGCGACTCTGCCTGTGACCATTTGCTGGCCAGCCAGCCAGCCAGCCTCCATCACCTGCTTTCAGGGAGATCAGCCCTGCAAGAGCCGCTTGAACCGTGTGGCCGGGCGTTCAGAGCAAAGAGAGCCAGAGGAGGCCAGAGGAGGATGGCACGCTCAGTCCGCCACCGCCACCGCCACACCGGCCTTTTTAACTCACCAGATGGCAGACTTTCCTCTCATCACCTTAGTGAATTCAAGTGTTTATTCAAATGTAATGTGCTATCCAATGTAATGCGCCTCCTAATTTTCACGACATAATATGGCCAAAAAAGTTGTGCATTACATTTGAGTAAATAAGGTAACCTAATGGGCTTCCTCACCTTGTGGATCGTAAAAGCACACTGTAGACTTGTGTGGACCTGCTCCCTCCCTATTTACACATTCTTTATTTCTGTCCAAAGACCCACAAAAACATTTTCAAAAGCAAAATAAAACAGAAATGCAGGGAAAGGGTTCCAAGGCGGTCGCTATGTTTCATCCAGAGCATGTAGGTTTCTGTTTCTTAATACTTCCAAGAGGAACTTAGCTATGGCCAGGGTAGTATCATTTGACATATCTCTAATGAGGTACTTAAGGTGGAAGGTTTCGGATTTTCCAGTTAAGTTTACCAATAGGGGTTTAATTAATTGATCCCTTGCTTGTTTGAACTACTCACAGTGCAGTAGGATCTGCTTCATAAAGTTGACACCCTGAGAGCATAAGCAGAGCCTATTCTGATAGGGTACACCAGACAGTCTGCCATTTAGTACTTCTGACGGAAATACATTTGGTCTAGCTTTGGTGAATAATCGGCGATAGTTAGGTACAGACAGATTCATGAAATAAAATGGCCATAGTGGATTCCAAATGCAAACAGTCGACAGGTTACATAGGATCTAGAGCGAAGACCACTGTGTGGAATATCATAACCTCTGCCTCAGGGATTTAAGGGCAATATCATAGCCCGGATGATGTAAAAAGGATGGTGAAAGACCAACTGAGGAGACTTTTCGGGCCATAGTTTTCAACCATGAGTCCCTCCACTTCATAGGTTAGATGTAAAAGTAACTCCTTCCCCAGGCCAAATACCGAGATCATTAGCCAGTATTTCAAGGCAGCCCACCGCACTTTGCTGGAGAGTGGGCATTCACCGTTTCCAACAGTAGAATTGAGTGAGAGACACAATTTGGGACCTGAAGTAGGGACCGAAGGAACTTAGCTTAGAACCCATCTAACTTAGAAAATTAGACCATTGTACCAATGCTGGTTTGATGTGATGTGATCATCAGTATTGATGTGATCAATGCTGGTTTGATGTGAGGTCTGGCAGCCATGCTAGTCTGGACCTGGAATGCAGGTGAACTTTCCCAGCCAAGCCAAACTATTCTGACTTTGCCTTCACATAGCTGCCCATGGGGCTACATGTTTACTCTCAGGACGTATCTACAATATCTCCCTTTGATTCTCAGGTCACATTATAATATTTACATACCAGTTAGTCACCCAAAAGGAACTCCTCTCTTAAGGTGGTCCATAGTAAAGTATAGGTAGCAATCTTACATTGAAAACGAAAACAAAACAAAGCTAAAAAACCACAAAACACCTCACTGTAAGTGGAAGTAACACATATTGTAAAAGCTAGCAAATAAGGGATCACAACACAACAGAGACGGCCAACGGCACTCTGAGGCAGAAAACCCATTCCCTACTTTCATGGTGGGGAAATATATATAAAAATACAAAACTGGCCCTCTTCTGCCCTTTAATAATACTGTTCATTCAGATTAATGCCTGCAATGAAAACTTCAAGTTGCATACTGCTCTGAAAAATCCATCAGAAAACCCAGAAAAAGCTGAGGTACTCCAATTCTCCAGTTTTTTTGCAGAAAGTTACTTTTCTAGCAGATACTGTGTGCTCTAGGGAAAATGTGGAAAAGTGGACAATTTTTTATTTAAGACCCTTTCTGAATAGTCAGGAAAAGAAAGTACCCTCACCTGCATTGAAGTCTCTGAGCAATACTCCTCAAAGTCGCTTTCTAGTCCTTGAGCATACAAAGATCCAGTTTGGATGTAACACTAAATTAAACCATGGCTTGGCATGGATGAGCAAAAGTGTGGTTCCCAGAGCAAAGATCAACGCTGCTGCTTTCCTCCCCAGGTCCTTCTCCTCCTGCTGCCGCCGCCACTGCTGCACTGTCCATGCCTAAGGCACAGTTTAGTTATGTCTGAACCCAGACTTGCAGTTTGTTTCACTAAAGACAAACGAGGAGCTATAATGAAGGTTTGTTCTTGGTTTACCACTACCAAGTACATTCAGAGAAGTGTGAGATAGCTAAATTCCAATCTGTCTACTAATCTGAGATTAGATAATTTACAAGAAAGAACCCCTGTACCTGTACCTATTTTGCCTTTTGGGGCTGATTTTAAGAGAAATTTGTTAACGTGCATCTTCATGTAGAATAATATACAGTGGTACCTTGGTTCTTGAACTTAATCCGTTCCGGGAGTCCATTCGACTGCAGCTTCCGATTGGCTGCAGGAGCTTCTTGCACTCAAGCGGAAGACACGTCAGACGTTCGGCTTCTGAAAAGCGTTTGCAAACTGGAACACTCACTTCTGGGTTTGCGGTGTTCAGGAGCCTATTTGTTCGACAACTAAGCTATTCGGGAACCAAGGTACCCCTATACTAGTTCAGAATCTGAAAAACGTGTAATAGGAAATGATGATAAACTCATCTCTAAAATATACAAACTGTTATTGGAGTGGGGGACCAAAGATGAGATGGCAAAGGTGACAATGACTAGATGGGTAATAGATGTTGGTTATAATATATAAATGTCTGCCTGGGAGAAATTATGTGGGGAGACTATGAATTTCTCAAACAAAATAAAAAAATTCCTTCGAGTAGCACACGAAAGCTCATACCAATAACAAACTTACTTGGTCTCTAAGGTGCTACTGGAAGGAATTTTTTTATTTTGTTTCGACTACGGCAGACCAACACAGCTACCTACCTGTAACTATGAATATCTTAGCCTGTTATCAAGAAAAATTTACAAAAGATGGTGTACAGGTGGTACTTGACACCCAACAAACTGGTAACAATTTATTAAAAAGGGTCCACGTTATGCTGGAAGTGTCAAAAGGTAGAAGGCGCCCCGATGCACATGTGGTGGTCATGTAAATATGCTAGAGAGTACTGGGAAATGATTCATATAGAATTTTAAAGATCATTTCCCAAAAAACCTGAGGCCTTTCTACTAGGGATAGTAAGTGATGATATTCCAAAGAAGGCACTCAACCTCTTATATGCAACAGCTGTGGCTACAATAGTTTAGGTGAAAAATGTCAAGAAAAAGAAATACCAACAAAAGAAATATGGCAAAATAAATTGATAGAATATACAGAATTATAAGAAACAAAGGTGAAACACAGATAAGAAAGGAGTGGAAGTCTTTTGGAGTATATCTCGAGAGATATAATACTCAATTTAACCTGCAAGTAGGAGTAGCCATATGAGCTGCAGTTAGTACTAAATAAAGGAAACACACGAGATAAAATAGGGTGGTACAACAGGATATGCAGCAGAACAAGGGTTGCATAGAATGCCATGGAGAGATGGACTGGGAAGTCCTAAGGGAAGTGATATGTGATGGGCCATGTATGATGTATATAAGAAATTTGTGGGAAATGCATAATTTTTTTTGTACACACACACACACACACACACACACACTTCCTTCCAACCGTCATCTCTCTATAACTTCCTACCCAAATAGTAAATAGTGCTAAACATTTTTGAGTTGCAGCCCTTCAAAATGAACCAAGGTCCATTTAAATGAGATGTAAGAATGTTTAATAGATATTTGGGGGTGGGGGGGCTATTTTTAAAGGTAGCAGTTATGGTCAATTTATTCACACACATACACTTGCTCAAAAGCCAGTGCAAGTCAGGCCATTGGATAATCAACAACTAGGGTATATGGCAGACATTCTGCAATGTTTAATCGGATGGGGGGATTGTTTAGTTGAAAACTATAGTTGGTGGGTGACAGACTGCAATCCTTGGTGCAAGAATAGTGGTACTTTAAGTGGTCCCATAAAGAGGCATAAAGATATGGGCATAGCCAAGGGCCATCCTGCCCCCGCTCTAGCCAGTATAGCTAAGCGTCAGGGGAGCTGAAGTCCAACAACCTCTGGAAGAGCACAGGATCCTCATCCCTGGCCTAGAAAATTAAAATTCAGAGATGGGTGTGCATGTGTGCTTTTAATCCATCTTCCGCAGGCGGCACACCCCTCCAGCAAAGATGGAAGAAACCTGCACTTTTCATAAAAGTCCCTGAATCACTTATTCAGCAAGCTAAGCCTTTGGGGCTGAATTCTTTCCTTTCTGACAACTCACTTGGGAAACTGGCTTCAAGGAGAGAGGGCACCTGGAAGTCAACTCAGGGGATGGGTAGCAGAGCTCCCTAGGTGGAGCGATCCTGCAGCGCTTCTGTCCCATGGAATAATCAGTTTAGGCCCTGAATCTGGGAAGCTGCCCGGGGCCTGTGAATTTTTCAGCCTCACCCCAAAGGACGCTGCCTGCATGGTGTAGCAGCCGGCCGAGGGCGGTGGTTCCCAGATAACACCCAAAGTTCCCTGTCACCCTCCCGCTTGCTTCTCCAACCCTCAGCCCTGGGAATGCCGGCTGGGTGTGCCAACCCCCCAAGATGGGAGCTCAGAATGTGGGTTCATGACCCAAGAGCCAGTGTGGCGTAGTGATTAGAGCATGGGTAGGCACACTAAGGCCCGGGGGCCGGACGCGGCCCAATCGCCTTCTCAATCCAGCCCGCGGACGGTCCAGGAATCAGAGGGTTTTTACATCAGTAGAATGTGTCCTTTTATTTAAAATGCATCTCTGGGTTATTTGTGGGGCAGAGGAATTCATTCATTATTATTTTTTCAAAATATAGTCCGGCCCCCCACAAGGTCTGAGGGACAGTGGACCGGCCCCCTGCTGAAAAAGTTTGCTGACCCTTGGATTAGAATGCTGGACTAGGACCTGGGAGACCAGGGTTCAAATCCCCACTTGACCATGAAGCTGGCTGAGTGACCTCAGGCCAGGCATCGGCTCTCAGCCTAGCCTACCTCACAGGGTTGTTGTGGGGATTCAATGAGGAGTTTCTTGGAGAAAAAAGTGGGAATATGAATGCAACAAACAAACAAATACTTTCCACTCAGTCTCAGGCTGAAGAGGTGGGCAAGGGCATCTCTTCACAGACAGCGTGGCTAAAAATGCATCAGCGAAGAACACATGAATGGGGAACAGGGTAGGAAGCTACACGTAGAGGCTAAAAGGTCTATATAGGGTTAGGGTTAGGGTTTGGGTTTGGAAGACTTTGAAGGAAGACTTTGAAGACAGAACCATTAAGTGGTGCAGGAGAACAGAGATAGGGGGAAACTGTAGGAACATATGGCTGGATTGTCAGAGGAAAAACCTAAAGGCCTTCACTGGATAGCTGAACATTATTCATGTCTGTAGCAACATCAATGCATGCAACACTTTATGAAGTTTAACTGTAACGAACACCAGCCACTACGTTTCAACAGTGGAGAAGACAGCGAAGGAAGAGGAAACATTTACAAGGGACAAACTGACCCCTGTCAGATGGGAACTAAAGGCTGGCACACCATCAATCTAAAAATCTGATGCTAACTCCTACACAGACTAAACAGACTCCAAACTGATGCAGGCTTCCATGTATAGTGTTTAAATTTTTTTCCAGCTTGGATAGATGGATTTAAAATAATAGTAAAAATAACAAGAACAACAACTTTTATGTTAAATTTTACAGTGAGAAGTCCTATAGTCTACATATTGGGAACACTGCTGTTGCACAGTATTTCAGTAATATGTTGTGGTCTCCTCAGTGGTTAGATATATCCTGTGATGGTCTGCAGTAACCAAGCCTAACAGAAGAAACAGGAGACAGCTGCTGAATATGCAGATGCCTACAATGTACAAAAGATTAGCGTTGTCCAGTTTTCAAAAGGTCAGTCCATAGCTCTTTATGGTAACCTCTGCTAACACATGTTAGCAACCTTTACAATACTAACAACTGCAAGGGCAGAAGACGTCTATTTACATGTTACAGAGCAACTTTCCAATCCAGACTTCTGAGAAGTCACGGGTTCATCCATACACTTTTCATGTCAGTTTCCCATGCTGTGTAGATGGGAAAGCTGTTGCTGGACTCCAGGTCTCAACTCCGCCAACCAGTGTGGCCAATGGTCATAAATCATGCAAGTTGTAGTCCAACAACATCCGGAAGGCCACCAATTCCCCATCGCTGCCCTACTGTGAAAGATCGGGGAGGGGGGAGCTTCCAGAAAGGTCCCATCATGCAGCACACTGGCAGCAGAACTTTGCTTTTCCAGAACCTGCCTGAGATGGTGATACAACAAACAGAATCTGAAATATGCTAAAGTCTTGTTGCTTCTTTCCCAAACAAGTGGAACTATGAGCAAAATGTTTTACCACGCCTTGATTACAATTTGGTAGAGCCACCAGGGTTCACATAAAGCTGCTGTGCGCTGACGCTTGGCCATGCCTGCACTGTCTGAAGCACAGATTTGGAGCGTGAAGCATCAACAGCTAACTCGTCCTACTCCTCAGTCCTCGGCCAGATGTTCGCCCACAGCCTTCACCAAACAATTTGCAAGCAGCAAACTCACTCTGATCTCAGCTTTCTCTCCTTGTGTGTCCAAACCTTGCAGCCAGCATCTCTGTTACAAAACCCTGAGTGGATTTTTCCAGGAGGCAAGAAACTTCCACAAGACCTCTTCCCCACTCCCGCCCCCCACTTTTCCCCTTCAGTGCTCAGAAGAGCCCCATCCCTTTCACACTCCCCCCTCCATCCATCACCCAAGGCAGATTGTTGTTAATCTGAGCTGCAAAGTCAAGAGGCATCCCCAGCAACCGAATCTCCTTTAGCAGTTCAACAAGTCCACACAGGTCATTCCAGCTGCCGATTTCAGCAGACAAGGGAAATGGATTCTTAATTATTTTTCCAAGCTTGTCACGGAGGGCTTTGTTTCTCTTCTTTTCTCTCTTGTGTCACAGAATGTTAGAGATGAGTCACGCTCGGGGGTTCCTTTTTTCCTTTTTGCTGAAGGGGGTGGGCAGGAGGGAGGATCTGGATTCCTCCAAACTGCTATTCTGAAGAGAATAATGGACTGGCTCCACAAAACTGGGGTAACCAAGGTTTCCCCATTCAATAAGGGCCTTTCCACAAGGTGGCATATAAGGGCACATCTGCACTACACATTTAAACCGGTTTAGGCATCATGGCTTCCTTCAGAGTGGCCTGGAGGCTGTGAGGATTGTTTGGTGACTAACCCAAACCCTTTCACCAAAAGACAATTCTCTTCGGTCAGGAGGTGTGAAGGGAAAACATGGTTGAAACCAGGTTAAAGCTTACAAATGCCATTCAATCCAGAATAGTCTACAAGTTTAACATGGGATAGAAAGTGTACAAGAAGTAAATTTTAACATGTAGATATATTCCTGGCAAATGTGGGTTTATGTTACCATAAAGCAGTGGTTTTCAACCAGTGTGCCGTGACACCTTGGGGTGTCTTGACTGATAGTCAGGGGTGCTGCAGGCAACCCTGGCCTCTGTCCCCCATTCCTTGCCTCCCTCGTCTGATGACCTCTTGTGCCTCTGCCTCCCTGGCTACAAGCTCCCCAGGCGAATGGTGCCTCTGGGGCTGGCCAGGGGGTGCTGGGTGCCAGGAGCCGAGGTGGCCTCAGAGCAGGCAAGAAAGTGGGTGGAGGAGCCCATCCAACTGGTTGGGAGTGGACAGACAAGTGGGAGTCCAGGCAGGTGGGGGGCAGCTCAGAGACAAGGGGTGGGCTGCTGCCCAGAGAACTCCCAAGGAGAGGGGAGGAGGGAGGAGGCTGAGGGAACACTCCACATGGGAGGGTGTTCGAAAAGGGCTGAGGGGCTGCTGGCTCTGCAGACAAGGGGGGACATAACTGGGCTCCTGAGCCCCACAGGGGAGCCACAGAAAGAATGTAGTTGGTCGAGGGAGCCGTGGGCTCAAAAAGTTGAAAATCTCTGCCGTAAAACCATATGCTATGTTACCAGATCCAGAATGTTTGACGGATTTTAAGTGTCACTTGTGGAAACGGCTTAAAGATCTAATATTTGGGCCCTTTTGTCAGTCTATTAAATGTTATGTACTCCTGTATCATTTCTTAAAGCTGTGGCCTAAAAGCATTACAAAAGGATGCGAATGATACGAAATGCCACACAACAAGAGGACTGTCTTGATTTACTCCAGCTGGTGGGGAAATCCACCCTGATGTTAATAATTTAATTTAAACAACTGCAGCGTGCCCCCTCAAAGCCTTTGAAGTTTGCCTGCTTGCTTGAGAAAAAGTTTTAACAGAAGTGCCACCATCCCTCTTATACACACATGGAGCCCCCAGATACTCCCAAGTGCCTGATCCTGCAACCTCCACTTAACCACTGAGGTGTGAAAAGTAAATACAATTACAATGAAGAAACCCAGAGAAAAGGCTCCATTTGGACGATGGGCATAATCTCTTCCTAACAATTTGTCATATTTGTAAAGTTGATTCTGCCTCAAATTTTAATTGGATCTGAACCAGTTCCAGGAATTTGGATGAAGATAATGGATGACTGCTGTTGGCTTGTTGGGCCAAAATATGTCAGAAAAGGTGAGATATTGGGGGGGCCGAAGGAGAGCAAACTTACAATTTTTGTTTTCATTTGGTTGGTAAGGAATGAGAAGAATCCACAATTCCTTTAACCAACTGCGCAAAAGTTACAAGTTAGGAAGTTGCTGCATAGCTCTCCTCAAATGGGAACACTTTTGAAGATGAGATTTCACACAAGCTCCTTCCCTGCAGATAACCCTTCTAAAGTTCTTTTGAGGGTGATTAACAATTCCTGCCACTGTGCACTCTTTATCGATTCAGAAAAAATAAAATATCTACTGCTTCTCTCTCCCCCCCCATCATTTCTTTTTTTCTTTGTCACAAACGCTAAGACCATTTGGAAGGCAAAGTCTGCACGCAATGTCAAAAATTTCGTAAGGGGGAATGAGGATTTTTACTTTTTTTAAAAAAATCAGTTTCAAGTTGGAGACAGAGGAGAGAAAAAAAGAGCATACCTTTCAAAGACTGGGGCGGTATTGTTAGAGAGTCATTAGAAATCCGGAGATCCTTGTCTTCTTTATTACGGAGGATTCCACTTCCAAGATCTGGACCTGGTTCCGAAATCTCGACTTTCCTGTAGTCTTTTCTTCCCAAAAGAGCAACATCCAGCGGGCTAGAGGAGGGAGAACGCTTTTCAAAAAGCACAAAAAACCCAGCAGCAGAGATCGCTGTAGCCTTTCACCAAATTCCCCAAATTTTCCACATCTTGATTTCACTTCTTTCGCCTTTCTTTGGTTTGTTTTACAATTACTTAAAAAAAAAAATATGCCCACAATAACAAGAGTAGGCTTTAAAGTTGCTCAAAAGTGCGACGTGGGGTGCTGCTCTTCCTGCGCGCGCGCGCCCACATCACGCAGCACGCGTTATAAATATTCGGCTCTCCGGACTGCAGCCCGGGACCACCTTGAAGCAGGAAGTTTTGATTTTCTTTCAAAACTTTCCCGATGCTTTCTTGAGCTTTCGCACATGGAGCCAATCAGCCGCTGCGTCGGCGCTGCTGTCTCGGGAAGGAGGGCTTTGCTCGGGACCACGCAGACTTGTCGGGAGGGGATGGGGAGGGAAGAAAGAAGGAGCCCCCCCCCGCGCCGCCACTGCGCCACCCACTCCACGCCTCTCCTCCTCGCCAAAGCCTTTGGGTGGTTTCCCCCTCCTCCCGCCCCTCCTTTTGGAAGTTTTCGAGTTGTTGGCTTTTTTCCTCCTCTTTTTCCCCCCAAATGGGATCTTTAGCAACAGGAGGAGGGTAAATTGAGCCCTGTGTGAGGTTTTCGAGGGAGCCCCTCGCGAGCGCAGTTCTCACAGCATGCTGCCGACAGTGCCAAAGCGGCGTGGAAAACCCGGCATGGAGTTTCAGATTATTATTATTATTAATTATTATTATTATTATTATTATTATTTGTGTGTGTGTGTACGCACACCGCCCGCGCATCTGGGCACACGCCGGGGCACGCGAGAGGGCGCAAAGAGGCTGGTCCTATTTCTCAAGGCCCATCCCTAACCTAAGGTGGCAATGCAGACGCGACTGAAAGACACGGGTTAGGAGCCCACGCCCAGCCGCACTCTGGGTGGCCTCCGGAGCTCGCCGTCTAGGAGAAACGGCCTGGGGAGGCCGTGGGGGCGGAGGGTTAGAGTGACCCCAAGGATGCTGAGGGCCACGGGCGTAGCCAAAGCCCCCCCCCCCTAAATCATGTAAACCAATAAAAAATAATTAACCAACCGAGGTTAAGAAAACCTGGCTCTGCCCAGGCTGAGGTTGCCCAACCAGGAGCAGACCAAGGCAGTTTGCTGCCTGAGGCAAATAGCAAGATGGCGCTTCCTCCCCCCCCCCCCCATTCCATGGTTCAGAAACTGACTGGATCTTGCTTCAGTACCAGGGACAGGTCACGGGGGGGGGGCCAAACCGATTTGGGGGTGCAGGGCCGGTCCCCCCCCCCCCCTGCAAGAGGAGGGAGCAGCCAAGCCACTACTGCTTTCCTCTGACCCCCATCTGCCGCACTCTAACCCTGCATCTATTTCTCCTTGTCTAATTCAGGAGGGGCTGTGGGGGTGCGAACTCAGTGTCTGGGGCCAATAATGGCCTGGATGAGAGCTAACCAACTGAAGCATAACACACACACCCGAAAAAAAGATAGAATGCCCAGGTGGGTGGTGGACTGTTAACATAGGCAGTGATTGACCCATTTTGGACAGGGGTGCATCCCCCCCATCAGGTTCATAGTCTGGGGGTGCTGTTCAATCCATCCCCATCTTTGGGGGGCCAGAGACAGCCTCCTCTGAACAGGAGTAGTTTGGCCAATCATTTATGCTTCTGGCAACATCCTAGTTAGATTGCTGCAATGTGTTATATGTTGGGCTGCCCTTGGAAACAGTTTGAAAACTACAGATTCCGAAATACTGCAACTTGGCTACTTACTGTAACCAGGTGCATAAAAAAACACACCCTTGCTGGTTTTAAAACATCTACAGTGGGTTGAGGTGCATTTACAGATGCAGTTCAAGGCACCAGAGTTAACCTTTAAAGCCCTAAGCAGTTTGCGACAAGACTACCCTAAAGGGCCACATCCTGCCACATGAGCCTGCCTGATTATTAAGCTCTTCCTTGGAGACCCAGCACCACCATCGAACCGGAGCTGCTTTCCAAGGGCCTTTTCAGTTGTGGCACCTCCAGCTCTAAAACTTGTCCCCCAAAGAAGCTTATATGGTGCCAAGCCTTTGCAGTGCCAGACCTTTTTAAAAATTTGCCCAGGTCTTTTTAATTGTGGTGTTTTCAAGCACTGCTTTTCCGCTGGCTTATGTAATCTTTATTCTGTTCTGCTTTTGTTTTGATGCCTTCTACATGTCTTTTTGTGTTTTCATTGTTAGCTGCTCTGAGAGGCTTTTGCCTGATAGTAATGAATGGATCTCAAGTAAGCATGCAGAGGACTCCAGTGGTTTAGCAATGTGTCTTTACTTTGTCCAATGTGGTTTGAATGTGTGAGGGGAGATTTTGCTTCTAATTAAAAAAAAGTATCACTTGAGGCTACAGGCCTGCCTCTGTTGAGATCTGAGATTTTTAAAAGGAAACTAACACTGAATTAAAACTGTATTGTGTTCAGAATCATAGAACCATAGAATCGTGGGGTGGGAAGGGACCTTGAGGGTCATTTAGTCCAACCCCCTGCAATGCAGAATTCTTTTGCCCAGTGTAAAATAAACCCACCTCTGATGCATCACATGGATCCAAATTATGGAAATTGTGAAACTGTTGGAAGAAGTTAAGGTGTTGACTTGCGCTCTGGGTTGATAAGCAGCCAATTATGCTCTTCTGGGAAGCTCAAAAACGAGGCTTGTCTTCTGTTTCTCCCCGGCATTTGGCAACCAGAGGCTCATGGCCTCTGCATGTGGATGATTTATGGCTCTTATGAGAGCTGTTGTGGTTGAACTAGAGTGTTGGACTAGGACCTTGGAATCCCTGCTTAGCCATTAAACTCAGCCCAACCTACCTCACAGGGTTGTTGTGAGAATAAAATGGGGAGGAAGAGAACCATGTTCTCCACCTTGTGCTTCTTGGAGAAGGAAAGGGGATATACAGGCAATAAATAAATAAAATGACTGGTGAACACTGTGATAAGCTCTGGCGAAGAATGCCATGCATACGGAGGATTTGGAAAGATGTAGAAGAACACCTTGCCTTCTGGGGCAGGAGCATCCTTCTTTTGAATCCAGTATTTTTACAGTTGAAAAATTTGAACAACAGCCCCTTGTAAGACTGGGGGGGAAATGGAATGTGTTAAAGCCCACATGACAATTGTATGCAGAGAAAAAAGCAAATCTGAATGATCCATTTACAATGTAAACACTCTGCAAGTGCCCTTAACAATTATTTGCAATAAGCAATTTGAGAACTGTGTTTCATACTTGTTTAGTATGCATTATACTTTGTTAGCCCTGCATATCTATGTATATTTTGTATATTTATAATCCTCCAAAGAGAAATTAGTCCAAAACACATCAGACATGTAATAAGTCTTAGAATGCGTCTCCACCTGGGAGTTGTAGTTTAACAGCATCTGGAGAACCACAGGTTCCCAATCCCTGTTGTGGGAGGACCAGATGCAAAGCAGACCCAGATGCCTGTTCCCATAAATTATAATTAACAATAATTTAATAGCTGCATAGCAGAGGGAGCTTTTGTAGATGCTGTTTGTCATGCACAGATGGGGAAAAGACCCCACCCTTTTACAAAGCAGTTACTGCTTCTTAAGCACACTTACTTTCAATTCATGTGATCTTTTTGCACACGCTGTACATTTATAGTACATTTAAAACACTTGGCTTCCTGCAAACAGTTATGGGAACTGTAGTTTACTCCTCACAAAGCTTCAGTTCCCAGCACCCTTAAAAGTTCCATGATTCTTTGTGTGGGGGGGGGGGTTTCCTCTAAATGTGCGTTATAGCTATGGTGAGTGCACAGCTTGAGTAGCCAAGCCTTGTGGTGCATAAGTGCAGCAGGAACCTTGTCCTAATATCTAGTCAAGTTCATTTAGAACTGACCACCACCTTAGGGTATAAGGACCAGTTATCCATCTGGCCAATTGCTCAGGCCTTGTACTTTGAAAAAACTGTTTCTGGAGCCTTGCCTGGCACAAGGTTCCTGTGCAATTTGGGAGCCACACCCAGCACTGAGCTCAGTTGCCTGTCGTCAGATCTGCCTGTGTCTGTGGGTGGCTTTGAATGCTTGCAGAGTCCCTTCCACACACAGCACTTGAGTGGCATGTCCAGCAGCCTCTTAAAAACTGAGGAGGCGGGGCTCTGAGTGAGCTGGCTAAGTATCGCCCCTGAGCAGTCCATCTGTGGGATACTACGGCTTTCTCCAGTGATTGTAGTGCGTGTTTTTGCAGGTGACCGGTGGCGTGCTGATTCAGCTTTCCAGATAGCTGCAGCCCAGACTGCAACAGCCCAGACTGCAAATGTGCCACTGTCTGTGCTCTTTGCTGCTGTCCAAATAAATGTGCCAGCAGGATTGTTGTGTTTCTGTCTGTGGGGCAACAAACATAACACAAACCTGGTGATGGCAGCTCAAAGCTTCCATGCTACTTCTATAAAGCGGGTAAGGAAAATAGTTATCGCTGGACTTTATCTTCTTTTTATGAACTGTTTTAACAGCAGCTTGATCTGCAGCCCTTAGCAGGGGACAATGCTTAACTCCATTCTGTGAAAAATGTTACCTGTTGATTTTTGCCGGCCAGACTGGTCCTAAGAGTGCCGAAGCATTGATTGGCCCGGTATAACCTTAAACACAGGCCCACTTCCAGCTCCTATTAAAGGCCTTCTCTATTTTTGAGAACTGGAGGCTTGAATAGTGTCTGCCCTTTATGAGTCCCTTTGGCTTAAGTTTACTCATGTTTCTGATTGTTGTTTGCAGGCAGAAATGGCAGTAGGACATGTGTATGTTACTATGAAGGTGGCAAATGCTCTTTCGACTCTTCCCTGGGATCTGGCATCACTTCTTACACATGTGCTCTGGAGACTGCAGACCTCTCATTTATTCCCATATGTTCCAGAATTGGAAAAATCCTGCAGTGGCTCTCACTTGGCCCCGTGGTCTCCAAATGTCCTCAGTTCTTATAGTGCTTGTCCCTCCTCTTGCTGCCAGTTTGATGCCACCCTCCGTTGGCCCATCCTGCCCATGCAGAAACAACAGTGCGAATTCAGCTCAGGAACCCTGAGCTTTGTACAGTGTTACCTTGGAGCCAGGATATAAATATAATAATAATAATAATTATGGAAACTGTGAGAATGATCAGGCATGTATCAGTGTAAGTCCTGTTGAATGCAGTGGGACTTACTTCTGAGTAAAAATTCTTATACGGTAATTGCAGTACAGTGGAACCTCGGGTTACAGACACTTCAGGTTACAGACTCCACTAACCCAGAAATATTACCTCGGGTTAAGAACTTTGCTTCATGTTGAGAACAGAAATCATGCTCCGGTGGCACGGCAGCAGCGGGAGGCCCCATTAGCTAAAGTGGTACCTCAGGTTAAGAACAGTTGCAGGTTAAGAACAGAC